TACACTTTTTGGTGATGTATTTGTTGATCAAGACGCGTGCCCAATTCAAAGACCGCCCCGCCTCCAGAAATCTAGCAGATACAATCCACTCTGAATCTGTTCTCAAGTCCCGTCCTTGATCATCAGAGGAGGGGGGGGGGGGGGACTGCGGGATCGCCTACATAGCCTCATACCCTGATGGCCATAACCTTCTCACCTCGTATCTCGTCAATCTTGCTCCATCTCAATGAGACTATAGATACACGTGCCAGCCTTTGTCCAGCATCTCAGCTCTGATAGAACATAATGTTATGACACAGCAACCATAATAAGGAGCTACTTTAGCTGCGAGTGAGAACGGTCGGATGTGTCAGTGAGGCCGGACAGGCCATTATACCCACGAAATTTCCTCGTGACCTGTAGGCGAGGACAATGAGGAGGGGGGCGGGGACAAACAGAAGAAGAAGGGAAGTATCGAGACTTATCCAAGACTCGGGTCAGGTACCTAGTTACGAAGACTTAAGGCACATTTCTCCCCAGTCTCGTCCTTGCGAGGATACCGCAGCTGAGTTCGGTTTACTGCTTGGTTGGTTGTTTGTTTTCTTCTTTTTCCCTTCTTCTCTTTCTTCTTCTTTCTTAGCCCCCGAAACGTCCTGTTTCCCATGTATCAGAGTAGATGCATCTACCCTGCCCATCGAGACACTGGCTCCATACAGACGCCACAAACACTCACTATGATAGGGTAAAGATCTGCCCGGTGAAAGGTGGGTGCTAGCGGCGGGTAGCTGCAGCAGAGCTGCCAGACTTTGGGCAAATCCAGGTAGCCCCTCTCCTCTCCGCGGGACTTGGATGGGCGAAGCATGACCGCCAAAGGCCCCCGTCGTCGTCGTACTCTGAGTTATTTTCGCTGTTAGCTTGCAACCTCAGCTGCCACCTGGCACCTGGCTCCCCGACACCCTGGGCCTTGGACGAGAGGAGTGACTCTAGAGGAGAGCTGGGCCGCAGGAGAAGGCAGCATGAGGAGATACAAGAAATGGGTCTGCAGCTGTACAGGCACCCTTCAGAAGTTCGTGCCACCATATGCGCCATTCTCGCCGGCGTCAGGTGGCGACCCTCAGAAGGGGAAGCTGGCCTCCACACCTGGAGCTAGGCATTATGTGTTGGTGCCGGAGTCCTGCGCATCGGCCCCGAGGGAGGTTCAATTTTCCAGCTCGGTGCTTTTCCTGGCCTGGCAGGTTCGGCAACGGCCGATCATGAAACTTTGCTGTCGTGTCAAGGTGCATGTCCACCGTTCGTGAGATCACTGTCTCTGCGTAACCGACCGGACACTTATTAGCCTCACACGTGAGCAGTCTGAGTAGAGTCCACTCAGATCTGGAACCTGTTCAGTCCAGGGGCATTTTTTCGAGAAAAAAAAGAAAGAAAGAACACAGAATGTCCTCTTTCCCAAACCAGAAGTCGCTCGGCCACTAGTTGGTGAAGCATAACAGAGAACTATTTGATAATGCCGATGTGTCAAACAAGCTTTTTAGCAGTCTTACCCACCTTGGGGAAAGGATGGTGGCTATCATGGCTGTCAAAAATAGACGAGTTCGGCGGGGGCCATAGAATTGGAAAAAGCAAGGACCCTTGCCCATTCCGCCCCCACGGCCTTGTATCTGAGAGAGACGCAGTTAGTTTAGCTTCAACTAGGTCTGCATAGAAAGAAGGAAGAAGAATGAAGAAAAAATTATTTAGAAAAAGATTTGCATGGTAGACGAAGTTCTCCGCGTACTTTGGTAGACGAGGGTCAGGGGGGTAGTCCTTGTCGCATCCTGCGATGACCTGCAGTGAGGAGACAATGGCAGCCAATCAGATCAGTCATTACCCGAACAGACCAGGCCAGGTCCTCGTTCGAGAACATCGATGGCAAAGTGCCGGAGGTACGAGGCTCTGCTCTCAGCTCAGGCGTGATGTGAGCGCGGAGCAAAGTGGACAGGGTCCCTGTAGCTTGGCCATTTGTCTGGACCCTGCGCCCACCCCCCCCCCCTGTTCTTGTCTGCCAGATGTTCCTGTACTGTAGGTACTATGGTACATAGTCATATGTAGCAATAGCAACAACGGCCGGTGAGCCGACAAGTCGTGTTGTGGAGACAGACCATGCACGAGCTCCCTGGAATATAATCGACGCTGATGACTCTTTAGGCTAGCGGGTGGTATGGTCGAATCATCGGCCGGATCGTCTGCGCAGTCGCCCGCTTGCTTTTGATTCGGTCTGCATCTGTCCAGCCACCACCCAGCGCGCCGTAACCCAGAGCCTTTTCCTCCCGTCAGCAGAGTCCTCGGGCCTTGGCAAGCTCTGACTCCCCTTGTTTCTTTTCCTTGTTTCAACTTCGGCAGCTCTCGGCCGTTCCTCGCCTCTCATTTAGACAATCAAATGGCGCAAGCCATGGCGCTTGTTCAATTAAACTGCCTCTGCTTTGATCCAACGTCGCGCCCAGCCGCCCCCCCCTCCCCGCATATCACTTTGCAAAGCTGAGAGAGGGGCCGGCATGCAGTGAACCAGGGAATCCAGGTAACTTGCTGATCATCGGTGGCTGCTCGTCAACTGCATCGAGAAAAGATGAGCGGGGTTCAGGAGGGCACAGGAGGGGTGCCGCCGTCTGGGAGACGCACTTGGCGACAAGGCTATCCACATAAGCATGTTTGCTTTATGCTTGACGCTGTGTCTAGGAAATCACAAGATTAGCTGTTACCTGTTGGGTGAAGATGACATGTTATTCCGACCATCGTATCTGCCGCTGCTTGATGGCTAGGTATAACTAGCCAGAGGTGTCGCAGTGAAGCCATTTGCCAGGAGTAGTACTATGGTACAGCCGTCAGGTCATATGATTTCATGTTTCCATGCGATCCTATCCCCAGCCAAGGCGACAAAATAGGTAATTGGTCCTGTGAGCTCATTGGCCTATCGTTAATAAACTGCAGTCCGGGACCCGCTAATGAGCCCGTAGCACCCCCCTGGTCCAGCAAACCTGCGGGCCCTTTCTTCTCTTTCCTGTCCTTTCCGTTTCTTTGGTTTTTGTGTGGTGGTTTTTTTTTCTTCCTCTTTTCTCTTCTTCTTCTTTTGAATGAGAATGGAAAAGAAGAAGAAAAGAGTGGCGTATGTGGAGATGGCTGACGGTCGTTCTCGGCCGATGTAGACCCATGGTTTATTGCCCGCGGCCGTATCACATGAAGCCACATCCGTAGCCCGTAAGCCTCGTCGTCGTTCACAAGCAGCGCCATCTCTTCAGCAGGCAGGACATCTACGTGACAAGATGCTGCTTTGGGTCCGTCGAGGATTCCGGATGGCGTGCCGCGTGATTTTCCACACAACTTCTGGTCCTGTGTTCGAGATCTTGTGTGATGTGACAGCTCACTGGCACCTTGCTGCTTCGGGGACAGTTATCAGCCTGATCGTGGCCAGAGTGACTCCTCGGATAGACTGCTCACGTTACTGCTGGGCACCGACTGTTGTTGCCCAGCATCAGGCGAGTCACCCTTGCATGAACGCGATCCAAAATCTGTTTGACAATGACAGGAGCAGAAGATTGAAGGGCTGGTGACACAGTGCCGTCGGGACTGGACAAAGAGACGGGGCAGGCAAGGCCAGTAGCGAACAAGAAAACGAAGGACACAATGCCGTGTTCTGGAAACTTCGAGAATGGCTTGCAGATTGCCGCCAGGGCTTGGGCGACGGAGAGAAAAGCCCCTTAGTACCACTATGCCCTCGTCCGCAGACGCCATGACGCCAAGCGGTCAAGAGGGGGAAAGAAACACAGACTGACCGCATAGATGATCCATCCACGGCCCCCAAAGACCCAATACCGAACCAATCTTCTTTATGCCCGTTTTCCCCCTGGTTCGTGTGCGCATACGCATAGGCATATGCATGCGCAGCCACAACGGCCGGCTCCTATCTCAGCCAGCTGAGTAGCCTGCACGTCTGGATTGTGAAGGTAGCGAGCGAGGTCCTGGAAGTTCCATTGGGTAATGCTGCTGCTGCTGGCGGGGTCGTATTGAATTCTCGTGCTGCATGTTCGCGACGGCCACCAGAATCAACATCCTGGCCATGAGGACACTGCTGGCTGAGGAAAAAGAAACAAATCAGGAAGTAAGCAGTATTCTTCAAAATCGGGTCCGAATTGGTGGTTTGGTGTGGCGTATCAGCCAGCATAGCTGGGGGGCGAAAAGAGTGTGTATCCCAAGGTACTGCTGGACGTGCATGGGTAGAATACATGGGTGGGTGGAATGCTCCAATCCGTGGTTCGTGCATCGACCAAGCTAGTACTTGCAACGATGGTGCCCGTGGGGGAAAAGGCAACTACTCAAGCCTCTCCAGCTATGGAACGGGACCGACTCAGTCCAATCCAGCCCGATAGACCAATCAGGGCCTGTGAATTTCATCCATTTACTTTCTGCCCCGCTATTTGCCTTGGCAAATATGGATACTGTACCCGGGACTTCCTTCCAACGTCTCATCACTGAAGTATCTCTTGTGCTGGCAGTTTCCAGCTGTTAATGGTGAGGCAAGTTTTGCGCAGGGCACTCAGTACATTTCCCCCTGTATTCGTCTGTCTGAATATTGCTTTTCTATTGAGGGTGGAGCTGCTCAGGAGCACCTCCACCAATCAGCGACCTCCTAACCCTTCCGAAAATGGATCGTCAAGGTTGGCCCTGCAGGGCCTTGTGCAGGACCTGCACATCGACGGGTCCACTATCTCTAGAAGAAATGTACTATACAACGAAAATGTCATGACCACCAAGCATGCAGCCATCAGAATTGTTCCAACCCAAAACAGTCGCAAGGTCTCCGCCCGTCAGCAGTTCACGTCTCATTCATTGGTCCATCACTTGCCGATACCATGGCCAAGCCACTTGCGAGCTGCCTCGAGGCGTTATTGTTGTGCCATTGCCGCTGCTCCTTGCAACCTCCCGTACGCATCGTTTTCGTCGTGGCTCGCAGCCCAAAGAAACCAATATGTTGTCGATAGATGGGCCAGCTATGACTCGACAGACGGACGGGACTTTACGAAAGCACCAATGATATTTGGGAGGAACGTTACTGACTCGATTTGAATATCTGGCTTCTTGTATTGTACGTGTATAAAACTTCCTGGTAAAGAGGTTACAGACGACCACACCTTTTTTGGTACAGCAGGTACCGTCAGTTAGTTCCTGGATCTGGCTGCCGACAGTATCCTCAGTAACAATGGTGAAGCGATCAAAGAGAGACAGCTCGACAGCCGCTCTTGATGACTAGGGAATTTGTCACATATGTCCTAGCACCTCACAACCATCTGCATTGGCGTTTTCTTCTTGGCCTCTGCGGCGCATTTGCCCCAGCAGATCGGCTCGTCTATGCTCTTGAATTAACCCAAGAGAACGACCCGTGTGCTAGCCATCGAGCTCGCGCTATTTAGTTACATGTTTGCCCGTGTGGCATTCCCTGTATGCCCACGACAGGCCCCTTCCTTGCCCTCTTTACAATGCGATCCTTAAGTCACCGGCCTTCTTGGCCGCCACTCATCAAATAGAACTTGGAATTTGCGACGCCTCGCAGCGCCTTGCAGCTCCGTATTCCTTGCGTGCATGCTTTTGCTTGTTGCTCTTTTTTTATTGTCAGAACCAGACGGAAAGCCTGCAGTCTTCATCACTGCACTGCAACGTCCCGAGGGTATCCTACGACGCACGGAGAAGTAACGGGTGGGGCATTCGTCTGTCACACGAGTGCTGAAGGTCTATGGAACAGGTTCAGGTCCCAGAGAACGATATGTTTGGGCATCAATGATACGTCACTGCGCAATGATTGGGCTTAGACTAGGTACACACAACTATCGTTCTTGCCGAAGGCCCCTGGACTGACTTGGATGTTAGGGTGGAGGCCTACGGTGTGCGAAGCAGAGCTGCAGCAACTGGTTGGTATCGAGGACTTGATCTCCCTACAGGCATCAGGGCCATGTGATCACGTTTGACCTGTGAGGTTGACGCCATAGTCACGACCCTTCCTGGCAACACCACACACGATGTCGACGCCGCGGCTTGAAGAGGTGATATCGCGGCAGCACACTAGCTGCCTCGTATTCAAGAGCAGCGTATTATAAGACAGCAATCACAATGCTTGGTATACGTGCAGACAGCTTTGTAGTTGTAGACTACGATGGGGGCGCGAGCTCTGTTCCTGAGGTAGGGCAGGTTTTATTGGGGCGAATTGCTTTCCCAAAGGAGGACCACATTCAGTCTTCTTCCATTACCGTCTCGACTTTCCAACCAATCAAGGCTCTCAGTATCGAGTCTAGGTACGTACCCTGGCCATTTCGACGCTCGATGGACATTGTTCAGCCGCTGGGAGAGAGGTCGTGTTGTAAGGAGAGTCCCGAGCTCAGCGATATGCAGACGGTTTGTAAGATCAGGAGGGACTTGCCTCCAAGAGCACGTGGGTCATCACTTAGAACTCGATCACCTTGCTTTTGATATATATCTCTAGCCTCGATAATATTCCGAGAAATGAATGGTATTAGCGCTGGCAGTGCCATTCCTGCCCCAGCCGCCCACTGCGCATGCACCTTGGGCTCAGAATATGCCGCCATTTCATCACGGCTGACCGGGTGCCACGTTGTCCGCCTGCATGTGACGAAAACACACTTGTCATAGGCACTGTCTCACAATATAGTGGTCAGGGCGAATCAGCATTAAGGCACTTTCAGCTCAGAATCATCGTGTAGCGATCGGTGCTGTTCCTTCTTTTTGAAGACCAGGGATAACAACCTTCAGCTTGTATGTAAGATTCGTCCTTTGGCACTGTACAAAGACGAAACAGGATCCAATTGCGCCTTACATGAAATTCGCTCCGTAGCGGAAGATTGCCACGGCTATGGCCCTGCGAGGCAGCTATAGAGAAAAAGGAAGGTAGGAAATTATGTGTCAGGCGCGGAACTCAGTCTTCAAGCAAGGGCTAATGAAACTCATGCTTGGACAATACAGCAAGAGCTACACGTAGAAATCTTCTTTGTGCTCGACAGCTCTGTCCAATATACACGTCCAGCTGCCGGGCAGAGATTCGCCCCTTCCATTCCATGTAGATGAAATAAGGCTTCTTGCCACAATCTGGGTTCCCCGCCCCGGGAGACCTTGGCTCTTTCCCCGTGTAGATATTCACGATTTCCGCACTTTATTCGCTAATCCTTTCCAAATCGGGCGCAACTGTTCTTTCACTTAATGCATTTCCCTTTTGCCATGGCTAAGAAATCATTCCTTGGCCATCTTCGGTGCAGACCGCCCGGCGATTCCGTGCAGCTGTCATGCACAGTACTTTGATTACACACGGTCTCGCAAGCTCTGTGGTTCCCTTTTCAGGTGAGCAAGGCTGGTTTGACAAATATCGGCAGGCACCAATTCACTTCCCTCTCTCCTTCTCTCGCAAGCCCTGGGCAGGATCGAAGGTTGTTTGCTTGCTAATCTGGGGGCACATCAGCAGTCATAACGCTGTGCGAAGAGACCAAGATGTTTTGGGCCGCAAGCCATGCGGCCGCACCTTTACATCGCCAGCGAGGTTTCCAATGACCGCCCGAAGCGCCATCCTCTCTCCTGTGCTCGTCAGCATGTGGTACAGACCCCGCAAGCTTGGGGGTGTGGGTGTGCTGCATTCTGATTCAGGTAGCTGTCATCCACAGCACCGCATAGATTGCTTCGGTGAGGCAGCACCAGCAAGAGATGGAACAGTCTACTCTACGTCCCACAGAAACAGGGCGCTTGTGCCACCAAGCCATCTTGCGAAAAGCCAGGCCATCATCGTCGTCTTCGTCATCAGTCGAGTCAAGTCATGCTGTTGTGATTGTGATCTGAAAGCCTGAGAAAGGATTAGGGCCTCGCAAGCAGGTCCCTCGGAGTCTGGGAATGTGTGGGTACCACACCCTGCCACCACTCTCTCAACAACTGATCTCACGCCCTTGCGAGACATGTCTCAAGGAGGTTGGAGGGGGAGGCTGGTTGTCGTATGGGAGCGTGCTCCTCGGACAATGCAGGTCTCCTTGTGTGAAGACGCGTGATCTTCAGCGTGATTTGCCATCGCGTTTGCCGAGCTGGTTTGCTCCACGCCGCTGACCGCAGCAGGCAGTACTCGGTGCACACTACTAGTACATGGGGCTGGCATCTCATCTGCAGATCAGCAAATAAGGAACGCCCGATGAACCGGGGGGGGGGGGGAGGGTAAGATCGGCAATGTGTGGTGGGAGTGCGCAGGGCCATCTCCTCCCATCCAGGCAGAGCACTTTGGAGCAGGAGCAAACTGCCTTTCTCCTCGGACGATGGAAGGGGGTGGTGGCAGACGAGACGCAGTGTCACAGAGCGGCTTTGCTGTGCAGTAACTCATGCCGACAGTGCACGACAGACGACCGACTGTGTGACTTGTGTTGACGGATGACTACATGAAAAAGAAGGCGGCATGCTGAAAGGCACTTGATCATGAACGTGACAAGAAACGTGACCGGTCAGCTCTAGGATCACGAGATTAGCGTTTCCAAAAGACGGGACTACGTACGCGAGATCCAATCTCCCCCAGTGTGTCATTGCAGCCGCCGCGTTGCGGATCCAACATCAGTGCTCCTGGTCCCGGAGCCACGTCTACAGCTCCGAGAGAGAAGGAGGGGAGGTGGAAGGCGGCAGATGAGCGGTAGAGACCTCCCTCCCTGTCTCTCACTTTTTCTCCAGGGCCTCTCACGCCTACAGTATGATATCGGTACACGCCCTCCTAGCCCGGCCTTTCCAGCTGCTGCTGAGGACGGGTTCTTGATCTTTCCCCAGCAGCTGTCATCAAGAGTTTGTCTCTCAAGAGAACCCCCCTCCCCTCTTCTCACGGACGAGGGGTCACTGCCGCCCTGGGTATATGCCTGTCTACGGAAGCGGGGAACTCCTCGAGGGCTAGGGCGCCTTCTGGGCAGCCACTTCACACGCAACGGGACAGCTTTCCCACCCAAAGGCCGGGGCACAGACAATCAACAACAGCGTCTGCTTGTCTCGTCAAAAGGTTGGTCATTCTGCTCAGAAGAAATGACATCGTTCCTGACCTTGGACTGTCAATTTTTGGGGGCGTCGCGACTCATCCTCAGACTGCCCTTGGGCACTCTCGGCGGGGCCGAATCGCAAACTACCTCTTTTTATTTTGGGGGGGGGGGGGCGGCTGCGTGCTTGCTTGCTCGAAGCCATATCAGCGGCCAGCCAGCAAGCAGGCAACCAGGCGGCGAAGAAGGCGTTCCAGGGTGCCATTGGGGCCCGTGGTAGCGCTTCCTTTCCAAGGGACCCACGGCGCTAAGCTGTGGCTGATTACAGTGAAACCGCTCAGAACTTACAGTGCTCCTCGAGAGTCTAAACTTACAGTGGGAGAAATGGGGGGCGGAGTCTCTCTGACTCTCTTCTTTTTGCTATGTCATTATTAGGCTGCAGCATCGATGACCGGCAGTGCATCGATCAGACACATCGTGAGCGGCAATTTCCACCCTCCATCTCATCTCACCCTATGACTGGGCAAACCTTTTGGATGAGTCGAACCACCTCTTAGCTCGGGTCTGACTCGGAGCTGCTGGTAGCCGTCGGGAGGTCCTCCATTGCTCTTGTCGTTGTCTCGCCGCACAGATCACGATCACGCCTCTCTTCCTGGCCTCGTTGCCGTATCATCCTCGGTCACGGAGTCTTTTCTTTGGGTTCCCGTTCCGCCTTCATTACGGAGACTCGTCATAAAGGCAGGACGAGGCGAAGAGAAGAGGCTGGACCGGTAAAATAGTCTCTATCGCGAGGATACTCGCAGTGTCTTTCCGTTACCCTGCATCTTCTCGTTCCAGTGTTCTCTCTTCCTCTCAGTGGTTATGCCCAAGAAAAGACATCAGGGCAGATACTCGAAACCGCAGTCCACAGCTCCCGCAGCTCTCTCGAGCAGCTCAGGTTCCGCTGCCCACGGTGGCAACCGCACTGGCGGTGAGTTCATACGACATCCCCTTCCTCTCATCCAGAGGCTGGCAGCCTCCTTGGGTTTTCTACATGCAGAGCAATCCGGCTAGCAACCTCAGACACAGTGCCCGCTCCTAACAACGGAATCAATCTGATGCATATCCCTCCGCCACTAACGTCATGTTTCCCCAAATGAATGTCAGGCTGGCCTGGTGGTCCTGACCATGTCGCTTATGTCCACCTGCCCATACCTGCCAGTTCGATGGCGCTGATGGCTTGCAGATCACGAACGCCCCGGCGTCAACCAGCTGCTGGCGTCGCTCAGGCGCACAAGACGAGATGGAGACAAACCGCAGTCCCCAGTCAGCGTCGCAAATATCGCCGCGCCAAGCGTCCCACCACAGATCCGCGAGATTCTGAGCCTTCCGGAGACACCGGCACCAGCTCCGAGAAGGCGCCCTCGCTTCAACCCTCGGTTTGATGCCCTGGGTCGCAGGATGCCCGCGGGCCCTCCGCCCCCTCTCAGCTGGCTCGCCCTGTCCCGACAGACGCAGAGGCTCGGGACTAGCGACCAGGACCCTCAGGACTATGAGCAGTGTCTGCTTCCCGGCCTGTACAGGCCGAATCGCGGGAGCCTGAGCGACATGATCCTGCGGCAGATGGCACTCGACTGGGACTTTCAGAGGTCGTACAATGTCTACTATCTCTATTCTCTACCCACACGTCTTCGTATGGCACTCATCTCGTGCGTTGCAACGAGCTACGAGCCTGGCCTGTCGCTGTCTGATCTCAAGACCATCCTCATCCCGCAGGTCCCCAATGATGACGACAAGGACGACGAGGACGAGGACGATCGTCACGCGCTGAGCCCGAGCTCGCTGAACGAGGGTCTTACTCACCTAGACCTGTCGACCTTGGTCGGGAGAACTATCAAGCTGCGTGATCTCTCGCGCCTCTTATTTCCCTCTAAGTCTCAGAAGAGCGAAGGCGCTGTGCTGGAGTCCTGGGACGCCGTTGAATCCCCACCAGTACCTCGCCCACTCCTCCCGAACCTCACACACCTCTCGCTCGCCGCCACCCCCGACACCAGTGCCATAAACTCATGGAGGCAGCTGCTCAGTCTTTCCGAGAACCTCCCGACCCTCACGCATCTCAGCCTTGCCTACTGGCCGAAACCCTCGCTGACGCCGAACTCGACCTTCTGGAAGGTGGTCACGCCGCAAGGCCAGACGGTCCAGGCAGGCGGCACCAACTACTACAGCCATACTCTCGATAATGACTGGTCCGAGGCGATCCTCATCCTGCGCAAGCTGAGCCAGAATCTGTACGGGCTGGAGTATCTCGATGTCACGGGCTGCCTGTCCTGGTTTACGGCGCTGGCGGAGAAGAAGGATGGTGATCAAATCGATTGGGCTGGGGCGTGGGGCAAGGTCACGCACCTCGTGATGCACACGGGTTCCAGTGCGCCGCTGAAACCTGAGGCAACGTCCAAGTACACTGAGTGGTTGTTCACGATGGACAAGGCACATTCCATAGAGAAGACTGTCAGAGCCCAACGGGCGGGGCGAGGACGCATCTTCACTGTCGAGCGGACCAAGTGGGGTGGAGACGTGTCGAGTGGATGATAAGACAGCCCTTTTTTTCTTCTTCAAATTGAACATTGATCCATTTGAATTATATCATACATGTTTATGCATGCACACCTCTATGCTTCACCAGTTAGTAGAGCCCTCCCATGCGCTACAGCCCTTGTGAAGCAACCGTTGTTCTGTTGATAGGTCAGTTGCTCATCGCCACCTACGAGCCCTTCTTGTACAGGTTAGCCGAGCCTGAGCATCGAGCTTCTTGATCTCTCGGCTCCTACGGGTTCTGAGGTCTTTCTTTCGAGTGTTCACGAGGGCATCGACAGCCAGCCAGCCGCCTTGAGGACTGAACACATGTGATCTCGGGGACAGAAGAGCTGATGAAAGAATCCTCTCTTCCCCCAACTGCTCTGTTCTCGTACTCTCGTGAATTCATCCGAACCTCATTTCGTTCCTATTGCGTCCAATTGTGACTGTCCACTGTTGTTTTACACGCCTGCTCGCCGGTTTTGGTTGGGGGGTTTTTTTTGGAGGGGGGGGGGGGTTCTTTTTCTTTTTTGGTAGACTCCGCGTTGCCCTGAAGGATGGATTTCAGGTTTTCAAAGGCCAGGAAAATATAATAGTAGCGTATTATCGGCTATTACCTCGCTCGTTTCCATTTTTCTCTTTTGAGTGTGACAAGTCACCGACTCGACGGAACCTTGTCCACCTGCTTCTTGTATCAAAACCTTTTTCAAGAGATTAATCGTTGAAAGAGAACAAAGTGTCAGCTCGCCTACAGTCGAGACATAATGGAGCAATCAGCCCAATGTTTTGTCCATCTTTTTCCTCTTCTATTTCAATGCTCTCGTGAAAGACAGTGTGTCCTTCTGCTATGATAGGACACCATGACAAACGACCTGACCGTGAGCCATGCCACCTTATTGACTCGACTGGTTGTAACGTGGGCACAATCACTGTGTCAAAACGTCGACTTCTCATAATATCTTTGTATTTGCTATCCTTTGATTTTAAGCCTATGACGGTCCAGCGTTCCCACTGCAAGGACAGAAGGCGAGACTTGTGCTCGATAATGACTTCACGCAATAGGAGCAGGAAACAAGCCATGTTCCATCTGGCAAAACATGACAACGACTTTACACACACGTACACACATATATGTATAGAGAGAGAGAGAGAGAGAAAGAGAGGGAGGGAGGGAGAGGGAGGAAGGGGGAATAAATGTCGTCCAGCATCGCAACAGACCGATATTCTTTCCCAAGACCCAAGTACTTTCCATGATTTGCAAGCCAACTATCCCGAATCCTGTAGACTCTACCGATCACCGGCTCACGTCCCTTGCCTAAGAAGCACAACGGTATTTTGATCCCGAGCTTTTAATACCTGCTACCTGAGACATGAAACTCAACAATAGGCTGTAGTTGGCAACCTAAAAATACTGCCGGAAAGTAGTCAAGATAGAGGAATCACCAATCTCACGACTTGAGCAAGCAAGGCAGGCCGGATAGGCTCCCTCGAGCTTTCCTATCCTGTCAAGCAAATGCATCCTGGGCAGGTACGATTCGGACGCAACAGGGAGAAAAGGAAAGGAAGAAGGAGAAAGAAGCAAAAAAAAAAAAAAAAAAAAAAGACAAAATAAGGGAAGAAGCGGTCTGTCGTCTTGTGGTCACATATTCACTCCCTTGACCGGTGTGACATTCCTAGGCGAAGCATCGTCGAGGAGGAAAGAAATGCTGCTTCCTGCTTGCTTGCTTGTGAGCCATCGCCTAGTCAACTCTGTCTACTTACTCTTTGGCAAGCACACACTCTTGACATTCAGACTCCGGCCTGAGCCCACGCCACATCTCCTCGAAATAAGTGATGCCAGCGGATAACGCCGAGGACATAAAATGAAGTAGTAGTCAAAGGTGTATATCGAGAATGCCCCGAGACAGGACAAGTTTAGCCAGCACTTCTCGGGAGCTGTTCACCGTCCACTCGAGACCAACACCAAAGCATAATGGTAGACAACATGTTAAAGCCGTGCTCTTTTCCTTTCTCAGACGATTGTCTGTTTCAGCAGCTTATGCTGTCCAGGGCCTGCGGATCTGATCTGTCACGACGTTACTATTCCTGGTCCCTCCTCAACGATTTTGGTTCCGGCGGAGATTATTGTACCGAATGATATCTCGAAATCTGCACAGATCCCGGTGTATCCCACCTTTCTCACTCTCTCCCACACACATCGTTCGGCATAGCGGATCTGGAAAACGGGGATACACCGTTCTATACACACCATCTGAAGGAAACCCGGGGAGAGGGGAGGGGGGCAATCGAAGGGGCGCCCGCTTCTTCCAAAGAGCTGTCACATCTCATAGTATTCCAACCTCCCACCCCAAATTCGAGGCCGTCTTACCTTTGATGGGGGCCACTCTGTGTGCTGCAAGTCGCAGGAACCGCAGCGACTACCGTGGCCGCATCATCATGAATTTTGTTTCTTTCCCACCTCCCCTTCTCCACACCGGCGAGCTTTTGGGTTGTGACTCTGTTCTCTCTCTTCTCTTTCGTCTTCCCTTTTGCCTTTTTACAGACCTTCCTCAAACACTCTTCTTCCAGACAGCCAGGACTAGACTAGCGCAGGCCGTCGGCTGGCTGAACCAGGATGCAGGGGGATGGTGGTGGTGGTGTCGTATCAAAAAAACAGCATGCCGACCACCTGTGGGATGCATCTGCACCTGCGTTACGAGCCCGGTAAGGTCCTGTTTTTTCCCCTTTCGACAAGCTTCCTTAGCTTCCCTTACGCATTCTCTTTCTCTCTCTGGGTGTTTGATGTCCGCCAAGGCGGCTCTCCGGTCTGGAATGCGTTGTTACTGTACCCTCGGACCTCTCGGGCGCGAATCCGTGCGGCCAGTGTCGCCAAAACGTTCCCGGGGAACCTGGTAAACCGGAGCGCCGGGACGACACGGCTCGCTCCTCCTTATAGTGAGGAGGCCCTTAGAATTCCGTTGCGTGCGTGCATCCATCCAATCCGCGAGAAGGCGTCTAAGCCGGCGGCAGAAACCCCGCCTCCTCACACCCTCTGGGGGGAGTTTAGGCGCCGCTGGTGGATATCCTTAAGCTGGCTGTGCCGCAACGATGCGCGCGTCGGAATATTTTCCTTCTGTTCCTTTCGTTCATGGATGAGGTATCATCCCTTGCCCCCTCCCCCCCCCCTGGCAGAAGAGGACCCTGAAGCTTCGTTCGAGCCTCATGTAGGCGCGTTTGGGGTTTTGGCGCAGAAGGAGGGGAAGCGTCCCTCACCCCAGGGGGTATGGGCTCCGCGATGGCACGAGTGAAGGTCCCCACCCGTCCCAAGATGATGAGAATTTCCATCAATCACAGATAGGGTCGTTAGCCATCTCCATGGGGTTGCGATCTCCCAGACTATCGGGCCCTTCCGGAGATATCGAACCACTGCGTCGGTCCGGGCAAGATAAGGAAGCCCCCAGGCCCTTTAGGCCAGCTCAAGCGAGATATGGTTTCGGCCGAGAGTCATCCCGAGCAGAGAGTGATGCTGCTGCTCAGCACCATGGAGGGTAGCATGCTGTACAATGGATGCCCTAGTTGCTCGTATTACATGGGGTGTGAGTGTATTAGCTCCCTGGAATCCGGACGGTGCGTCTCTTCCAAGAAATTGAATGGTAGCTGGCAATCACAGACCAGACTTTCTCCCCGCGCTGTGATATCTGGAACCGGCCACAAACGGATTGTCCCTATTCGCCCATCTCACCTTGTCGTAAGAGATAGGATAAACTCGTCGGCCGCTGCCGAGATGAGCAACCAAACCAGGGGTCCCAATAAGGTAGCGCCCTCCTCCATCCTGCCCCCTTCCCCCCCTCTCACATGTGAACGCCGACCCTACCACGGTGACTTGGTGGTGTGTTGGTTTCGGAAAACCTGGTCCGCTCCACGTCATGATTCTGACCTGGGCAAGAAGAAGGGGGACAATCAAAAGAACGGGTGGCACAAAGGTAAAGTGTATGCTACTGACTGTCGCAACCATTTGGCGACGGTTTGTTCTTTTTTTTTCTTCCGTCCAGGGTGGATCACATGCCAACGACCTGATAACACAGACGGCAAGCCAGCACGCACGTCCTTCTCGATCCCCCCTTTCAAGGGACCCTGGTGGCGATCGGGACCTTCGAGGGCGGATCGGGGGAAAGCTGCCATTTCCGCACCTCTTGATTTTTTAGGCGAGGGGTTGAGAACCGAGGAACAGCCAGCAGTCATCCCCAGCTCTCGTCCAGCCGCCCCTGAGGCTGCAGTCGAGGCCTTTTTTCCTTTTTTTCCTCCTTCTCCCGGCCCTCCCAGCCGATGGCGACAGCGACGCAGGTGAGGGCATCTCAAAATACGAGCCTCTCTCCTGATCTGACCTATCGCAAACTCCTTCCTGCAGTGTGACCCTTGATCATCCAGCAGCACGCCTCCTGAGTGTCGTCCTGGTAGTCACGACATTCTCGAAAGATCCGGCCACGCGCGCCGGATCTTCCTCCTTCTCCTTTTGTGTCTCGAGCTGACCAGGGTCCGGGGGCCCGAGGGAAGGGGAGGGGGGGTTCATCAAGGAGAGGAAAAGAGAAAGAACTCTGGCCAGCTTGGGACCGCCCCCCTGATCGTCAGACCTGGCGGATCAAAAGGGGGAGGAGGCGAAATCCTTTCGCCATGTTGACATATGCCACCGTACCGAACAAGGCAGGCAGGCAGGGCAAGGCTCTCTGTCTGGCCTAGGGCTGAGAACTCAGTCAGCTGTGAGCCAGCTGATTGACAAGGCTCGCAACTCAGGCGACAAGGCAGCCTCTTTTTTTTTTTTTTTTTTTTTTTTTCTTTTGGCAGAGCTGTACTACATGTGGTACACGCTGTAAGTTTTATTGGAGCCAGCACGACTACGCCCCAGCACGATTACCCCGTGGGGCTCGACGTGGGGGCGGGAGGATGGTGTGTGGCCAGGTGGCCCCACCACGACGTCTAATTTCGACTGCTGATCAAAGGAGTGCTCTTGTGCGATCTCCCAGATTGGCCCAGATTACCTGATTGCCTAAATGAATGGTCAGAGACAGATGAACTATAGAAAGAGAGGGAGTGAGGGTGGGTGTTAGGATGATGAAGGTGTGGGTAAGAGGCTTACCAGATAGTCCCAACTCCTTCGTTCCTCTGGTTCTCGTTCTTAGGCGTGCCAGCCTCCAGGCCATGGAAGAGAGAGGCTAGATGAATTATGCCATACCACACGATATCACGCCGAGCCTGTTCGTGACCTGTCTTCGATTCGTCCCTATGACGATTAGTTCTGGGGCCATGTCTCTCTTGGTTCTTGGTCCTGGCTGGGAAGTATCGTCCTCAGAGCTGTCGATCAGCCACACCTTGTGTCGCGCCCTCTCATCTTCTATCCTCATGATGACGTCGGACGTTTTGATCCGGTTGAAATATGATCAGGCGTGTCAAAAAGGTCAGCTACAAGAAAACTGGACCACAGCCCCACGCAAGACAAACCAGCGATTTGATGATTGAGTTGTGTCCCGAAGAACGTTTGTTCACGCGCTTCCGTCCAGCGTGACTAATGGGAGGGGTTAAGAAGTGCTCTCGAACTTGTAGCTTGTACATACTCCACCATGATGGTGGTAGGTCATGCTTGTCACACGTCAGTATGTTCCAGACGGGTGAAACCAGTTGCCCTCCTCCTTCTCCCTTGGTAGTAGCTTCTCCTTAGTCCTCCCTGTGTGGTTGTTCGGTGGGGTTGGTACAGAGTTTCCCACGGGGCTCCGCCAGGATTTTTTCTTTGCTTTTTGGGAATTTCGAGTAGCCGACAGCCATCTCAGGCCCATGACGCCATGTCTTGGCCGTTTTAATACTTGTTGGGGATCCATGTTCTGAATTCTTGTAGTTGTTGTATCGGCTTTCTGCTACTATGTCGTACATGGTCGTTTATTTTTTCTTCTCTGATTTTTTCTTCTTTCTGTCTACCCCCCCCCCGGCCCCTCCTCTTAGAGGAAAGAGCAAGGGAGGTTCTGCGTCATCGTGCTCAACAAGAGCCCGTGAGACCATGTATGTACCTGCATCCCTACCCCAACTCTGGGATTTTGGAAGGTCAGATGAAGGAGCAAGAAAAGAAGCAAAAAAGAAAAGAAGGAACAAAAAGGGAGGAAAGATCTGCAGGGGGAGGTCGTCTGTTACTAGGATACTGACGCCATGTCGGTCTTGTCAACCACCCCCCAAAACGATCCTGCCGCCGCGTGGCTCACTTCATCTCATCTCATCTCACCCCCACAATCTCTTCTTTTGTTTCTTTGTCTGGAACGATGTGGGAATGTGGCTTTTCCCGTTCTGTACAACCGAAGAGAAAAAAAGAATGGAAAACCACAAAGCAAAAACTCAACAGACACAATTTTTATTTTTAATTTAAAAGAATAACTAAAATTGTGGTCGTACTGGAAGGCATCATCATTTGAAGTTGCGGTGAGCTGCCCTCTCTCTTTGCCCAACAAACTTCCTCAGCAAGGGAGGGCTTCCTGTGTGTGTATTATGTTTTCTGAGCCGCCGTCCGCGCCGCCAAAAAATAAATAAAAAATAGAATTCTTTTTTTGGTCTTTTCTCTCTTGAGAACAGTCATCAGAGTCAGAGTCAGAGAGAGTGTGTGTCATCGTCATCTCGCTCACCCCGTGGGATGGATGAACAAAACGTAGGGGACCTGGTAAACAAGTCCCCCCCCCCCCCAAAAAAAAAAGACAAAACTCCCCCAAAAAAACCAAGATACCGCGTGGCAGCCAATTAATCATCTGACCACTCCATGGGGGTTGGTGAGGCCCCCCCCCCACCTTCTCAGCAGCCTCACGCGGCCTGCTTGTTTCTTCATTAGGAGACTGAAATACGCAGCATGGCGCGGCTGGCGCAGGGGGGGGGGGGTGGCTTTGTTTTACTTGGACATACAACTTGTCTGGCTGGCCAGTTGGGCTGCAAGTCAGCAAGATGGATGGATGGATGGGTGTCCATGCCTAGCTTGCCGCGACACAAACAAAATCCTTCTGTCTTCTCTTCTTCCTTTTTTTGTATCTGGTCTGGAGATGACTGTGAGACAAGGGAGGAACGTAAGGAAATAGGAAAAGAGAGCACCTTTGCTTGCCCGGCAGAGAGAGGCACGGCTACAATTAATCAGATACAGGTACAATTAAGTGAGTACTACTGTGTAGAGTAATCGGTAGTACTATGTATCATAAGAGGTAGCTTGTTGTCAGGCAACAGCTCGGGGCAGTGAATCGTGGCAGCGTCCTGCATTGGCACGGACAATCAGGGCAATAAGAGAAGGGGGAAAAAAGAAAATGAAATAATAAAGAAATAAATTGAAAACACCCAAAGAATATTCGGTCAAGATGAACACACACCGTCTAATCTTGCTGCCAAGGCCCTTGTTGTGCAGTGCTTTTTGGCGTTCCTGGGGTGTGCGTTGACCACTTCTTAGTCGCCATCAGTTTTTTCTGTTCACTACACAGGCACAAGCACACAAAGTCCGAGTCAGCCTCAATTTTCTATTCCTCCCCTGACCTACCAACCTTCCTGATATAGAGAGATAGCTAGCCCTAGAAGGTAAAAAAGTAACAGTACCTACCAACCATAAGCACAAAAGGACAGGTACTATATCCAAGGCAACCGTCATGTTTGACACCCACCCCCAAAAAGTGACAACCTAACATTGCTCTCAGATCGGCTGAGCCCCAACCCCAGTCAATCTGTCCACCCCCCCCCCCCCAACCAATCTATGCCTTCTCCCACCTCCACAGAATCGTCTTGCGAGGCGGTTGTGTAGTACGTACTAATCTAGCCCAGGATTCACTTTCCCCACGATGCGGCCCCAGGATTTGTTTTCTCTTACTTGCGAAATGAGGGCTACGATAAGGTACAAGACAAGCTTTTTCTCTCTCTTTTTCCCTTCCCTTGGTTGTTCGTTTACCCGCCGCCCATTGCACGGCCCCTCTCTCCCCTCCTTTCTCACCCAGACCAACCTATTTTCGATAACGAAAACCTTTCTTGTTCTTCACTTCCCGATGAGTTGAGAGTGAGAGAGAGAGGGCACGAAACAAGACGACGACACTGGGAGAAACCGGGGGGGGGGCGGGATCAAGATCTTTCCGGGGATAACCTTTTTTTTTTTTTTTCCTTCTCCCTCTCTCTCCATAGTTCAATACCTGACAAATGATGGTCTAGACATGGAAAGGGAATGAATGAAGAAAAGAGAGAGAGAGAGAGAAAAGAAGTAGCGCCGCGCCGAGACAAGTCGGGGTGGCCGTTCTCGTCATTGGCTCGAGTCATGTTGCAACAGCATTTGCTGCTGACGTGTTTTGGGTAGATGTAATGGTTCGTAAATCTCTTCGTGAATTTTTTTCTTCGGGGGGGTTTTTTTTGGGGGGGGGGGGAATTTGATTTTTTGTAGGTGTTGCTTTCCTTTTGGGGGTCGACGTACTTTTTTTGTAAAACCTTTTCTATTTGGGGGGGAAGGGGTGGATTGCCTTCGAATCTCCCCTTTGTACGTAGCAAGGCCTTCGTGCACGTTGCAAAATAGTATCTGGGACGTTTTTGATTGAGAAGAATGTTGAAGAGAGATCTGCTTGCTGGTGGCTTCTCCAAGTGAAGCCACTGATCTTTGACTACCATAATCGTACTCCGTCCGGTAATCCATCCGCCTTGGTCCATGCAAGTCCTGCCAAGTTCCCTCCACCCCTTTCCTAAGGCCGTGTGTCATTTGTCCGATCTATGTGATATCTTTCAGTGCGAAAAAAAAAAAAAAAAAAGGAAGAAAACAAAACCACCACGAAATTGATGAAAATGAAAAAGTTGGTCTATCAAAACAAGAGCGTCTCTCCCTACAGGACTCATTCCCAGCCTCGATTTGAATTAAGCAGAAGCCCAGACTCTCGCCCACAGTATCCATCAGACAAGAAAAAGAAAACAGAAGAGGGGGGGGGGGGGGGAAAAGAAGAAGAAAAAAGTCCTGCTGAGGAGAAAGTGGTCTGTGAATCCGCCAGGGGAGCAAGTCAAGAGAGAGAAGTCTATGGTCGTGAAAGAAAGTTGTAGGATCGTGGTCCTGAACGCCTCGCAAATATATCCAGTCTATAGTTCCGGTCATCATTCGTAGTGCCTCTGTTGTAGTAGCTGTCAGATCCGAGGACGGTCTTCGCCTAGGAGCGGTCCATGAGATCGCCGCCCGCAACGCTGTTGGATGAAGAGCTGCGACCACTGGCGTTGAGACCTTCGGGCGACAGGAGGTCCTGTACGGCCACCTTGGGCATCTGGGGGACAGGCAGCTTCCGCTGGGTTCCATCCGGCCGGCTCATGATGTCCGAGAGAGACATACCAATCCTCGCACCCGTTCCAGTCGTCGGGGCGGGGGAAAACTGCGCATCAGGCTGAGGCTCAAGAGGAGCCAACGCTGGGGTGTGGTGGCCCAGCGACAGCTGCCTGAAGGGGGGGAGCTCGTATGTGGCCTGGTAAGACGGCCGGAGGCGTGGCGAGTGGGCTGGTGTAGCCAGAGGGGTGTGGTCAGGCGTGGGGGACAGCGAGTCGTGGGAGAAGGTGGGTGACGACGGAGCTGTCGACTGGGGGGAGTTGGGCCTCGACCTCTTTGCGTGCCTGTACGTGTGAGAGTAGTGATCGTCATGGTGCTCATCCTGGGAGTTGGACCTCGACATATGGTAGGCAGCCAGCGAGGGCAGGTTGCCGCGAGACCCCTGGGCGCTGTGCGAGTAGTAAGGATGGAATCTCGACGAGTGGTGGCTCGGAGACGGCGCCATCAGGTTGTCCCGCTCGACCTGGTTCGCAGCTTTGGCAAGCATGGAGATATCCATGGGCCCGCCCTGGGGGTTCGAGGGCAGGCCACGTGGCAGAGGTGGGAAGCCATGGGCTGTGGGCAGGACGAACTGCGAGAAGGAGTGAGGCGGCGAGACGTTGGGCGACGACAGCGAGGAAGGAGGAGCGGAGCGGATATTCTTGGGAGTGGGGGGTGGCATCATCTCGCCATGCTGGACACTGCCGGAAAGCATCTGGTGGGCCTGCTGGTTCTTGTTGGCCCGCCTCGAGTTTGGGTTGCTGTGTATCCTCGAGTGCCTGGTGAGCTCGTCGGAGCGGGAGAACTTCTTGCTGCAGCCTGGGAAGTTGCAGGCGTGGGGCTTCTCGCCCGTGTGGGTTCTGATGTGCCTCGTCTGATGCTCGAGACGGTGGAAGGCCTTATCGCAGAGAGGGCACTTGTAGGGCCGCGGCAGTTCGTTGTTGGCGCTGCCCTCTGAGGATGCAGGCTGGCCCGTAGGCAAGGGCCCATTGGGCCGTAGGACAGAGACAGAAGCCATGTCGCTGGTGGGCTCGTTTGGCTGTTGGGTGGGGGACTGGGACTGGCTGGTACTGCCGCTGCCAGTGTCCTGCTCGTGGTGATGATCCTGAGCAGTGCTCTCGGGATTCAGCAGATTTTGAAAATCTACTGCTGACTGTGACCGTTGCATAGGAACGCCCTGACGTCTGGATGACCCAGGTCTATCGCAGGAGAGACAAGATATGGAAGAAGGGGGACGAAGAAATTGATTTCTCTCTCTGTGTGTGTGAGAGAGAAGGAGAGAGGCTGCTGGTCGACGAGATAGAGTTCGTTTACCCTCGTTTTAGGTTTGAAAAAGGTGTTCAACGGTGTGGGGAGCCTTATCTCCAGAGAGGGCGGGCTGTCCAAGAATAGATAACGTCGAGGGGGCCCAAGGGCAGGAAGAAGCCGGTATTAAGTGTGTCTCTTTGGCCTGATTAGTGCCACTGCACATGCGCTGCGCTGGAGATGAGGATGGTGAAGGTGGTTGAATATTGCTTGGCTTTGCAGGTTGGGGAAGAAAATCTGGGGAAAGCAGCGGGTGTCATGGAATTTTCAGAGGAAAGACGCAAGAGGTGGGCTGCGCGGGTGGGAGGAGGGAGCCGAGATCTTTTTAAAACAGCAGGCGGCTTTTTCTCGTCCCTCCAGCTCCCACAGCGGGTCAGATCCAGTTCCAGCACGTAATGGACGGGGTACAGTGCTTCTGCAATCTAGGCTGGGGGCCAGGGCCGGTACTTGGGTACTTGGGTACATGGATACATTTTTTCTCTCTTTTTTCTTGGGGTGGGTGGGTGGGTACGTACCTCTTGTGGTGGGCAGACAGGGCAGAGATGGCTGCGCCTGAGCCCACAAAAGGCGAGATTTTGGTGGGGGGACCCCTGAAGCAGCCCCCCTGACAAGGGCGAAAGGGCAGAGGCGGGTCAGGGAGACATGTGGAGGTGTGCGGGTGGGGGATCAAGCACAGGGACGTCGGGACTGCGGCAAGATGCAGTACGTACCTGGGAACAAGGAGAAAGAGGGAGGGAGAGAAGGGGAAGGAGGGGGGTCACTTTAGCAATGGCGCTAGTACCAAGTCACGATCTGAATAAAGCCCAAGTGACTGACACTACCCAAACAAGAAATGAGGTTCTACTACTTGCTCCCGTTCCCAATATCCTTAGGAGTATTCTTAAGAGGGAAAAATGATGGGGTCATGACTGGTTAATTTCAAGAGAGAAAATGGAGAGTAGAGGAAAAAGGGTAGAATGAGAGGAGACGGAGAGAGACGGGGAGAAGAGAAGAGGGGGGGGGGGAGACACATCGACGAAAATGTTTCGTGTCAGGTTTTGCTTTGGGCAACATGTCATATTTAGAGTCACAGGTTACATGTGCAAGCAATTACTTTTGCTTCCTTCTCTTTTCCTTTATGTGTTTTCTGTGAGACAACTGACCTACCGAAACTATCCTGCACAAGCCTCCCTGACGCTCGTCCCTCCATAACGCAGCGACGCCCTGAAGCAACGATCGGAGGAACCCTACCTGAACCGCTCTCTCCCTCTCTCTCTCCCTCTCCAGTCCCATCTCGTCATCCCGGATCAGGCCATGATCATCTCAGGATCGTCACAATCCGGGGTACAAAGTATCCATCCCGTATCCCCGCGGAGAACACCACTGGTCAAAATGAAGCCGCCCTTCTCTCACCCTCCCAAACCCCCCCCCCTTTCCTTGCTACGATGGCTTGGGGCCTTTCGGATGGCCTACGAGGCTCGAGAGACAACTAGTACCATAGTATGATTTGGAAACCCCATGGGCCAAGCCATTACATAGTCGTATATGACTTAATGGAGGCAGGGCGGTGGGTCCCCCAAGCCTGAACCGGCAACCCTACATGTCTGTCAGGTCAATCTGGAATCCAGATAGCCTTACCATGCCGCATATGTTGAGCAACGACAGGCGCGGCTATAGCCAAGCATATTTGGGGCTGCAACTGCTGGGCCACTCTAGCGGTGTCAGCTACGGAAGGGAACCTGAAGGAAGGGCAGCTTGATTGGGCTCCGACGAACCAACCAAACCCCCCCTATGCCCGCCCGTCAAAATTACAAGCCACCCGAAGCTAACTCTGTCTCTCTCTCCCTCCCTCTTTTCTCTTTTATTCTGCCTCTCCCTATCCATTACCCCCTTACCCCAGACCAAATGGGCCCCGGGCGGCTGCAGGGCGTGGGGATCTACCTGCCGCAGCTCAACTGTTTCTTTTCATCCATTTTATCCGGGCCAGGCGGATATTACGACAACCCACTACGAGATTGCGAGATAAGAAGAAAGCCCACGATAGTATCCAGCCGTAAAAAGAAATTCAAATACGAAAAGTAAGAGAGAAAACGGAAAATTCAAATACGAAGGGGAGAGGGAAGGGTAAAAAAAAAAAAAAAAAAAAAAAAGGATGAAACATCATGCTTGCTGCGTTGGACATGGTCTGCGCCACGCTGGCTTGTACATGCAGGAGATAAGCCCTTGAATCTCTGCTGGTAGGACTCTCCTCCAATCCGTCGACGTGTTCGATCTCTCTCTTTGTCTCCCACATTTCAGCCAAGCCAGAGGGGACACGTTGTTCCTGCACATTCTGCGTACCACAATCATCAGATCAAACGCCCACAACCGCCTGAGGGTTCTGCGGAGTGTGGGGTTCTCCAAAAAGGTCCCAGGAAAAGCCGGAGGACGGGGTCGGGACAAGGCCGATTCTTACCCCAGATTGGTGACGCAGTCTGCTGGCTCATTAGGCTTCGTCATCTGTATACACCCCCTCCCCCCCCGTCTTTTCTTGTCTTTCCTTCCTTCCCAAAATTGAAAAGGGGGGGGGGGGTGTTTCTTCTTCCTTGCCTCGCTCATTATTCTAACTCCGTGAGCCAAGATTTGAATACTTTTCAAGCCTGCAACTTTCCGCTTGGGTATCAGACAAAGACAAATGAAGAAAGCCCAGAGCGGTTCCCGTTTGGGTCCCCCCCCCCCCCAAAAAAAATAATAATTAGTAACCCTGGGGCCTAAACGTGGGGGAGTCTGCTTAGCTTGGTCAGGCCCTGATGCGTGCCTCCGGAAAATCTTCGTGCGAGGCCGGACGAGACAAAGATAAGAAAATACTACCCGAGGAGGCTTAGCTTCTTATCTTGATCCAGCCGAAACGGGCCAGCGGACCCGATGCCATTGACAGTGACCTTTTTTCGCTGAAATCTCGGCCTGTTCACATTGGATTCTCGTACTATGCGAGTACTATAGCAATGTGCGGATCCGAACTGCATGCTCAGGCAGGAAATAATAAACTAGAAAATACAACTCCTTTATATTGATGTGGTAGGCTACATAGTATACGTCGATAGTACCATATTGTTTTTATTATTTTGTTCTTTAATTTTTTTCCCTCCTATTTCTTTCCTTCTTCTCCTCCCGGCTCGATTCACGCCCCAACCCGCGCCAGGAATTTTGTGAGCTGGCTGTATCCCGGCGATGGGCTCTGCGCTTCTCACGATCTGGGGAAAGTTGAGCCAATCGCGCCTATCTTCCCCATCATCTTCTCTGGTAGACCTGGCTTTCTCTGGGCTATCGACTAGGCCTTGATCTTCCCGGGGTGGGAGCAGGTATTGTAGTCGTTAAAAGCTAGTTAGGTCTGCCCTCCCTCCCAAGGTTTTGGGTTGTTGTGCTTCCAAGATGTCGTCACTTCTGGGTTGCAAGCGGTCACATCTCGGAAGCACATGTCAAAGTCTGTCCCTGGCCAGAACCTTCTGTGTGCCGCAGTCCAGCATGGTAAGAACTTTACTTACTGTAGTAGAAAACTTCCTGGATCGTCGTCATTGATGCCGATCTTGAAAAAGAATTTTTTTTTTTGAGAGAGAGAGAGGGAGGGGGGTTGCGTTTCCTTGCTGGGAGGAGAGGAGGGGTCACCGCAGTTGATCGTAATGGAACTGGCATGTGAAGGGCGCAATCATGCTCCCGTCCAACCATCTCCCCACGGGCTTGCAACTTTTTTGCGGGGAGCTGGTCTTCGAGGCTTGCACCTCGTAGCCTTGCAAGGAAAAGCTCGGGACTGCCTGAAACGGGATGGCCGAGCCTGGTGAATGGGGAGCATGCTGAACTCCCCTTCTCTTCTCTCTCTGGCCCCCCCGCCTTTTAGTCTGATATCGACAAACTGACCTGGACCCCTCTGATGCAACTTCCAACGAGTCTCGCAAGCGATGAGAAATAAGTCTGCGAGTCAAACAGATCCAGTCTTGATGGTGTTCCAGCGCCCTTGGCATGGATTGGGCCCTCGCGACCATATCGCGTCTTTGACGAAATCCATAGTCTCGGCGAATGCGCCGGCGAAATTCCTCTTCGCTAGCCACCAATGTGGCCGCTCGCTCCGAGAGTCCTACTGACACTTTATCATACCCTGATAAATAAATAAAAACGATTGTGCAATGACTGAAATTGTCCACGAGCTACCATGTCTGGAGGAGCCACGGTCAACGAGCCACGGCGGGGGCAATCCCCATCCACTGTGCGACGACGAGAAGAATTTCCCCAGTTTAGCAAATTTGCTATAGTACTATGTTAGGCGGGGGCTCCACAAGGTGGTCCCTTTCGCCTGGGTCCGGCTCATCACCAAAGTGCCTTTGAACGTGGGCCGCTATGGCAATTCTGAACCCCTCTCCAGTTGTTTTTTTTCGCTCTGATACTCGCGGTCCGAAGACTGCCCGAACGTGGCTGGGGGCCAGAGCATACACGGATCTCTTTTGAACACGTAGCTCTTTTGTTTCTTCTTCTGTTTCTCTTTTGGATGTCGAGAGATCACACCTTTCCGTAGCGTCATGCAGGACCGAATATGTTGCCGAAAGAGGGGGGGCACCCAAAAGTTTAAAAGCGCCGCATTCACATGCCAAATCACTTCATATATGAAAAGGAAAGGAAGGAAGGGGGGGGGGGGGAACAAGCAGTTGGATTAATCGCAACGCAGGCTTGCTGTAAAGGCAACAAAGGTGCAGTGGTTTTGATAGTGGTGCCAGTGCTCGTGGGCCCCAGCACTCTCTCGGCCGTTTTCTAGTGGGCAGTTGGGGCGAACTTGAACAACATGGCCTTATGAGGGCGGCCGCTTTCGTCGCTGTTTTTCTGCATTGTCAATGATGCCGTTAAATGCTCTCAAGCCGTATCTGAATCTGGGGATAGAACTGGCTCGTCTCTGGCTTCCCAATCAGGTAAGGCATGATTCCAAAACTTCTGCGGGTTTTCTATTTTTTTTCTTCTTCTCTCCATTTCTTCTTGTTTGAAGCACGGTTGCTTGGCTGCTTGGCTGCTTGAAATCGACCCACCCCGGGGGTCCCTTTTGCTATTGTTCGGAACTTGGGCGAAACAAGGCCGTCTCTTGTGGCCCAGACCAGGCGGGCCAGGCTTTGTGTTTTCGGTGAAATTTCCCGGCTTCCACAATCCCCCAGTCTTTGCTATGCTTTGATCGGCAAGGGTTAGAAGTACCAGGGCTGATTCAGAGCTTCGGAACAGAAGATCCTGAAGAGTTACAAACCTCTCCAGATCCTCTAGAGCTGACCTGTCATCCCTCGTGGCCAGCGATGAAGCTGCTGATTCGATCTAGTTGCTTCCAAGTTAGATCCTGCGAAAGACCCCGGGGCGCCAATCCGAACCATCCGTGGACTCTTGCAGTCAAGTCTTGCAGTCTTGTAGCGGAGCCTCGGGTCATCTCCGATGGGAGCTGCGATGCACACACCATTTGTGGCCGTGAATGCGACGGCCACCTCAAAGAAAGGGCGATTCAGCCTTGGAAGGGCTTCATTTGCGGATGGAGCGGTCTCGCGAGTCAACTCTGTACTGACGGTCATATCTGGGCGTACCAGGGGGAACAAACTGGCGCCCAGGTGCTGAAACAAGTACGTTCAGGGCGGCAGCGCTGGTAAGTCTGGATAGGGAGGTCTCGTACCTCGCGTACACCAGGTCAGTGGTGTGGTCTGGTGGGCGACTCAAGAAGATGAGGCTTGCAAACCCCAGATTCTGTCAAGGGTTCACCTTCAGGGGTTTGCAGCCTGTGGGGTGTGGGCATGTTGCATCCTCGACGGGGGGTCTGGATGCGAGCCCGCCCTAAGAGGCTCCGGTCCTCTCCTTTTTGGCACTCTGCAAGGGCGAATGTCTCTTGATATTGGCCCCATCGCAGAGCAGATAAAAATATTCCCTCCTGCAAGCCTAAGCAGCTGATCTGTTCGTATTGGACTGGCCCCATGGGTGTACCACTCGACAGCGACTTGCATCTGCGACTGTCAACCACACCAAAGTGCGAGACAAAAGGGTCAGTTGAGCAGGACATCACACACACATGCAAACACATGCACACACATGCACACACATACACACCTGACTGCTTCCGTGGTGATCAATGAGCACACCCACCTGGACAAACACGCTTTTGTGTGTTGGAACGAGTTCAAATAGGAGCCGAGGCCCCCCCCCCCCCTTCGCACCCCACGCTTCTGGGCGGGCTATCGATTGTAATTTCGCAGCGGCCACCCGCTGTTATCTTGGAGCCGCTGCGCCCCGCGAAATAGGCGTCCCCGTGGGGGAATACGAAGATGACAATCATGGAGGCAATTAGCCCGTAATGATCCGTAATCCGTTGGATTCGTAGTCGTACCACAATAGTTGCTCCGTATTGCCGGGCGCATATGAGAAACTTACTTTTCGTGGTGCTAGATGTTTCTTGAGAGTCCTGACCAGCCTGGCGGGTTTGTGAAGCTGTGCCCAATATGGCCCCGCCTTGCTGATGGAAAGAGAGAGAAAGTGTGTGTATGTGTGTGAGAGAGATACAACACAAGACTGTGGCATAGGATTCTGATCTGCGCTGCTCCTCTGACTCCCTTGAACAGGCAATACTTTATAGTTGATGGTATATTTCTTCTTTTTTCTTCCTTTTTGGGTGACGGGGAGATGTGAAATGTGATTTATGGGATGATGTGGTAGACTTTTGTTTCCCAGGTGCAACTACCCCACACTCTAGTCGCGCTTTCTCCAGACGCGTCAATTGTACTTGCCACCTCAACCGTAAACTTGGACCTTCATCATCAGCCATATAGTTTGGAAAGAGGTAAGGTAGGCACGTCATTCCTCAACTGCAAGCTGAGTCAACCTGCACAAACAAGTGTTCCGAGAACCTTTGATGCTGTCGTGAGCCATGGACTATCATACAAGACACGGCCACGATGTGGTCGGCAGCTTTGAGCTACCCTCATCGCGTGAGTTACTGGTCCTATCGGGATGCCAACACCATATATGCTGACGTTCAGGTCAGACAAGACGACTACCATCTCAGCAGCACGGGCTCTGGATGAGCGCAATGACGCCGTGTACGTGTCCCCATTCGTGCCCACTGGTCTACCTGACCTCGACCAGGCTTTGCTAGAGAGCAGCGTGAGTGCACCAGATGGTGTAGGTGTTAAGGGCGGCATGGCTAGGGGTCAGATTACTGAGCTATGGGGCCCCCCTGGGGTGGGCAAGACGGCCCTTGGGTGAGTCGACAAATGCCGCCGATGCAACTGGAAGGTGTCCATGCCTGACCGGTCTGCAGCATGCAAGCGGCCACGGCTGTGCTACGTGGTGGCGGGAGTGTCGTCTGGGTCGACTGCTTCCATCCCGTCTGTCAAGATCGGATCGCGGAGTTATGCACTGGTGCAGATGCCGAGAGGACCAGCGTGCCGTCTGATCCCCTGAGCAAACTGGTTCATTATTGCTGCCCAAGCCTGGCTCATTTCATTGCCTTGCTCTGCAGGCCAACACGCTCGGCCCTGCCACTGGACACGGCTCTGGTCGTTGTCGATTCCTTGTCCGCCCTTATCAATCATGCATTTCCAAGGATACCCGCTCTGGAAGCGGGGAGCAGAGGTGACAAAGGGGGTGTGTGTCTACTACCTGCCTTAGGCTAAGAATCGCTTTACTTACTTGGGTCGGCAGATTTTTCACCCTCGTCGAGACGAATCCATCTCCTCCAGTACATTGTAGACGCCTTGCAGAAGCTAGCCGCGACTCATAATGCCGCAGTAGTCGTCCTTACACAATGCGCTACGCGAATGCAGGCGGAAAGAGCCGCGACTCTGATCCCGGCCGTTGTTTCTACCATCTGGGAAGGAGAGATCGAGACGAGGGTTGCGCTCTTTCGGGACTGGTCGTGGCATGACGGCCGAGTATCTGGCGTACGACTCGCTACAGTACAAAAGGTCAATAATAAGGTAACACCGGATGCGCTAGAGAAGGTATACGCCTTCGAAATCGAGTCGGTTGGTCACACCGCCCCCCCCCCCTGCCCAGGCTTTTCTATTTTATTTTCATAATTCTTTCTCCTTTGTGCTGAGATCTAGCAGACAGGTCTGATACCCGTGGACTACAACGAGACTCAAGCGGAGGGTGCGGTTGCCTATACTACAGCTCAAAAGCGCAAGCTCGCGGAAGCGGGTTTCGAGCTTCCAGAAAGCGAAGAGGACGAATACGGTTGGCGGGAGGAGGACGATAGTGCATTGCCCGGACCGCCGCCCCAGTGGCAGGGCAGCGAGGATATCTTGCTGGGGAAGCATCCCGAGAGAGAGGACGATGAAAGCGACGTCGACAGTGATGATCCGGATCCGGAGCAGGAGGCTGAGCAGCTTGTTGAGGAGGATTGAGCCGCACTGCAGAAGAATGGGTCTTGAATGCGCACGCACGTTGCCATCCCTCGCACGTTCCGACAGTTACGGGTCCTCCACAGCGCCGCAGTGTCGCCTATCTTCCTCTCGCCGACTTCCAGGCCTGTGCAGGTAAATTTTTAATGCTGGGGAAGATGTCGTGATCGGTCCAATGTCGGCTTCACATTTGTGGGGCCAGTGGACGGAGTTTGATCTCGGCCAATCCCGCCATTTTCGCCGAAATCTTCGGCGCGAATTTCCTCAGGAGGCTGGAGCAGCACTGACACGACTGGACATGCTGGATTACCGAAAGCGACAGTACTGGCAGGGCTGGCCATTGTGCTTGAAAACAAATGCTAGCCTTTTCTTCTTGTTTCTTTTCTTTCTTTTATGCGGTACGCAAGACATCTCCTGATGTCATGTTGTGTCGATGACGTGGATTCTATGCAGCTGCAGCAAAGAATCATGGATGCACAATATGTGAGCTCTGCGCTGCGCTGAATTTTGTGCATCCTCATATAGAGAGAGGCGCTTGCCATGTTCAGAGCTGTGTCGCGATTTGGTACTAGCCTAGGACGAGAGTACAGCACTGTTTCATGCTAGGATGCTGGCTGGCTGACTAGCCTGTGGCTACTGCCGCCCAGCTTAGCGTCTCACGAAAGAGAAAGAGGCAAACAAAAGAACAGAAGAAGGTTGGGGGGGGGGGGCCTTGAGTGTCGTAGCGGGGAATGCACTGCAGTCTTCCCCAGGAGAATGAGTGAGCAGGTTTTGCGGACCAGGGTCAAGCGGATGGATGCATGATGATCAGCTCAAACTCCATCACAACCCAGACGGCAACAAGAAAGAAGGAAAAAACTTCTCTCTCGCAGTACCCTTGATCCCCAGTGCAGAGACTTCACGGCTATGAAAACCGGGGTACAGCATCGGCAGTCACATTTTTTGGTGACATCGCCAGCGTCCAGCCAATCCACCCCCAGATAACCTCGGCCATAGCCCGAGCACAATGGGCAAGCGAGAGGACTGGTGTGCCTCCGAGCTCCACATCTCAACCTCTTGCGGCACCAAAGACCTGGCCGCGAGCCTTTTTATTCCCTTCTTCCAAAGGCTGGCGCCCGATGCTCTCCCCAACCAACTTACCAAGTTGTAGCTGCAGCTATGGAGACAACCATCTGATATCTGATGAATCTGACACCACCAGCCCCTCCCTGGTGGCCTGTTTCTGGGGTTGTGCGGATCTACCCGCCGTGGGCTCCAATGCCGGTGCGACTCTGGCCTTTGATCAACAGCAGGATGCCCTCTTCCATTGCCTTGCATCAAGTCTTTACAAGTGCAAGACAGTTGTTGTCGGCCTTCACAATTTGAAATTCTGAGCATCCCAAGTGACTATCTCGATCATGCTGCATGTAATTTCTCCTCATTCATGGGCTCATCGGCTCTCCTTTCCCCCATAAATTGGCTTAGGAGGGGGGTCGGCAGTAAGTGCGTCCAATTTGCAACGCTCTCGACCATCATTACAAGGATGACTTGCAGCGGAAATGCAGGCCAGTGCCGCCCGCCCGCCCCTCCATCTCCCTGTCCTCATTTTGTTGCTTCCGGCTGCATTGGTTTTTTTTTTTTTTTTTTTTTTTTGGAGAAACAGCCGGCATATATACGTCCATGATTGGAGATGTTCAAGCTATACCTTCTTTGAACACATCTGAGGCTTTGAGACGGCTAACCGGTGTATCGGCTTGGCCATCCGGGGACGTTGTTTCTGACGCATGTGAAAGCGAGAGCCTCACACATTGTCCTGCTGCGATCGGTCATACCTTTACCATTGCTCTCAAGCGCGGCCCGTCGAGAGAACGATCATACCTCATGATGCAAGTATCAGAGGGAAAGTATTGCCGGGTCACTACCACTTGGACAAGCTGGAATCTCTACGTTGTCCAGGTAGGACTGATGTAGGGATGTGGTTGTATACACAACAACTTGGGTGTGTTGCATGAGGGGTCGTGTCGTGTTGAGCATCTCCTCGGGCGGCCGGCCCACCTGCATCTGCCCATGGGGTGATGTCTGACGTGTTGACGGAGAATCCCCCGCATCAATACGCACCCCAGATCGCGTCTGTCCCCTCAATCCCCGGTCTACTCCGACAGACTGGTCAATGCTTGTGCATGTCTTAATCGCCTCTTGCAGTACCTTGCCTTTCGGTGTTTCTGGGCCCATTGAGCGGTCAAGAGTCGAGAGAGTCATTAGTGCCTAGATTCCTGCATGTCCTACCATGTCAAAATGGCCATCATCATCCATCGGAACCGCCAAGGCTTGCTCCTGGTTCCCGCCACCGATTAGACAAGGTAGAACATTTGCCTTTTCTGCCTGCGCTGCTCCTACTGGCGCGGGACTTCATATTGCCACCGTTCAGCAGATTTCGAGGAAATGAATATGCATGGGCTGGGGATCCAATGGTACAGTATACCGAGGAACATCTCTCAGTCCAGCAAGTTGCTAACTCGGAGGCATGTATGTACTGGATCCGAGATATTCACACGGCAGACGGCATTGCGGGACGGCATTCACCCTCCAGCCTGACGCTGGGCTTGCGCCACATATGCAGCCTCCCTTAGCAATACAACAATAGAAAACAGAATTTCTTGGTTATATATCTGCAACCGTACCTGTGGCCCACAGGCACCAGAAGGACCGATTGGCTCACCGTCTGCAGGGAGGGGGAAAAAAGCAACCCTCAAGAGACTTGAAGGCTGCCTCATCAGTCATGCATACCTCTTTTTTTGCCCTTAGGTGACTGACCAAACGGCAGGCTACAGCCTGTTGAAAAGGCGCCATGGTCAAACGATGGGAAGGACGTGCAGGGTTTGTGCATGCGCAACTGCTGAAAGTCCCATAGTTTCTTCCAGTCTGTTTTTTCTTTCCTTCCTTCTATGGCGACGGATCGTCCCATCGTTGCCTTAGTTCATTGGGCCTCAGAGGGTTGGGGGGGACACTCGCTTAGGACAGTCTGGCCAGACTGATTCGAGTAAGAGGTACTACAACAAGTAATCTCTGTATCTTATGATTAGGTAATGGAAGAGGAGGAGGGGTGGGGGTTTGATGCTCTTCGTGGGATTGGTGCCAATGCCTCCTCAGCAGCGATCGATGCGTCCATCGCCTGGAAGCCTCATCCTGCGGTCCGTCAGCTGTCTGCCTCATGTTGCTGCTCATCAATATCAAAGCTACGAGCATTCTAATTTTGTAGATGTTTCAGATGTCTTCATCCACCCGTGTATTAGGCCATTGTATATCCTACCACACTAGGAAAACAAGTCACTATTGTAGCATGAGGAACTCCCGGAACAAGGTTATCTAATGCATCTCGTCTAGATAAGATGGCGTAGCAACACTATACAAATAAACTTCACGCCAATTACCCGTACCATGGCGAAGGGTCGTGGAGTTGGCTCGGTGTGACTCTGATAGGAGGGGGGGGAGGGGGAGGAGAGAGAGAGAGATGGATCAAGTCCGTTTGCTCTGCGTGCTGGAGGAACATCCATTGTGTGATTATCTCGCGAGCTTGATACTGGGGACCTGTTGCTGCCACGAAGGCTGGTGTACTGTAGTGGGTGTTAGAGAACCATCTGGCCCTGCTGGAACGATTGGAGATATTTTGATCCCGCCAGAGGAAAGGAGCCTTGTACGTGGTGCACGATGAGAGAATATTCGCGTGGGCTCTTGGCTGTTTGTAAGCACCGGAGACCTGTACGATTACTGGTCTGGATAATTTACATCTCGGTCGAAATGGTCGTTGAGCTCCTTGGTGTTCATGCACATCATGCGTGCAATTTTGGGACCCCATGGGGCCTCCTAGCAGGTCTCCTATGATACTGGTCTCGTGTCTACGGAATTACCTAGACAAACACATCTAGTTCCAGGTCTGACAGAAGATGAGCCTGACCAGAAGCCCTTTCAGCGATGTATACCAGCTGAGATTATGTTCAATAAGGCACCGATACCTCCATGTCCATTCGGGCAGGAACAATATTCCCATGGACTGGGTTGAGCAGATCTTGCCTACTTCCTAGACACAAAACAATCTGAACGATTCCCTACATACATACGATGTCTATAAAGATGCAGCCGGATTCGGAGACCGAGATACATTCTCTGTCGACATAAAAAGGTCCGACTTCCTCATCGCTCGTGACAGCGCCTACATCTCCCATGGATATGTTGGTCGATGTTGTTACTGTCCGGCCGCTCTTCAGATCACAGCAGCCATTCTTGCACATCAAAAAGTGCACATTGCCTAACGAAGGCAAAAGGGTGGCTGGTATCAATTTAAGAACAAAAGTCACATGGCTGCGCGCTTGTGCCCGGAATCTGAGGACGGGGCTCATAGCGACAGAGTACCGTGAGATGCATTGCTGGCTCGGATCAGCGTCTACACGCAACCTACAAGACATTTGGGTGTGGAGGGTCGAAGGAAAGACGTATGTGTTCCTTAATTCACGATGAAAGATCGGGGCCATGCGTCGTCCGGCCTCAGCGACGCAAGATTCCTCAAATGTATTCTGTATAGAAGACGTTGTGTTTGAGACTTTCGATTGACAATGATGGGAACGAGGCTGGACAGTAATGCGAGAATAACACGAAAAGTTGGTATCTTGCGAGTTGACCGCCATGTTCTTGATGAAAACCATGGGGTCTTGTAAACGCTCGACTATATCGAACTCGATGTGTCGCAATTCAGCTCCACTTGATGCCAAAGAGCTTGGTGCCTTTCCCTCCACCGCCTTGCTGAGAGCTGGCACTGTCGTTCTCGAGATAGATCCTCTGCTGACCCCTGATATCTACGTAGAAATACTTGTACTCATACTCGCCATGGCCCACGTGTTTAATCAGGTGAATATGCACTGATCCCCTGTTCAGCGGGCCCTCGACCTGTCCTTGCCCATCAGCTTCTATCCCAGCAACCACACAGAAAAGGTCCGTAAAAACTCACATAGAACTGCATGATGAGATGGTGGTTTCCTTGCTGATCCGTCCTCTCTGTAGACCTGTTTCTGTTCAGCACATGCCGGCTTTTGACTGAAAAAGAAAGCTTGTGTGTCATCAAACTGACGAGATTGGCCGGGCCCTCCTCCACTTGTTATATGTCTCTTCGCCATGGGCCGTGATCTTCTTGCTGTCTCCAAGAAGCTCCAAACATCGACGGTCACTCTTGATCCGATTCACAGCACGGTTGAAATATGTCACCTTGCTCTCAGTGCTAAACACCTCGGTCCAGAGGAAGTAACCCACGCCACCCTGGGTTTTTTTCGTCTTCATCAGCTCCCATACAGCGAAGATACCAAAGAGGAAGGCTCTATTCCAACCCAGAAGAAAAAGAAGAACAAAAGGTAATCATACCGTGAGAACCACACCAACAATGATGAAACCAAAGTTGAATGTCTGCTGGGCTGCCCGTGCGGTCTTCTCAGCCCCGGAAAGGTCGGTCCAGGGAACATGGCCGTCATCGTTGAAAGGGGTCACTGCACGGCGTTTCGAGCTGGCTGATGACGCCCCTGAATTCGAACCTCCTGTGCTGGCATAATATCTTCTTTGGAATAGGTGGGCAGCGACCAGGTGAGGATGACAATTGGTGAGTGTTTTGGCCGGCCGCAGGGCTGACACGGGCAAGACTGATCTCATCCTGGCGGCAGCGACATCTCAATCGCTCAGCAGCAATGAAAAGAGGGATGGAGAGACAGGATATCTGTTTGTGTAATACCAGAAGTGAGAAGGCTTGTGAGAAGAAGAAAAAATCGATGTCGAGGCTTGAAGTTTGGAACCTCTGATCAAGGTTGGTTGTTAACTGCTGCTTCTTTTCTTGATACTCTTTTTAGTGTGGGGATCAGGTGCTAGCCTCATCTTGGCTTAGTCAGATTGCTTGAAGACACCGCAGCCACAGAGGGAGAGCCTCTCTCCTGGCGACGGTCTCAAGGGCGGGTCTCGGTTGGACTTCACTCTCGCCGGCTGGAATTAATTCGTCGCGCTGTCCGTTTCCACTGCACGCATCTGGTGTATCGCCTCCCCCCTTAAACACCTGGACACCCACGTAATTTGCGCCTCTGCAGATCCCACACGACACCAAGTCAGCTATTCCAGACCAAATTCTTGAATCGTTCGCATTTGCCCTCACTTTCCCTCTTCCCTTCGAACCCGATCATTTAGGAGCTCGTGGCCCACGCCGTCAAGATGAGTGCCGCGCTCGCCTCCAAGCAGCAGTCGCTAAAGATCTTCGAGAAGCTCAAGACCAAGCCAGCAAACAAGGTTGGTACAATTCATGCACGGCGCGCGCAGGAACAGACAACCAGCTGCGCGGCTCTCTCAGGGGCTCTGATTACTGACAGTCCTCGCCCCGGCAGATCTGTTTCGATTGCGGCCAGAAAAACCCAACATGGACCTCGGTGCCCTTCGGCATCTACCTCTGCCTCGACTGCTCCTCCAACCATCGAAACCTTGGCGTCCACATCTCCTTTGTGCGGTCGACCAACCTTGACCGTAAGTGTGTTCGTTGCGCGACTCTACATGGTGTACCGATCTCGCGCTGACGGCATGATTACTATCAAAAGAGTGGCAATGGGACCAGCTCCGTATCATGAAGGTTGGCGGCAACGAATCTGCCACCAAGTTCTTTCAGTCCAATGGCGGTACCGCCGCGCTGAACAGCAAAGACCCCAAGACCAAGTACCAGTCCAACGCGGCGACCAAGTACAAGGACGAGCTCAAAAGACGGGCCGCTAAGGATGCCCTGGAGTACGTTAACGATGCGCCGTGACACGAGTCTCCACATCTTTCTCTTACTGACTGAGGGGCTTCTAGTTACCCGACTGAGGTCGTTATCACTGACGGCGAGTCGGCCGACGGTACATCCACCCCGGCTGGAGAGCCCGATGACGACTTCTTTTCATCCTGGGACAAGCCCGCTATCAAGAAGCCCACGCCGCCAGTTTCCCGAACCGCGACCCCGCCAGTCATCAGCCGCACTGCGTCTCCTTTCCTCAAGGCCGGCGGAGAAAATGGCGGTGCCCGTGCCACTTCGCCCGCAGCTGGCGAACCACCAAAGCCTGCTGCTGCTCGCATAACACACTCATCCGCGCTCAAGAAGACGTCGACTGGAGCTAAGAAGACGAGCGTGCTGGGCGCCAAGAAGGCCGGCAGCAAGTTGGGCGCCAAGAAGGTTGTCGCAGCTGCCGACATTGACTTTGACGAGGCGGAGAAGAAGGCAAAGGAGGAAGCAGAGCGCATCGAGAAGCTGGGCTACAATCCCGACGAGGAGGAGGCCGAGGCCAAGAAGGCGGCTGCCGAGTCCAGCACCAGCATTGTCTCCCCAACCCCTGTCAGCCCGCCGCGCGGAGGCTACGGTTCTGCATCTCACACGCGGGAGAAGTCGGCTTCCGAGGTGGAGCGACTCGGTATGGGAATGGGCCGGCTAGGTTTTGGCCAAATTGGTGCCAACAAGGCTGCGGCGGCGGCCAAGAAGCAGACTGGCACCGGTGGCTTCGGGTCTGTTGGGCCGATCAAGGCTGCCCCCGAGACTGGTGCGTTCTGACCATTTTCTTTGTTTTTGCCTGCTGGGACAATGAATGTGATTTGGCTTACTGACCTCTCCGGTGATCAGATGAGGAGAAATACGCGCGAAGCAAATTTGGCAACCAAAAGAGCATCTCATCCGACGAGTTCTTCGGCAAGGGCTCGTACGATCCAAACGCGCAAGCCGAGGCCAAGACGCGCCTGCAAGGTTTCGAGGGCGCCTCAGCCATCTCGTCCAATGCCTACTTTGGACGCCCCGATGAGGAGCAGACGGAGGAGTATGGCGACCTCGAGAGTGCCGCCAAGGACTTCATCCGCAAGTTCGGTATCACGGCTGGCGACGACCTGGAAAACCTACAACAGGTCCTCGGCGACGGTGCTAGCAAGCTGCAGGGTGCCATCCGGAGCTACCTGGGCAGCTGAGCGAATCCCATCCAGCCGTCACGCAGCACACATACACACACACTTTCCAATAGAATAACCTTTGCTTCACTCCTTAATGTGGCGGGCGCGCACAAGTTATGGGGAATGATCATGAGCCATGCTTGGGGCCGCAACGGATCTGGGGGACGAAGGGTGGGAAAAGAAGAGGGAAGAGAGAAAATTATCGATCCTGCCATCATACGGCGCGCAAAAAGAAAAAGAAAAACTCAACAACAAAACACAGCAGTCGTCGTTCTTGATGTGGTTACGATGAGACGTGGCGCTAGATTGGCTACTCTTAGACGAGTCGCGTCGGGGCAAGGAAAACGGTATCGATCATCGACTTTGGTACATTATGATTTTTTTTTGTTAAAACAGAAATGGCAGTATATTTATCATCATCCACATCTACAGGCTGTATGAAGAAAAAGAGATTCTTGCCGACCTGTCCCAATGTAACGCCTTCTGATGTCGTAACCCTATCAAAGAGTAAACCGTGTCATGCAGCAACTCAGCATCTCAGCTACTCTCGAGCTTAACAGCCCCTCCGCAGTCCACGCCTGAGCTAGGTCGACATGTAGAAATAGAAAAAAAACAAAAAAAAAAAACACAAAACTATCGCAAGGCTAATTCACACTTTTGACAAAATCTTCATCATATTTCACAACTTGGACGAGGTCTTGACCAGCTGGGCGCCCCTCTGCAAGGAGGCAGCAGCGTCGTCCACGAATTCATCAACAATGGCCTTGGCGCTCTTCTTCTCGTTACACACGGCGGCGGCGGCGCCCATCAGGAAGGGGCGGAACTGGTCCATCAGCTCGTCGATGTCGACCTCGCCATCGGCGGCACCGGGGACCTCCATGCCCTTGGGCGGCTGGGTCAGCTCGCCGCTCATGACCTTGTCGAGGTCGGCCTCGTAGGGCAGGACGCCCTTGGCGGTCAGGTCCTTGATCTCCTGCTGGCGCTCGGTCTCCCAGTGGGTAATGTAGGGGTTCTTGCGCACGCGCAGGGGGCGGCCGGTGAAGATGAGGGTGCGGATGGTGTCGTCGAAGCTGGCGGTGCGGACGGCCTCCTTGTGGGAGTCCGGGGCGCCGGCCTCGTCGGAGAGGACGAAGCGGGTGCCGACCCAGACGGCGGAGGCACCCATCATCAGGCTGGCGGCGAGCAGGTTGCCGTTGTGGATGCCGCCTGCGGCGATGACCTGGACGGGCAGGCCTGTGAGGGGGCTCTTGTGGCCCTTGACGGCGTCGACGACGGCGGGGATCAGGATGGTGGTGGCGACGTCGCCGGTGTGGCCGCCGCCCTCGCCGCCCTGGGCGCAGATGATGTCGCAGCCGAGGTCCAGGCACTTCTTGACGTGCTTGGGATGGCCGATCATGTTCATGTACAGGATCCCGTTCTTGTGCAGCTTCTCGACGACGTGGCGAGGGGGGACGCCGACGGCGCTCACAAAGAGGCTCGCCTTCTCCTCGATGACAATGTCGATCAGCTGGTCCAGCTTGCCCTTGGTGTAGTCGTAGTTGGTCTTGCGGGCGCTGCCGCCGACCTGGGGCAGCAGGAGGTCGACGCCGAAGGGGGCGCTCTTGTCGGTCAGGTAGGACTTGAGCTCGGCGATCTGGTCACGGAGCATGTCTGGCGTGTAGTTGACGCCGCCGATGACGCCGAGGCCGCCAGCGTTGGTCACGGCTGCGGCGAGCTTGGGGCCCGCGGCTACGTTCATGCCGGCGAGGAGGACGGGGTGGTTGATCTTGAACAGATCGGTGATCGGGGTGCGGATCTTCTCTGTTTGGGTTGGAGGCAAAGTGTCAGTGGCTTTAACTCGAGACTGGAGGAGGAGGAGGAGGAGGACAAGCGAGAAAAGAAACTTACGTGGTGAGGCCATCTTGACGGTTGATGCTGGTTGTTGTTTTGCGATCGGAAGATGAAGAGATGTGATTCTGAGCTGATGGTAGTTGAGCAAAGCAATGGGTATGTAAAACAATATCCTCAAAGGCTGCAGAAATGGGAAGAAATGGAAGAGAAGAAGAACAAAATCAAAAAGTACAAGGAGCCACCCTTTTCTTCGTTTTCAAACCAGAGAAAGGGAATCCGGGGAAAGCTGGGGATGCAACGACCCTCTCTCGGTTTACTACACATGCGGGCGGGACGCGAGAGTGTGGAGAGCGAGCCGAGGCAGTCGGCGGATCGACGTTACTACGTAGGTGGTTTAGTGGTGTGGGCCACTGGGCTCATGCATGACCTGAGCGCCGGGCCAAACTATCAGCCGTTATATGTCTGCATCAGAACTTCCCCAAATATTTGTTACACTCTTTGGTGGGAAGGCTGTTTGGTTAGTTCACCGCAGGGCGTGCCGAGGTAACAACAATAAGTCACAGTTGGCAACGATATTCCTTAGCAAGTAACATGACCAGCCTCCTTGTAGAAGGCGTGTCAGATGTTTGGGGTGGATTGGCCTGCTACATATATGAATAAATGCTTCAAGTAGTATTTAATGCTACATCAATTTTCATATTAGTTTACCATAGCATTAAAATGTCGTTTTTTCTATTTCATCAAATTATTAAGAAAGTATGGAGAGAAACACCACAGCAGTCTTCAGATCAGTCAGTGAATGCCCCGCTAATACCCGCCTCTTTACTGCGGGTGCTTAGCGGGCTGCTCCCTACCTCAGCGCCCCAGGAGTCTCAGTAGCTTGCAACCAGGTTCCACCAACAACTTGCTACCACCAAAGAAAAAATAAGTCCATCCATGGAGCCTACCACCCGAACCCCATCGCTGGGGAGAGCTGACCCTACGCTAGCCCTGCTGGACCCTGACAAGCCTAAACTGAACCCCTGGCCTCACCGGAGCCTTTTTTTTTTTTTTTTTTTTTTTTTTTTTGTGTCCTGATATAATTCCTTTTCGAGTTTTTTTTCTGATCATCGAAAACGGCAATGAGGAGTAGTCATCTGCTGCTACTACGCTCCTTCGGCTCCAGATCCCTCCACCATGCAGCTGCAAGACCAGCAACAGTCCAGACCCGGCTCTCAGGCACTGCTGCGGTAGTCATCATCCACCACCTCAGAAAACCCTTCTCCTCAGGCCCTCGGCGACTTTCCCAAGAGGATCCCAAGAAATTCACACGTTATACCTTTCCCAGACAGATCCGAATTGAGAGAGCGAGTGACGACATGGCTACTGGGAAATCGAAACAGAAGACGGCTCGGACGGCGTACATCGCCCTGGGGAGCAACCTTGGTGATCGGATCGCCGAGATCGAGCGGGCCTGCCGTGAGATGGACGCGAGGGGCATCAGGGTGAAGAGGACGAGCAGCTTGTGGGAAACTGAGCCCATGTACTATGCTGACCAGGACCGCTTCGTCAACGGGACTTGTGAGGTAAGTTACGGATATCCTTTCTCTCTCCCCCTCTCCCTCTCAGGTATCTATGTCGATCATGAGCCTGGACTGGGTCAGGTAGGCTTACATAGACTACTTTTTGTTTTAGGTAGAGACGACGTTGGAGCCACTCGCACTGCTGGACCAGCTCCAGGAGATCGAGAGGCTTATGGGGCGGAAGAAGGTCATCGACAAAGGACCGAGAAATATTGACCTTGATATACTGCTCTACGAGGATGAGGCCGTCAACCATGAGAGGCTCAAGGTCCCACACGTTGGCATCCTGGAAAGGGAGTTTGTCCTTCGTCCTCTTGCAGAGTGAGTAACAACCCACTCCTGTGTAGTTGTGAGAGAGAGAGAGAGAGTGTGTGTGTGTGTGAGTGAGAGAGAAAGTACTTGATAGGCTCACATGAGGACCAGACTCATCCCGACCAAGGCCATCTTCCCAAAAAACCCTTGGAAGTTCACTCAGGACTACCTGAACGAGCTCCCGCCCTCCAGCCCACCGCTTACCACCCTGACTCCGTTGTCTCACACACAACCACCCCTTCAGGCCTTGAAACCCTCTCGCAAGACACATGTCATGGCCATCCTGAATATGACGCCCGATTCTTTCTCTGATGGCGGCACGCACGCCACATCCTCGCTTGCCGACACCATCCGCACCTTCATCGCTTCCGGCGCGACCATGATCGACGTCGGCGGTCAGTCGACGGCGCCTAGCCGCCCCGAGGTCTCGGCAGATGAAGAGCTCAGTCGTGTAGTGCCCGCGATCAAGCTCATCCGCGCCCAGCCGGGAGCAGAGGATGTTCTCATCAGCGTCGACACGTACCGCGCACGTGTGGCCGAGGCGGCGGTCCAGGCGGGCGCGGATATCGTCAACGACGTCTCAGCTGGCGCCATGGACCCGGAGATGTTTCCCACTATGGCGAGGCTGGGGAAGACAGTGTGCCTGATGCACATGCGCGGTACGCCGGCCACGATGAGCAGCCTCAATGATTATGGGGGCAGCAGCTCCTCCTCCTCGTCCGGCGCAAGCGATAATGACGAGTCCAGCACCGCGCGCGACGACGACAGTGACGATGACGCCCTCGTCCCCGCCATAGCCAAAGAGCTCCTCGAGCGCGTCGCTGCCGCCGAGGCAGCAGGTGTCCGGCGCTGGCGGATCATCCTCGACCCGGGTCTGGGCTTTGCCAAGGTGGGCGCGCAGAACCTCACCATCCTGCGGCGCCTGCGCGAGCTCAGGGAGTGGCCCGGCCTGCAGAACCTGCCCTGGCTGGTCGGCTCGAGCAGGAAGAGCTTCATCGGCAAGGTCACGGGCGTGGCGAGGCCGGCCGAGAGAATCTGGGGTACCGCGGCGACCGTTGCTGCGGCGGTCGAGGGCGGCGCTGATGTTGTGCGGGTGCACGATGTCAAGGAGATGGGGCAGGTCGTGAAGATGAGCGATGCCATCTGGAGGTATTGAGATTTCTTTGCGATTCCTGGTACAATTGGACAGGATCTCGGTAGCCTACCTTGTTGCCGCAGCCCAATGGGTAGGTTCAACTGTTGCTGCTGCCAACATCCATCGACAGCTATGCACACGAGTGAAGGGGGCTGGCCTTTTCTGACAAGGTGATAGCTATTCGAAAGATTCACGGTGGGCTTGGCTCGAATGAGAAGATGAAGCCTCGGTGAACCGACTAATTACATGCGAATGCGATTAAGCGTCCTCTTCTTGGGGCAAAAAAAAAAAAAAAAAAAAAAAATTTAAATTTAGAATTTAAAATTTATCAAAGATCTTCTCCATCTCTCCTTTCCTCAAGCATCGTAAGACGGTGGACTTGTATCCATCCCAACAGCCGCCATCACCCTCAGATAGCCCAGCACCTCATACACAGCCCTCGCCATCGCAAGTTGTTTACTGTGCCGGTCCACATCGGTCCAGATCCCACCGTTGAGGCGGTTGTCCTCGACGACGGTCACGATAAACCGAATATGGTGGTCCTCAGCCGTCCAACCGTTCTTGGCCGGGTGGTAGGCGACATACTTGGCCGTCCTAGAGCGGATGGCATCCGTGGCCTGCTTGGCGACGAGATCCTTGTCCGCCTCAGGGGTCGACTGGTTGCGCGCCAGGAAGTCGTGGCAGAACTCGCGCCACGAGCCCTGGACGAGGGGGCTGGTGATCCAGTTGCGGAAGGCATCGCTGTTCTTGAGGGGAAGCAGCTCGAGGAGGAGGCGCTCGTGCTGGGCGGGGAAAGGGGACTGCGGCGGGAAGCCCATTGCGATAGGTGCAGGAGGCACACTAGGCCCTTGACGCTCGATGGGTCCAGGGGTGCTGGCTTCAGGACAGTGCCGAGAGGTATCAGAACCCATGGAGGAGAGATTCAACGCAATGTCTTTTTCCCCCTCTCTTTGCTCCTTGTCTCTCTGGGATGGCTGGCTGAAATTTAGGATGCAGACCTGATGATGAGAAGTGGAAAGGGAGATGTCAAGGCTCCAAAGAAAAGAAGATATATATCATTAATCAGTCGTGTGAGGCCGCCTGGCGCATGTCAGCCTGTGAGGCCCACACAATCTTCTCTTGCAAAGTGTTGGATCCTTCGCACCATTCCTCCCGCTTTGGCAAGGTCTACTGCTGTGCATGTCCAGTGGCTGAGTATTGGAACCAATCCAGGACCGACATGATAGGGCATTGAAGGCGCCCATGCATATATGTAGGCTGTGCAAGACAACTCATCTGGGAATTTAGTTGATCATTAGCGTGTGGTTGTGTGTAAAAATTGAAAGAGGGGTGGGTGTTGAGCTCAGCCTTGGTGGGTGGAATGATTGAATAAGCCAGGTTTCTTAACTGTATTTGGGATAAAAAGCTGAGACATCATGAGTATAAAGTTAATACCAAAAAATTGATGATGCTGCAAGACAAATGAATTGACTGAAGCGGTGAGTTGGGGAGTGTCAAGAGGACCTGTGCAAGCGATACCCTCCAGAAGTGGGGCAAAGCAGCACCTTCCTCTCACGTAGATTAGTCATCAATGTCACTTACCCTTCTGATTCACTCAGGGAGCATTTCACTTTCAAAGTTTGGACGCTGCAGCTCATCGATATCCGCAACTCACGTTACTTTCAGGACTTGAACTCACACCCACGCTCATTTTCAACCCTTGATCTCAGTGAACATTCACCAAACCTTCATAGCTGGACCTTCTGCTACCAAGATCTTATCAATTAAATTCTTGATGGTATAAGCTGTTGTGGCAGAGGTTGACTCTTCTGTTTTCCTTCTTTCTTTTCTTTGTGGTCTGGGCATTCTCACCCAACAGGACCTTCCAGATTCTTCAAGACCACATCCAAAAACCATTACGGTAGGTCTTTCCTTCATCAATACCAGATATTCACTTGGTCAATATTATGCTTTGAACCAGAGTCTACTTCTGTTCTTGTATTTCTACCAAGCTGTTCGTCTTTGCAGACCAAAAATTTTGAGCTTGCAGTTTTCACACCCATTAATTCCCCCCCCCCCCCTCCCTGAACATACTCCAGCACGCAACATAAGTACTAATCTCAGCAGCACAACAATTAGACCTACAACCAAATACAACCACAATCACAAGAAATAGCGAGACAATGAGCTTCCAACAGCAACAACAATCCCCCTTCTCATCGGCTGCACCGCCTTCAGTGGCTGCTGCTCCTGCAGTCTCTTCGGCCCCTCCCGCTGAGAACCCTTCCGCTCAGACCACCGCTCCAGCAGCAGCAGTCGCTGCTACAGTCCCCAAGGATGTCGACCCTACGCGCTTCTCGTGGCTTGAGCCTCACCCCCAGTTCGTCGTTGCGCTGGTCGGCCCTGAGGAGGTGCCTTTTGCCATCCAAAAGGATTTCCTCTGCGCCAAGTCGGCCTCCTACCGCAAGCACTTTGCCAACCAGGGCGAAGATGCTATAGAGTCCATCGTCAAACTTCACGACACTTCTGTGGAGGTCTTTGGCTTCGCCCAGCACTTCATGTACACGGGCATGGTCGTCCCGGCCGATGCGCCCATGCCATCGTATGAAGTCTTGGTGGGCGTCTGGAAGCTGGGCCACACCCTGGAAATTGAGGGTCTCTGCCATCAGACAATCGAGGCCATGATGGATGTTCGACAGGCGACGGAGCGTATTCCCGCTGCTCCATTGCTCGTACAGGTCTGGAAGGACACTCCAGAGGGGTCGTCCATGCGGAGGCTTCTTCTCGAGTGGGCTGCTGAGTACGTCCGGTCATCTGAGGGCAACGCCGAGTTCGCCAAGTCCCTGCCACAGGAGGTCCTTAGTGAGCTGGTACTTGCCATGAGCAGGCCAGACACCTTACCTCTTGTCCAGTTTGGAGGCAACAGTACCCATGCCGCCTTCACGCCCGCTCAGCAACAGCGCAAGGTAGTGCATTACCTCGACCAGGAAGATGAGGAAGAGGCTGACCCTGCTTCCTTGTCCTCCAAGAAGCAGCGCCGCCCCGAAATGTTTTCTAACGGACCAGCATCCAAGGCTGCCGCTCGCAAGACCAAGGCAGTGCCCGTTGTCAAAGCCGCGCCTCGTCGTCGTTCTAACGTCGCTGCGAATGGTGAGCCCCAAGAGTTCACAACTGAGCAGAAGCTGCTGTTCTGTCAAGATCTGCTCGCCCGTATGCTCTCAGGACCAGGTGCGTCAACACCAAGCAGCCATTGCTCATCTATGATGTGCCTGCCAAATAAGCGATACATAAGAGCTAACATGATTTTCCCTTCTTTTCCTTCCCTGCCTCCTAGGATTCTGGACCCGGCTAGTTGGCCCGTTCAAAGATCCAGTCGACCCAGTTGTCGACAACGTGCCTGACTATTTTGAAAAGATCGCAAAGCCTATGGACCTATCCACCATGAAGGCCAAGATGGACGCAAGCGAGTACACCAGTGAGGAAGAATTCCTGGGCGATATGACACAGATCTTCACCAACTGCAAGACCTACTGGAAGCCGACCGACACCATCTGGGCTGCCTGCGAGAAACTCGAGAAGACCTTTATGGATAAGTATTCCCAGATGAACAAATGGCTCATGAAGATGGAGGGGAGCGACGAGCACTAGGGACCCTCATTACCAACTCCTGGCCAGTCGGATGATACAGCAGATGATGATTCTTCCTCCTCCTCCCGCTGCTGGTGCTCCATAACCAGCCAGCCGAGAGCCATTGCAGAGGAGCATAAGAAACCTTCTCCGCCGACACCTGGCGTTATCGACAGGCCACATCACAAATACTGTAACGACAGTACCGCGCCACCCCAACATCCGCAGCATCAACGCTATAAGGGCGTAGGACAAGACCTTCCCAGGTATGCTGCCCCAGAGCTTTTTCCTGCGGCCTCTAGCAGAAATGAGGTGTTAATAGAATGGTGGTCATATGTTCAGGGAACCTTTGGACAACGAGTATAAGCCTCGGGGACCAGGCAACGCCAGTAATTATACGTCAACCTCTGAACTGACAGGGAACCCGCGTATTATTCCTCGCCATCTGACACGCCTCGTTGCGAAGGCCACCAGCGAGAAACCACACATCGAAATGGCGAAGGATTGGGAGTCTGACAGTGTCTGGTTCCTTTGAGCAGACGCAGATGTTTACATTCACCAGGATTCTCCGCTTAGCAGACGCAGGAAGATTGATATGATTTGACTTTTGTTTTACTATTGAAAGAGGGTGACCACGGCGATGAGCGACTCTGCACAAGACCATGATTGTGCGCGTCCTCCTTTTTTGTGTTTTTGTTTGCTGTTTCATTTCTATCTTTCTTGTTCGGTTGTACTTACTCCTTTCGACAGTGACCCCAGGGCCAGAAACGGCACGGTCTTGGTATTTGACCAGAGTGCGTGTCATAGCAATAATAGTGTAATTTGTACGAGTGTCAGACCCAGCCTTGTCCATGATTTAAGTTTCTACCAGTTGACGTGCCGCTGCAGCCCGAACCAGGGTGGATATCGCAGTCTCATCTATGACTCTGGTCCTCATCACGACGGAACTTTATTCGCTCTCACTGTGCCTCTCATGATCCCATTTTTTGAGTGTGGCGTCAAAACCACATCATACTACTTACGGCCTCTTTTCGGGGAGACTACGAAGCATTGACTTCCTTGCCAAGCCTGCCAGCGCCAAACAAGAACATGGGGAAAGCAAGGGAAAGGAAAAACAGGATGAGAGAACAAAGAGCGCCATCCCATGCGGCTCATCCAGGGGGGGGGGGCGGGGCTTGACTAGTCTGCTGCTGCACAGACAGACAGACAGACTTCAGTTCATGATACCAGGACCATCTTAGCCCTCATAATAGTGCTCATAGACAGATGGACAAGCTGATACTCTTGCCACTCAGCAACTCGTACACACTTGACCCTCTCTTATGATGGAGAAGATCCTAGTTGCACGGAGAGGGGAAAGGCTGGGAGAGAGAAAAAGAGTTTAGGCGGGCGGGGGAGGGGGGGGGGGATTTCAGAGTTCATCATCTCCGTTATGGCATACAGTACAAATGGGGGAGGGGGGGGGGCCTTTGAGCTGAGTTGGGAAGGCCATGGTTGAGCAGTCAGCTAGTCCAAGTCATGTGCACGCGCGTATCATCAAAAGGCTCTCCTGGCGCGCAGGTATCACCAGCATCATCCACTCGGAGGCGATGACTCGCAGGACGCCGCATTGTCTCCGCGTTTTCTCCTCGTGGTGCGACAGGGGGCCTAATACACAATAATTAAGTAGAGAGATGTGTGTATATGTGTGTGTGTGTGTGTGTGTGTGAGAAAGAGAGGGAAAGGGGAAAAAGAGGGCCGCCTAGCTTGGGGGAGGAAGTGGGCCATCGCCCGGCCTTCTGTCGTCCGCTGTTCTATGTGGGGGCGGAGACAGAGAGGGAAGAGAGGAGAGAGAGGAGAGAGAGAGAGAGAATAAAAGAAGAGAGAGTAAAGTTTTGGGCCATGAACTGAATTGTGACTGTTACCCCGTGGGGTCCTGCTGTGGTCCGCTCTCCCCCAGGCCTTGGACGGAGAGCGTGGGGCGAACCTCGAGGGGGCTGGACCATCTGGGGTAACTGACCCGAGGGAGTGGGTACGGGTATGCTCGACTTCATCAAGTGTGGCCGTCACATGATACAAGTCACTCATACATGACCAGTGGTTGATTTGCTGCTCAAGTCTTCCAAAAATAACACACAAACACACAAGAAGAATCAACAACACTGCTTCTGCCTCTGCCTCTGCCTCTGCCTCTGCCTCGCCCAGGCCCTGATCCTTTCTCCTTTTCTCTCACAATCTTTCTATCTTTCTCTCTCTCTCTCTCTCTTTCACTCCTCACACAGGATGATTCTCTCCGTGCGAAGCGAGTTCTGTAAGTAGTCGTCAATAGCAACTCCCGACGCGTAGGTCCAACGAGTTGCCTCTCCCTCCAACACCCGGCCCCTGTGATGGCCGTGATATATGTCGCTCAAATGTGCGGCGGTTTTTCCCCAGATCTCGGCCCCTCCTCCACGCCTAAACCCACTGCCAAGCAATACACCAAACCTGGGGAGGGGCCCATAGACGTCGGTAAAGTCAAGCTCCCTTCAGCTTTCTCTCTAGCGTGTTTGTCCATCCGTCCGTCGTCGTTGTCGGGCATAGGCGACAGCGCTTGGGAAGGGGAGGGGGGGGGGGGCTTGTCATGCGCGCTAGACGGCATTTGGTCTCTTTTTGCCTCTCTCATGAATTATTGCCATGTCTAAGTATGTACAAAAGTAGTCTATGCCCCAATCTTCTTAGGATGAAGTGGACGGTGCCGAAAAAGCTGGCACGGAGACGCCCTCCCCCGGGCCATTCCTTCTACCCCAGGCTGTGCTGCGCCTGCTGTGTTATACCATGTTCGTTTGAAAACAGGCAGAAAGAGAGACTGGCGAATGAGGGGCGGGTTCATATGCCTAAAGAGGCTTGGTCCTGGGGGGCCCGTTTGTTAGATACCGCGTTGGGAGAAGATTAGGGTCCAGCCTTTTCGACTCAGGCTAGCGGCGACCTGGCCTAGAGTTTAAAACTGACGCCAAGATACCATGTGAGTGCATATATACAAGGAAGGAGGGGAGGCCCTAGGCTATGAGCTTGGACGGCCTGGCCGCTTGCAGGGGTTTCTTTTTTCTTTTCTTTTAATTCTTTCCTATTGTGAGTGAATCTCGACAAGAATCCGCTGGAGTGGCTAGGATGAGAAACCTCTGCCCATGGTCCACGAGAAACGTGTCAAGTATAATAAGACCTCGTGGGTTGGCCATTCTTGACACTATGGAGGTGGCCTCAACATTACCTTCTGTTCATCTTCCATCTCAAGTTCCTCATCTCTTTCCTACCTGGTCCCCGAGGCTTCTCGAGGTCAACTTGCTTGACACTCCTCTTTCTTTTCTCTCCTCCTCCTCCTCCTCCTCTTCTCTCCAATCACCTTGTCCAGATCAGGAGGTCTCCCAAGATGTTTGGCAAGAATCAGGAGCCCACTCCTCAGGAGATCCATGAGCAGCGGCAGCCGTCCAATGTCGAAGTCAACACGCACAAGAAGAATGTCTCGAACCGCGGCCTCACAGGAGCTTCTGCCCTCACCGTCAGGCAGTCCATCCTGCCCATCACCCTGGTGACAATCCTGTTCTTCCTGTGGGGTTTCGCCTATGGATTATTGGATGTCCTGAATGCCAAGTTCCAGACCGCACTCAACATCACAGCCGCCAAGGCAGGTGGTAAGTCTCCTATGGCTCCAATAGCCGCGCATTCTCTTCTTCTGCCATTGAGAAGTTTACCAGTAGCTGACCTTGGAAAAAATGAATGAATAGGCCTGCAAGCTGCCTACTTTGGTGCATACCTCATCGGCCCTCCCACCTACTCGGGCTGGCTTGTTCGCAGGTTCGGCTACAGATGGACCTTCATCGCCGGCCTGTGCATCTACGGCGTCGGCGCCCTGATGTTCTGGCCCTCGGCCGTCAAGAGGTCCTTCGGCGGGTTCTGCGGCAGTCTGTTCATTGTGGGAAGCGGTCTCAGCACCCTCGAGACCTCGGCCAACCCTTTCATCGCCACCTGCGGCCCGCCTCGCCTGTCAGAGTTCCGTCTGGAGCTGTCGCAGTCTTTCCAGGCCATCGGCTCCGTCATGGCTCCGCTGCTTGCCTCGCGCGTCTTTTTCAGCAATACCGACCCCAGCGACATCTCCAAGGTCCAGTGGACCTACCTCGGCATCGCCGCCTTCGTCTTCCTGCTCGCCGTCGTCTTCTACTTCTCGCCCATCCCCGAGGTCACCGACGCCGATATGGAGCTACAGGCAGAGCAATCTGCGGGCCTGACCGGTTATGAGGATAAGCCCATGTCTAAGCAATATAAGCTGTGGTTTGGCGTCGCTGCGCAGTTCTGCTACGTGGGGGCTCAAGTTGGAGTCGCGGCCAATTTCATCAATTTCGCGGTGGAATCGGCTGGCCTGACCTCTGCCCAGGCCAGCGACCGTTATGCCATCGCTCAGGGCCTCTTCGCCCTCGGCCGTTTCGCCGCCGCCGGCATGATGATGTACATCAAGCCGCGCCTTGTGCTGATGGTGTTCATGAGCGCCATCATGGTCTTCATCGCGCTGTCCATGGGCATCTACGGCGAGGGCGGCATCGCCTTCCTCAGTCTCGTGCTCTTCTTCGAGTCCTGCGTCTTCCCCACCATCTTCACCCTGTCCATCCGCGGCCTGGGCCGGCACACCAAGCGCGGCAGCTCCTTCATCGTCGCCGCCGTCTCGGGAGGCGCGCTCTTCCCCTCGCTCACGGGCCTGGTGGCCGATCACAAGAGCTACCACATCGCCATGTGCGTGCCTCTGGTCGGCTTCTTTGTCTCCTTCGTCTACCCCATATTCCTCAACACTGTCTATAAGAAGGAGCTTGACGGCTTCCGCGAGACCAAGATTGGGTACAAGGACGAGCACGGCGGCACCATCGGCGACCCGACCCGCAGGGACCAGGGCGTCGTGGAGTCTACCGAGAAGGTGGCCTACAGGACGGAGCACCTCGAGGCCTAAGTACGAGGCCGGGAATGTTTTTGTGGCCTATTTCTCACCTGCCAATTTGCGCATACTTTGTGTGTGTTATTTTTCACAGTTGAGCTGGAGTTATAGGAGGATCTTGGCATAAGAGAGAGTCGGCCAAGCTTTGCCTTTTTGTAGGCTGGGCACGAATGGTCTGCTATGTGGTAGTGATGGCGCATATATATACCCAACTGTATGAATTAGATCATGAATGAGATCAGATGACACCAAGTCTCCTTACATCACTTGCCTGAGGCTCACGATATAAGCTGCATATTTGTTATGTGAAGGGAGTATTCTGAAGTGAAGACGGAAAACCAAGCTCACATGTGCGGTGCTTCTTCCAGGAACCTCGGGAAGCATAGAGCAAAGGACGGTTATCACACCCTGCTGGAGACGATCAAAGAGACGGGCCAGTACTGGACAGTAGAAATTGATTTGAATAGCTCAAAAGCTTCGAATCTGACATTTCTTAGGCTTCCTTACCAGGCTCTGCTGAGAAACCCCTTTTCCAGGGGAAAAGTTTAAACACGAGATATTATACCGCTATCTTACCTTCAGTTGAACCAGATAAAATGGATCAAATAATACATTGAATATGATCTATTTGGGTTGCTTCTTACAAGGCGAATGAATCATTTATGTTCGTGTAAAATGCAAGATTGAATTTGAAAGCCAAAACTTGAAACTCTAAAATGCCATTTCTATGCTGACTGGATGCTCGGCTGTCAATTTTCAAAAAAGTCTCACTCAAGTTGCCGGACTTTCTGCCTTTTTCCTCATACTCTGAGACAGGCTAATGTGTTAATTGTGAGAAGGATAGAGTATGAGCATACTTACATGCTCACATCTCCAAGGCTTAGTTGATTACATCAGTACTTGGTAATTCCTTTATAGCTTCTTTTCATTCCTTACTGCCGCTTCCTTTTTTTCTTCAGTTTGTTCATTATTATACACCTGTATATGTGCATGAAGATACATGAGGTTACTCATGTTACAGAACAATCGAGCTTTTAGTGATCTGCTACTTTGTCTACAGGAGAAAGAGGAGGTATTACATTTGCATAGTGTGATGCAGCTATGTCCGTGGTCTCCCTTTCTTAGGCCCCAAAAGTTGTGTCAAGTATAAGACATGTTCTCAAGATTACCAGGAACATATGAGCATTGATCTATTCAAGGCATGTGCTTAGGTGGCTGCTCAAGAGGATCTGTCACGGCAATGCACAGTTTTACTAATCTTTACCCTTGGAACAAGTTTACGCCTGAGCTTGGTGCTGCCCAATGAAGGCAGGAGATGTATCATGAGATGCTTAGATTGCAGCAATGCTTTCTATCCAGATCAGCATGTATGGTGAGAGAGTGCAATCAGAGGACATATGAAAACCAATATGACAAGTATAGGACATGAAACCGAAGTCTGGCTCAGGAAGAGGGTTCAGGTACCCAGCAGGGGCCCAGCACCCCAGACAGCGGCTCGACCCGCTGATAAAATCCTCCACAGGGACCCTTGTCAACACTTACAGCCCTGCAGCTACCCCCTGCAAGATCTGACCGCCTGGCAGAAATTTATTGTAGTCTGCCCCTCAGCGACCTATAGCGGCAGACTTGGGGGGGGGAGGAAGAAAAAAAAAAGATTGGAACTCTACTGCTCAATTGTCACTCCAACCCAATTCCTCCTGATTTCTCCAACCACATGCATCTGCCCCTGACGTGGTCAATCTACAGGATACAGGCAAGACGCGCCATCCAAACCTCAACGACGAGCATCCGTTTTCTCCGACAAATATACTCCATGACGGACGAGGCGAAGACCATCGATACTGCGCCCGCGGCGGGCCAGAGGATCACGCATGACAGCAAGACATACACAACCGTCCAGGAGGGCCGCGGATACATCCTCGTGCCCGATACGACGGGGCAGAAGGAAGAGGGCGGCAAGAAGCAGGTAGTCAACAATGCCGGTGGCGTCCAGCAGGTTTTCTACAACCCCATCCAACAGTTTAACCGCGACTTGACGGTTTTTGCCATCAAAGCCTACGGGGAGGAGGTTGTCGAGAAGAGGAGGGTACGCCAGGAGAAGAACATACAGAAGGCCGCTGGAAAGAGGAAGAGGGCAGAAGAGAGGAAGGCCGCAGCAGGTGCTGGGATCGATGCTGGCGTCGAGACTGCGCCAGCTCCTACTACAGGCGACGGGGTCAACAAGCGGAAGCGAGACGAAAACGAGGCCCAGGAAGGGTCGAACAAAGCTGCCAGGCCTGACGAGGCTACCTCGCCACAAGAATCTCGAGTCAACGCCAGCGACGCAGCCGAGAAGAGCCACGGACAGAACGATGCTGCAGAAGGGCAGCCCGGCGAGACAAAAGAAGCTGCTGGGGAGGACGGCGAACCCAAGGTCGACCGGTCCCTGCCACGGTTCACCATCCTCGATGCCCTCTCTGCCACGGGCCTGCGCGCGCTGAGATATGCGCACGAGATCCCTTTTGTCTCCAAGGTCACCGCAAACGACCTGGACCCTTCTGCGGCAGAGGCCATCTCGCGCAACGTACGGCACAACAAGTTGCAGAAGGCCATCGAGGTCACGCGAGGCAATGCGATCGCACATATGTACAACAAGGTCGCCGCGCATATGGCACTGAGCGAGAGAGACAGGGCCAAGGGCAAGACGGAGAAATACGATGTTGTCGACCTGGACCCCTATGGCACAGCTGCGACCTTCTTCGACGCCGCAGTGCAGGCGGTTCGTGACGATGGCGGCCTGCTCTGCGTGACCTGCACCGATGCTGGTGTCTGGGCCTCGAATGGGTACCCCGAGAAGTGTTTCGCCCTCTACGGCGGCGTTCCCATGAAGGGATACCAATCACACGAAGCCGGCCTGCGGTTAATCTTGCACGGCATCGCCACCTCTGCAGCTCGTTACGGACTCACCATCGACCCGCTCCTGTCGCTGTCCATTGACTTCTACGCCCGGGTGTTTGTCAAGGTGACCAAGTCACCTGCTGCTGTCAAGTTTGCGGCCGGCAAGACCATGATGGTCTACAACTGCGACGCGGGCTGTGGGGCCTGGACGACCCAGCTGCTGCTGAAGAACAGGTCCTGCCCCAACCAAAAGGGATCAGGCACCTTCTACAAGCACCAATTCATCCAGGCACCGACAGCTGGCGAGAACTGCGAGCACTGCGGGTTCAAGACACACCTCGCGGGACCCATGTACGCCGGCCGCATGCACGACCCCGAGTTCATCAGGCGCATCCTCGAGAAACTTCCTGACGCGGACAAGACGGTCTACGGCACGACCGACAGGATCAAGGGCATGCTGACAACCGCACTGGAGGAGCACCTCGAGGAGGCGGACCCCAAACTGCGGCCAGAGACCCGAGAGCAAAAGTACGCCGAGATCGAGCCGTACCCCTTCTTCTTGATGCCAACGCAGCTCGCCAAGACGGTACACTGTGCGACGCCGAGCGAGGACGCCTTCCGCGGCGCGCTGCGGGGACTTGGCTACCGCGTCACGCGCAGCCACTGCAAGCCAGGCAGTGTCAAGACGGACGCGCCGTTCAGTGTGCTCTGGCACGTCATCCGCGAGTGGATCCGGCAAAAGGCACCGATCAAGGTAGAAGGTGTCAAGCCGGGCTCGCCTGGGTGGCAGATCCTGAAGCTGGGCCAAGGGACAAAGGAGAAGGAGGACCGAAAAGAGGAGGTGGAGGAGAACAAGAACGGTTCGGACCACCCAGTCACTGCTGCCAAGGATGAGACGAAGGGTGACAACGAGGCTGAGAAGGAAAAGCCTGTGGAGGTTGTATTCGACGAGAAGCTTGGCCGTGAGCAGAACAAGGAGAGACTTGTGAGATACCAGATGAACCCGAGGGAGAACTGGGGCCCTATGAATCGCGCACGCGGCTAGAGGCGGGCAAGCAGCAAAAGAAGACCCGCAGGACGTCGACATATCATTGTTGTCCTTCCTTCCAGTCGGCTGAGAAGGAGAGGACAGTAAAACGAATCGGCCATCTTTCAAAGAATTGTCGTCGTTTGCCATTCATGACTTCTTATGCTGCTGGGGCGCAACTGGAATGTTTTTGCCGACTGTGCGGCGGCGGCCAGCGCAGGGATCAGCCAGAACCTACAGTAAAACATTTAACAATGCAAGTCGCACAGCGCCTAATAAAGTGCCCCACAACTTTTTGTGTCATCAACGCTGCGAATACAGGCTTGGAGGCTTACAACCAACCAACCAACCAACCAACCAACCACTTACTTTTTCAACTCTCGTCTTACAAAACACAACCCAGGACGCAGCCAAGCAGCCTCTTTGTATGAGATATAGAGATAATCACCATTAAGGGATTTTTCTTTGCCATTTGTGTATGAGAGACGGACAAAAGAGATATTAGGATCCACGACGGGACCGAAACTTGCGATGACTTTGACGGTCTCTCAGGACGCTTTGTCAGCGCTGAAGCCGACAACCCTGGGCGATGAAGCCCACCTTGTCAAATATGACAAGGACGAGATCATTCTGCCCGCTGCGCAAGACCAGAGCGATGAGGACAAACGGAGCATAAAGCCACGAGAAATCATCCTCCTGGCCGAGGTCCAAGGTGGAGGAGGCTACGTGATCCTCACCCTGAGCGAAGAAGCAGAGCCAGGCCAAGAGGAACCCTTCCGCATATCGTGCTTTCTGGCCCCGACGTTACCGCAAGACCTGATAAGACAGCATGTCGTGACGGACCTCCCAGAATTCTTGAAGGTCGCCGCGTCGAGCGCAAGCCTGGACGTCATCGTCTCGGTGCGTTCTGGGACGGGTCTCGCGCCCAAGTTCTACGATGCTGTCCTGCGACCTCTGCTCGGGATCCTCGGACTGCAGGAGAAGAAGAGTGAGGACGTCTCGGCCGCGGGAGAGCCTTCGTACCGAGTGACCGTGACGCAAGACGCCAACACCGTGAAGGACTTCCCACGGGAGAAATGGGGACCCGACGCAGCGTCCAAGTCGACGGTCCTCCTCCTCTCAGGCGACGGCGGCGTGGTCGACCTCCTCAACAGCGGCGTGGCCCTCCCCAGCCCTGGATCGTCCCATCTCCTCCCCACCGTCGTCCTCCTCCCGCTCGGCACAGGCAATGCCCTCTTCCACTCCCTGCACAAGCCCCACTACACCACCACCACCACGACGAGCCCAGGAGACCTCCTCCCACCGCCACCGCCACCGCCACCGTCCCACCTCGTCCTCGCCCTGCGCGCCCTGCTCAGAGGCCGCGCCGCGCCGCTCCCGACCTTCACGGCGTCCTTCTCGCCCGGCGCGCACCTGGTCAGCGGCGACAAGCTGGTCGAGCCTGCAGAGCGGCTCACGGGCGCCATCGTGGCCAGCTATGGGTTCCACGCCCAGCTGGTCTGGGAGAGCGACACGCCGGCGTACAGACAGCACGGCGACAAGCGGTTCGGCATGGTCGCGCAGGAGCTGCTGCGGGACCTGCACGGCTACGAGGTCGAGGTGGTGACGGCGCCGTCTGGGCGGTTGGTGGTGGCTGGCGGAAAAGGAGGAGGAGGAGGAGGAGGAGGAGCAGGAGGAGCAGGAGGAGCAGGAGGGTTCAACTACGTGCTTGCCACCATGGTGTCGAATCTGGAGAAGACGTTCACCATCTCGCCGGACAGCAGGCCGCTGGACGGAAAACTGAGGCTGGTCCATTTCGGAGGCAAGAGCGGCGAGGAGACCATGGCGATCATGATGGCTGCGTATGGGGGTGGGAAACACGTGGGCATGGCTGGTGTCGGGTACCAGCAGGAGGATGAGGTGAGGCTGACGAGTCTGGAGAGGGACGCGAGGTGGAGGAAGGTCTGTGTGGACGGGACGATTGTCGAGCTGGCTGAGGGGGGAACCATGGACGTGAAGACGGACCAGGAGCCAAGGCTGAACATTGTCTTCTTGGATGCCACCACCACCCCTCCTAGTTAGAGTGAGTTGAGTAAGGAGAGTGAGTATAAAGACTCTGTCACAGTATTTGTTGACTACAGCTACCCAGCAAATAACTTCTTCACCCTCTTCTCCATCACGTCCTCAAACTGCTGAACGCCCCCGTCCAGCTTGGACAACACGCCGCCTTTCATCCTGTACACGTCTCGTCTTCTTGGCATCTCGTCTGCCCCTCCCTCTTCTTCGTCCCCACTCCTGCCTCCTCCATCATCACCATCTTGATCATCACCATCATCAACAACACCCTCGACCACGCCCCTCATAAACCATCGATCGTGGCTCACCAGCACCACCGCACCCTCCCAGCTCCTCAGCGCATCCCGCAGGGCCGTGGTCGTCTCATAGTCAAGATGCGTCGTCACCTCATCCAGCACAAGACAGTGCGGACGCCGCCACAGGAGCCGCGCCAGCCCGCACCGGACCAGCTGCCCACCAGACAGCTTGCGCAGCCTGACGTCCGAGGCCAGCCGGCCCGGCAGGCCCAGGGAGCCCAGGAGGCCGCGGAGGTCGCCCTCGGTCAGCTCCCCCCCGTCCACCTCGCGGGCCAGCAGGGCGAGGGCCGTCAGCTCGGGCTCCGCCGTGGCGAGGTGCTGGAGGTCCTCGACGGCCGACTGGCCGTAGTAGCCGAGCTTGAGGCGGGGGTGTGTGGCGGCTGTGCCCTGCGCCGGCTTCTCCTCCTCGACGAGGAGCTTGATCAGGGTGGACTTGCCGGACCCGTTGAGGCCGAGGATGCCGACGCGGTCGCCCATGCCGACCGAGAGCGTGACGTCCTGGAGGACAGCAGGAGGAGGAGGAGGAGGAGGAGGAGGAGGAGGAGGAAGAAGAAGAAGAAGCGCCGCAGAGCTTTTCCTGTTGGCCTTGGTCTGGGGAGAGGGATACCGGAACGTGACGCCCTCGAGAGAGATCAGAGGTGCCGGGAACCGCAGGTCAGACGGCGCAGGCAGGACAATACGCAGCGGCCGGTCTTCAGGCGGAACATCTATGTCCGCCCTGCTCGTGAAATGATACCCCGGGAGATCGCGGTTCAGCTTGAACCGCCCCCCCTTGGCGCTGACCTCGAGCCCCCACCGGTCGTCGAGCTTCTTCTGCCGCTGCTTGGCCTGGCGGACCCTGTTGTCGTCGCCCTTCTTCTTGCCCTCCCTGAGGTTGCCTGCGATGGTCGCCTGGATGTGCGCCTTTTGCTTGTCCTTGGCCTCTTTCATCTTGGAGAGGTACAGTCTCCTCTCGGACGTAGCGGCCTCGTACGTGGGCAGGTCGCCGTGGAAGTACGTCAGGTCTTTGTCCTTGATGATGAGCAGGTCGGTGGTGCACAGGGAGATGAAGTCGCGGTCGTGCGAGACGAGGAGGAGGGTCGGCGCGGTCTCGGGGCTGTCCTCGAGGTGCTGGAGGTGGCGCTGGAGCCAGAGGATGCCGAGCAGGTCGAGGAAGTTGGTCGGCTCGTCGAGGATCAGGATGTCTGTCTCCTGGAGCAGGACCGCCGCCAGGGCTGCGCGCATCTTCCACCCTCCTGATAGTTCTGCGGTGCGCCTGGCCATCTGGACGTCTGAGAACCCGAGACCGGTCAGGATCTTCTTGGCTCGCGACTCCATGTCGGAGAGCTTGGCGGGCTCGAGCTGGAGCTGGAGGTCAGCCAGCATGTCGGTCGCCTCCTGAATTTCTACCTCGACTGCTGCTGCTGCGGGAGACATGTCCTCATCTTCTTGCTCTAGTCTTTATTACGACAAGTGTCAGTACAACAACCAGGATCCCTTGTTGGTGTAGACTGTTGGAGGAGAGAAAGAAGAGCGAGGGAAAAGGAAGAAACAAAGAATGTGAGGCTCACAAATCCATCGAGTCAGCAACCTCCTTCTCAAAGGCAATCAACTCCTTGCGAGCTGCCATCCCTCGAGCCCCGCTACGAAGCCTCGCCATCTTGTCCAGCACAAACAGTCTCTTCTGCATCCTCTCGTGCCGGACCCGCCGCAGGGCCCGGACGGCCTTGATTCCATCTCCACTGGCGTCATTGACCCCGTCGCTCAGCACAGCGATCTCCCTCTCGAGCTCATCCTTTGACGTGGCCCTCTCGATGACCTCCTCGAGAACTGACCGTCCTGGCCCTGGCCCTGAGCGGGATACTTCGGCCTCGGTCTCCTCCTCCTCCTCCTCCGCCTCCTCCTCCTCCGCCTCCTCTTTTCCTGCGTCCGTCTGCTGCAGGATGGCAACACGGGTCTGCTCGGGGATGCCAGGTATCAGCTTCTCGGCGATCGCCTTGAGGAGTGTTGATTTTCCTGTGCCGTTGCGTCCGAGGAGCGCATAGCGCTGGCCGGCTTTTAGTCTGAGCTTGGCGTTGGCGAGGAGCTCGGTGGCCTGGGATGGGTTGGCCTTTGCCTTGCCCTTGTTTCCGGCTGTTTTGGTTTTCCTCGGGCCAGAGGTGACTGAGATGTTGAGGCCCTCAATATCCAACTGTCAACAGGAGAAAATAAAATTAGTAACGTGATGCAATGAAAGGAGATTGTCGAATTGGAGGAGGTAGACAATGGCGGTATAGTGTTCTCACCTCTCTGTAATTGGGGTTCTCGATATGGAAGCGAGTCTGTTTACACGAGACGAGTATGCTCGATACGGACTCGGCTGTCATGGAAGTCATTGTTTCTTTTTTTTTTTTTTTTTTTTTTTTTTTTTTTTTTTTTTTTTTTTTTTTTAGCTGGCAGCAGGTGGGAAGATTGATGGCTGCGAGAGATGTGTTGATGAGGTTGTACTTGCAGCTGTGGGAAATATCAAGGACTACTTTGGTCAAGGTTTGACGAGATTGTCGAATGTCGGAAATATACGGTGCAAGATCCAAATTTTGGGAGCAAGAGAATATATATATAAACGTATAAAAATTGTATTTTGGACTTTGAGATATCATTCAAGTTCTTGAAAGCACCTGCAGGTATTTCCTTGGGCGGTCCTCGTTGTGATGAAGCGGCTAGAATGCCCGTTTGGGCATGGCGGATGGCATCTGGTAAGGTGGGGTAGCATCAAATAGTTGACTCATACCGAAGCCTCTTACGCGGTCTTCAATTGAGACCTCAAGACATAAATGAAGGAGAGAATCTTGAATTACCCTCATACAAGATGAAGAATATGGGATCACACCAAAATCCTTGTGCTCATCACCATTGTACCTAGTGCGTGGTACTCAATACTTCAGAACCGATATGGCACCTCTTAATAATGGCAGATGGGGAAAGAATAGAGAAGTGGACTCAATATCTGAGAAAAGTATTATGTATTGACAAGACGTATTCTCAAGACTATAAGAGGTAAAATGCAGTTGCACAAAGAACCAACTGGTATGGGATCATCAATAGAGACATTGATTCTCAACCTAGCCCTAACCCTGTATAATTCACACAGTCAAGAGAAGAGCGCCGTTGGGGAAAGCGCAGAGTAATCACTAAGCGTGTCTCTGTGCCTCTTTCATTGCTCTCACCGCCCTGTCCTTCACTATCAGGTCTCGTCACAGGTCGTCTATTCTAAAACCTCTGAAGAAACGATCAAAATATCCGGTGATATAACAATAAATAAAGGAAGAGAAAAAGGAAGGGGAAAAAAAAAGAGAAGAAGATATAAATCAAATAAACCACAAGACAAGAGACACAATGACCGATAGACCCTCCAGAGTCGAGCTCATTCCTTGGGACTACGAGTCCCCCGAGCACATCGAGCGCATGTACCTCCAGAGGCTGGACTGCGGCTGGAGGAGCGAGGAAGTCCGCGAGAAATGGACCAAACTCGGACGAGACGGCCAAAAGACCCTGTACTGGGTTGTGAGTTCTTACCATGCTACTACCGCCTATTCATCCGAGAGAGATCTGTATTGGCATGCTGATTTTATTTTGGAACCCTCATTACCAGGTACTTAAGAATGAAGCACAGGGCCGCGAGGAAATCATAGCTAAACACATCGCCGCCAACCCAAAGGCAAGCATCTCTCTATCGCTCTCCCTCCACAAATCTAGAACCTCAGAACTCTTTTTCCCTTGAAACTCTCGGATACAACAACAGAACCCTCTCAACTAAACCCCCACCCAACCCAACCAGGAATCCCAACCCATCCACGACACCGCCCCAACCCACTGGCACCTACCACGCACACCCACCAACCACCCCTTCCACCCCATCGGCCACATAGCCCTAGACCTACGCCCCGACCAAGACCGCCAGCTCGGCCTCTCATCCTCCTCCTCGTCCTCCACCGACGGCGACACTATCGTCTGGGTCGCCGGCCTGTACGTGTCCCACACCCTGCAGGCCGGAGGCTTCGGACGAGAGGTCATGCATCTCGCCGAGACCATAGCCGCGCAGCCCCCGCTAAACGGCAGATGGGTCGTGCTCGACACCATGTCCCGCGAGCAGCAGCTGTCGAGCACCTTTGTGAAGAGGATATACCTGGCGCAGGGGAAGCCGGCGCCGACGGTGGCGATCCAGGACTGGTATGAGAGGCAGGGGTATGAGGTGTTTGATAAATGGGCTGCGGGGTACCAGTGGGTGAACCCGGAGACGGGGGATAAGGAGGATATTGATTATTTGTTCCTGAGGAAGCGGTTGGAGGTGAATTGAGTATGGCCGTTGTCTGTTGACAATCACATGTAGAGACAGACAGAGACACACAGAGAGACGGATGGATGAATAAATGTCATGGACCTTGTTGGTTAGGAAAACAGGCCGACAGTAACGAGACTTTGCGTGCTGAATATGCTGATGATCTATATGCTGAAATGTTGTCCTTTGACTCTCCCATGTTGTTCTCTCTTTGGTGTATTCCATGGGTGAGTGTGTGTATATGTGGGTGTGTCTATCAGGCCCTCTTTTGGCCGACAAGGGAGGAAAAGATACCCAACCGAAATGCAGGATCTTTGCAGGCCGTTTGGCCGCAATCCAATCAAAGTCCGCTTTGCCTGAAATCAATGCACAGAAACAAGAGAAAAAGAAAAAAAGACAGCCCCTTCTCACAAATAATCATGCCAATCCGTCTAATCATGTCTCATGCGTACGTTCTAATTTTTTCTTGTTCTCCTCTTCTTGTTGTGTGTGTGTGTGTGTGTGTGTGTACAAGGGAGATGACGATCTTGTAATATAGTTCCCCTCCTGAAAGTGCCCGTTGCAGAGAGGGAGGGGTGAATTACCAAGTATCAGGCCCAAAGTGGCCCCCCTCAGGCACAGTATTGTAGGAACAGGCCTGCCAGTCACAGCCCTGCTTGTAGACCTCTGTACCCCACCATTTGAAGTTCTTGGTCACGCCGGGGTAGATGAAGCCGAAGAAGACGACCACAATGCCAAACGCCAGACCAGAGTCAAGCGCCGCGCTTAGGGTCATGGTGTACTTAGCCCACCATGCCTGTGCGCGGTTCTTGATGAGGTAGTTGAAGATGTAGCACACAAGCGCCCACACCGAGAAGTTCAGACCTGTCGCAGGCGGGATCCAGCTCAGCGACCCCAAGAGCACCGGCAGGTTGATCTTGCGCACGATGCTGTGCTTCTTGTTGCGGGCGTACAAGTACAGCGGGATGGGTGCGATCGCGCCGATCAGAAAGCACCAGACGAGTGGTCGGTACGTTGCACCAACTCCAAAGAACTGGCTGGGACCGACCACGCCCCACAGGATGGAGCCGTTGAAGTGCACTCGCGCCAGCGGACAGGTGAAGCCGTTGATCGCCTCGCTCGTGCAGATGCCTGGAACGTTGGCAAACATCCAGTTGAGCACGCCAATCTGTGTCAGCGATGAGATGATGGTCGCCACCATCTGGACCCAGAAGAGGATGCGTGGTGGGATCTTCATGTAGTGGCCCAGCTTCAGGTCTGCCGCGAACTTGACGCCTTGGGCAGACGAGATGTATCCGTACGTGACAAAAACCATGTTCGCAACCGGTCGCCCGGGGAAGACAGCACCACAGACGAGCTGACAAATGAGGTAGATGCTGCTGTGCTGGTTTGTGACCGCCATGATGATGCCGATGGGGATGAAGAGGATCGTGCAGATTCCCAGGGCGAGTAGCAACCCATACCACGGGAGGTGCACCGGGTAGTATTCCACGACAAAGATGCCCACCAGCAACATCGTGACAAAAGTAAGCAGGTACCACGTCATCGGCGCATCCTTGTACCTCTTCATCAGCCGGTTGTGCACATCTTCCCGCATCATCAGGTCCTCAGGATTGAAATTGGGGAGGCTTCGGCGCTGTCTGGTGCCCTGTTCCTGTGACGTCCTTCTGCGGAGGTCCGCTGGTTCGTCTGAGAGTGGTTGGTACGCAGCCTGCTGCGGTTCCTTGCTGGCTTCTTGCAGCGAGCGCTTCCACTGGTTCATGATGTCCTTACCGTGCCAACATGCGGTATGGGTGAGCAGTGCGGCGAGCCCGGCAAACTGCACACCGTAGCTGAGAACATACGTTACTGGCAAGAACACCCTGCTGTAGTTGCGATATGCTGCCCGGTCAAACACAAAGTCCTTGGTCAGGATCCTGCTCACGTCGTAGACCTTGCCCGTGTTGTCAAAGACGGCCGCTGACACCATTGGCATGTAGGACGAGTACAGCCAATTGCTATAGTAAGCAATCGGGGCCACAATCCACATGACAATGACCAGGCCGCCAAACACGTTCACCGCGGCCCAGAAAGGAGTGAGCAGGGGGCTCCCGATGTAGGCAATCTGGGCCCAGTCGAACGTCACCGGAAACAGGCCCAGGCCGGAGCTGACACCAAACAGGTTTGCGACCACGACGCTCTTGGGTGCGAACCAGGTCAAGACGTTGAAGTAGCTGAGGGCTGGCATCAGCAGGCCCGGGAAGAAGTAGAAGAGGAATGCCGTGGTCCAGACGATGTAGAAGAACTTCCACCGGCTGATGCGCCACCCATCTGCCGGCTTGTTCTCCTCCTTGTGGAGCGTTGTGAACATGGCCGCAGACATCAGCGTGCTGGGCCAGATCATGCCGCTCGGCCGCACGAGAAAACGCCTGGTGAGGCCGGCAAAAGCGTAGCCCAAGATTTGCGTGGATAGCGTCAGGAGAAGTTGGTAGACGATGCTGGCCTCCTGGTGGTAGAACTGTGTCTGCTCGACGATCACGTCGGTGGCAAAGGCGAAGCCAAAGGAGACATTGCTGCTGACGTAGACGCAGGCATGCTCCTTCTCGTTCCATCGGCCCTGTGCGAGCCAGAGCCGGAGGCGCCCGAGTCTTCCCCGTGGCGTCGACCTCAAGACCGGAATGCCGTCGGCCGAAGGAGTCGAAGGCCGCTGGCCGACGGTAAGAACACCATCAAGAAAGTCTTCCTGGGGATCATCTCGACGCTTGAGGACTAAGTCCCACAACAGGCCGAGAGGGTGAACGAGTAGTAATGCTATGACTGGTGTGATGGACACACTGGGGTATCTCAATGAAAAGAAAAGATTTGTTGATGACCCAAGAATGGAGAACAAGACGCTGAGCGTCCACATTCGGGGTGTTGCTATGGACAGGGTTGTGTTGTCAAATGGTGCAACAGACGCCCGGACCTGAGGGTATGGGGAGTTGTCTGGTGGATCCTCATCTTCGTCTGGCGGGAGCGGAACCCCGACGCCATCACTATCGTCCCCGTCGCTGTCGACAATTTTTGGGTCCATGAGGACATCGCTGGCCAAGGTTGACTCGGTGACGCCGTAGCGCCCTTCGATCCCACCAGAGAGTGTCGCGTTGTTTACCAGCTCTTCTGTTGACCGCGCCATCAGTCTCCCCGACCTCGTCTTCCGCAGCGATGACGTAGACCTGCTCGGCCTCGTGGCCCCGTTTCCAGTGCTGTCGCCGTCGCCCGACCTCTCGCTAGCCTCGGTGCCATCCTCGGATGTGTCCGGAGCGTCAGACGCCCCGCGAGGCACGGCGCCATAGGCTGACGGCCTGAAGCTCGGCGAGGAGCGCAGGTAGGGCGCCGCCTTGTTTAGCAACTGCATAGGGACGTCGCCGGCGGTATATTGGGCTGTATTGGTGCCCTGTGTGTCTGAGTGTGCGGAGTGATGAAGAGACTCGAACGCCGTGCCATGTGTGACAACAGGAGAGGCATCAGGAGATGCAGAAGGCACAGAGGGTATCTCGTTTTTCAGGTCGAATAGGGCGTGATCGGATAGGTGAGATGGGTCAGAAGGAGCAGGCGGCAGAGTGGCCCACTGTGATGGAGGGTGCGTGGGCGTGGGGCAGTGATTATGGGTTGCAGCGGGACCAGTGCCAGGAACAGAGAAGACAGGCAGGCGGTCCAAGGATGGTGTGGGTGGTGGTGGTCTTGGTGGTGACGAGAGCCGCTCGGGCTGAGCTGGAAGCCGAGCGTGACTGGGATGAGGAGGATGGGGGTCTGCTTCTGACGGACGAGGGGGTCGGGCGTGGCCTGCGTGGCCTGCGTGGCTGTGAGCCTCGTCGTCCAGCGAGTCACCTGCTGCTGGGGGGTCGGAGGAGGGGGAACGGGCACGATCTGCTGCTCCTTGATGCGGCTTCATAAGCGACAAGCCCACGTCGGGCAACTGACGACTGGAGCAAAAGATCTAATCTGATCCGGTGATACGATGATCTAGCATGGGAACGCCCCACTCGAGGACAGGTGCATGCATAGGCAGGGGCGAGGCGTAGGCGTAGGCGTAGGCATAGACGTAGACGTAGATAGTGGATGTTGCAAGGAGCAAGAGAGAGAGAGAGCGCGCGGCTAGTCGTAGCAGGTGGCACGAGGCCTGCACAGAGAACCTCTGATAGTCGTCAAGTGTCTCTGGGCGGCTGATCTGAGAGAGTTTCGGGAGTCTGCAGGTAAAGAAAAAATGATGGACAGATTGACCACCAAAGTGGACACCATCCACCCACCGTGCCACCCGCCCACAAGTTCGAAGACGAAAACCAGGAGGGGCCGCGTGGGCGACCAAGCCGGTGTACCGTGGTACAAGAACAGCTGCGTAGATCGGAGCGCACCTGTAGCCTTTGCTCGACCTATGCTAGCCGCGACCAGGGTTCGGAACGAGGCGAGATGATTGCAGCCTATACTACTACTATATGACGGAAGGGTCGATGGGCTGTCAGGCTGTGTAACCTGCCCGTAGAGCTGCTAGTGCATGTGATGGTTGCACAGAGAGATGACAGAAATCAAGACGTGCTCAGGACAAAATGATTGATATGCAGAAGGATTTGCATATTTTGGTGGATATTGCTGCAGAATTGCAAAACGTGGGTTGGAAAACGTTTTCGGGCGAGTGGAAAGCGGTTCTTTTCTTCTTTTTCTTAACCCCCCCCCCCCCCTTCCTTCTTCATTCCCTCTCTCTCACTCTTCCAGATTTAGAAGTTCACCCCGCTACTACCAAGTGGTCGAGTCAAGTTGACGAGTAGTAGGTGAAATTCCGTGCCTCTTAATTTTCTGCTGCATGCCGACTTAGGCGTTATTGGGATATGCCGGCGGCAATAGCGAATGGCAAGACGAGTCTCACGACAGGGTATCCCAAACATGCATGACTTTAGATGCGTCATGCCGCATGCAGCATAGACCACAGGATGGCCCAGCAGAGACTGCCTTCAGGGCTCAGGGGCAGCGGGAAGGGCCACTGATCATTCTGGATCTGATAAGATATCCAGACCCAAACTTTAAAACCTTGCTCCGCGGGCTGTTCCTCCACAGTAAACAAAAGGTCCAAGCTTTGTATGGAGAGCCGGACGACCTCTTCATGGGATTCTACCTGACACCCAATAGCCGTCAGGTGCTTTTAGAGCGCGGTCGGCAGAACTTGCAGCAGGGTCATTCGCACATCAGCTGACGGAGATAATCGCGAAGGAAAAAGACAGTGGAGTTAGACGCTCCAGAAATATCCAAGGCATAAATTTCAATTTGCGCTCTTGCCGCTACAATATCACGCTTCCAAGGCCTTTCCCGACCACGACCCCGTCCTGAGCCTGTGGGCACAAGAGCGAAAGAGAGAGGGGGACAGAGCTCTACTATCGTCAGCCCTACGAAATTTCGATCTTGATGTCTTGCAGGAGCCGGCGCTCTGACTCTGCGATCTCGGCGCTGTCTTCACCGCCACCCGAGCTTCTTGCTACATCCACGCCGTCGTCGCACAGATGAGCGGCGAGGAACTAGAGATGAACGCCGCTCTGTTTGCCGCAAAGCAACAGTTGCGGTCTGCCATGAAGCAGAGGCTAGCTTCCCTTCCGCAGGAGTCCATAAAGGAGCAGAGTACGTATCCCAGACCAGGCCGAATACTTCTACTGGTCGCACCGAGTAAGGATCCTTATCTTTTTTTTATAGGCCATACCATCCACAAGGCGCTGTTGGGCTTCAAGCCATATGTCGACGCAAGTCGCATCAGCGTGTTTCTGTCCATGCCCTCGGCGGAGGTCCAGACAGACGAGGTCGTGAGGCATGCGCTCGCCTCAGGGAAGCATGTGTTCGTCCCCTATCTGCACAAGTCGCCCCTCCCATCAAACCCAGACATACCTTCTAGGGTCATGGATATGGTGCGGCTAAAGGATGTCCGAGATTATGAGTCCCTTAAGAGGGATAAATGGGGTATCCCAAGCATAGATCCCGCCACGGTCCATCAGAGGCAGAGAATACTGGGCGGCCCTGATGAGCACCAATCTGAGAAGGCGACTTTAGACCTCATCCTGATGCCGGGTGTGGCTTTCGATATTGCTCCTCACTCAAACGAAATCAGACGGATGGGACATGGAAGAGGTTTCTATGATTTATTTCTCGAACGGTATGCTGAGAAGCTGGAGGAATTAGACGTGAAGAGACCTTCAGTATCGCTCTACGGCCTCGGCCTCAGAGAGCAGTTCTTAACCTCCGAAAATGAAGAGGTCCCTGTTGGACCTCTGGACCAGCCTCTCCATGGACTGATCTTGGGGGACGGGAAAACAGTCGTACCAGATCAAATAGACTGAATCCTAGTCCAAAAATGCCCCCCCTCCTTATTTTTCCCCCCGGCCGACCTTCCTCGGAACTCTTAGACCGCACACGGTGATCGATGGTATGGTCTTCCATCTCTCTCTTCTCCTTCTCCGCGTTCCTGGAAACCATATGCGCAGGTCCCCGACGCTTAAACTTTTACTCCTTGTTTCGCATGGTGTAGACCTAACCCGACAGACTCTGGATCAGAGACACATTGTCGCCCTTCAGAAGGATCTGGCCCAGATCCCTCCGCGTCTCCTTGTCATTCGTTTTCGTCACCTGCCGCACCTCGACCGCATCGTCAATCTGTTTCACACATCAATGTCAGCCAAGGAAGCACAATCTAGATCAGTAAGGACTACTCACCACCAGGTTCATGAACTCATCAAAACCTCGGATCTTTCCCTCAATGCGGATGGCAAGCTGATCAAATGAATACGAGTCAGTGGAAGTTTCGTAGCACACAATGTATTTTTGGAGATGATGTACCTGCTCGTACAGCCAAATCTGCACGGTCGAGTGCTGCTGAAGCAGTTTGAAGATGAAGTTGATCGGGGGTAGAAGAACGCGACGGCCACCACCGCCTCCTCGTCCAGTCATGATCGCGGCGGTACGGCTGGCGGACACAAGTGATGAAACTTCAAAGGAATAACCGTGGGTTGTTCGAGCTGTGGTGTCTGGAAGCTTTGTGTCGATTGGTGGCAGTCAAACAAGTTGGTCTTTGCGGCATGAGGAAACTTGAGCCCGTGTCGCGCTCTGCGGTCGCGAGTTCACAGAGCTTCTTCAGTTGGCGTCTCAGTTGCCTGCCGGGGCTTGGTAGCGCTAACACAACCCTTGCACGCCCCATTGCAGGCTCAGCCTTGAACTCTTCTCAGTTGTTCAACACAGAAAGAGCACAAATGCTATTAGAATTAGACAATTCATGTTCGCATACAAAGGAGAGTTCATAAGAGACTGTTTGAAGTCTTTCTTCCAACAAAATGACTTTTTTATTCTTATTCTTATTCTGTCTGCCAAGTGTAAATATCAGGGTGCCGCGCTTCCATTTACGAAAGTTCTTGTTTCTATTATCTGACAGGGGACAGGGGTCTACTACAGCCTAAGTCCGCACCTGCTCTGCCGCTGTGGTGGCAGATCGTTAGTGAGCCTGAATTTCCTGACTGACGTTTGTTTGCTGCCGTAGGAGGGGCAATCTGATCCTCTCTCAAAACACCAAATATCCGTTTGGCGAATTTACATGCCAACGACCCTTTCATCCTCCACTTCTCACCACCTAATACTCATCGTACCCAGCGCCTTTAACACCAGCTCAGGCAAGCACTTGTTGTGCGGCAACATCAGGTCCCGACCGAATTCCTGCTCTGCTTTGCGCCTCTCTCCCACCCCTCAGGCAGCCTTGCTGCCCCCCCCCGCCCCACAACGTCCAAACGTCCAACGCCGCCCCTACTCTCCGACCATACTCCTGACGGCTTCGAGTGTCGCACGCGCAGCATATCAAGATGGCTGCGAATGGCGCCCCCGACTCCTTCGCCCCAGAGACGATTCTGGCGGCCATGACAACCATGCGCGGCGGGGAGCCTGACAAGAAGAAAGCTGCCATGGACTACCTTGGCAAGTTCCAAAAATCGGTAAGGAGGATGTCTACATTGGTAATTCCCGTCTGGCCATGATCGCGCTGCTAATGCCTTTTCTCTCAATAAGAATAACGCCTGGACGACGACCCTTACCATCCTCCAATCGACCGCCGATGCCGAAGCCTCACTGTTCGCCGCGACAACGCTGAAGGGAAAGGTACATACTGCGTGCAGAGAAAACACTCATCGCACCGTAAATAAGAAGCTTGGCTGACTGTTCCGGGCCAGATCACATATGACCTTACCACTCAGGTTCCTGAGAGTGACTGGTCTGCTCTCCGTGACCAGCTTCTGCTGCTCCTGAAAAAGTTCGCTGCAGGACCCAGGCCAGTCCGAGTGCAGCTCTGTGTTTGCCTGGCCATTCTGGCAATACAGATGAGGACCTGGAAGGATGTCTTGCCCACCGTGGTTGCAGCGCTTGGAAGCGAAGTGCAGAGCCATGCAGCCATCCTGGATTTCCTCAGAGTGCTTCCCGAGGAGGTGACCGAAGGCCGCAAGATTAACCTCTCTGTATGTGGATCGCCCGGCGACGACCTGACCACCCGCCCCGACGACCTTCTGTTGGTATCCTGAAGGACGGTACAATATCTAATCCAGCTGGGATGACAGGAAGACGAGCTCACGGAGAGAACGACCGAACTATTAACCGACAACGCTGAGCAAGTCGTCAATATCCTCATCAACTACGCCCAGACATCAGGTTTGTGATATCTCGACAAAACCGCCGCAATAAACCCTCGTTCTATTTTTTTTTAACAAGTCGACAGAAGCTGCTGCCTGCAACCCACAACTGATGGAATGCATCACCTCATGGCTGCGAGAAGTTCCCATTTCCGCTGTTGTCAGCTCTGCCCTGCTCAATATTGTTATCAACGCTCTGGCAAGCGACGACTGTCTGGAGGCCGCTGCCGATTGTCTTGGGGCCATGTGCCGTGAGACACGGGATGTCGATGACAATGTTGAGACTATTCAGATCCTCCTGCCACGGATAATTGAGATAAGAGCTCGGATGCAGAAGGCTGCTGAGGACGAGGACGTCGAGGCTTTCCGGGCAGTGACCCGCCTCTTTGCAGAAGCTGGCATCTCCTGGGCCGTGATTATCGCCCGCGAGCCAATACACTTCCGGCCCCTTGTCGAGATCATTCTGGAATGCTGCGCAAGAGACAAGGACAGAGACGTCATCGGGCACACGTTTACATTCTGGTACGAGCTAAAGCAGTACGTGGTGTTGGACAAGTACGTCGAGGCTAGGATGCAGCTCTATGATGTCTTCGCCAAGCTGGTGGATGTTATCCTCAAGCACCTGCAATACCCCGAATCAGAGAGTGGAAACGAGCTGGACCTATTTGATGGAGACCGTGAAGAGGAAGAGAAATTCCGGGAGTTCAGGCACGAGATGGGCGATACGCTGAAGGACTGCTGTGAGGTGTTGGGTATCTCAGACTGTCTGAACAAGGTGCTTGAGGCGATCAAAGTCTGGATGCACAAGTATGCTAGCCAGGCCACAGCGTCATCGGTGCCTCACTGGCAAGAACTCGAAGCTCCGGTGTTCGGCATGCGCGCTCTGGGCCGGATGGTGGACAGAGACGAGGGCACCGTTCTGCCCCAGCTAATGCCGTTGCTGGTGCAGATGCCCAACCACGAGAAGCTTCGATTCGCCACCATCATGGTTTTCGGGCGGTACACCGAGTGGACGGCAGAGCACCCGGAGTTCCTGCAGCCGCAGTTCAACTACATCGTCACTTCGTTCCAGGCAGACTCCAAGGAGATCATCAGGGCTGCCGCGGTGGCGATCAAGTATTTCTGTACCGACTGCAGAAGCTTGCTGAGTGATCAGGTCCTTCAGTTGCAGTCCTTCTACGACCAGATCCTCGACAAGCTGCCAGAAATCAGTCAAGAGGAGATCACCGAGGGAGTTGCCAGCGTTGTGGGCGTCCAGAAGCCGGAGGAGGTCTACAAGCTTCTCAAGCTGTACTGTGACCCGTTGGTCAACAGGCTGATGGCCAAGGCTAACACGGCCTCTGCTGACGACAAAGATGACAAGCTTAAGTTGGCGTTGGCTGGTAAGTACATCTCTCAGAGGCGCAAGTGTCCTACAAATGGTCCAAAGTATTCTAACACCCTTCCTAGATCACGTCCAGCTTCTCACTTTGTTCGTCCAAAATGTTGTCCCCTTGGTTTCACATGGGCAGGAAGACCCCGCCGTCAAGTACTGGCAAGAGGTCTTCCCTGTCTTATCCACAGTCATGGACAACTTCCTGAATTTCCCGCCCATCTGTGAGCGAATCTGCAGGTGTTGGCGGCACATGGTCATCTCATATCGGACGGGCATCACGCCTCTGCTGCCACAGTTGGCCAATAAGCTTGCAGATGGATTCGCGGCATCGAAACAGGGGGCCTTCCTGTGGGCGTCAAGCGCGATACTGAGAGAGTTTTCTGAGGACCGCGACCACCTCGACCAAAGCATCCCAGAGAACATTTACAAGTTCTTTGAGAACCAGGCAACCAATGTCCTCCGATTCATGAGCGACATACCGGCCAATGAGCTGCCGGATATAGTCGAGGATTTCTACCGTCTCTTGACGGATGCACTCCTCTACTACCCGCAGAAACTAATCCTGTCGCCGCTCCTGACCCCGATCCTCCAGGCCGCCGTCTCCTCTCTGAGTTCACTGGAGCAGCGTGACCCCCTGACGGCAACCCTCCATTTCCTGCGCGACCTACTGAGCTACGGAGGAGCGAACCCTGCCTCGTCAAACTTGCAGCTGGGCCCGGTCGCGCAACAGATCCAGGCCGCTGTGAAGCAGCTGCTAGTGACAGAAGGCGAGCCACTGGTGAAGGCCATCTTGGCAGGCATGATGATGACGTTCCCTCGGGACTGTTTTGCTGATGGCAGCGGGGTGCTGCTTGAGCTCTTTGCCCTGCTCCCGGCGCAGACGACAACCTGGGTGGAGACCACCCTCAAGCTAGCACCCGCAGGCACCGTCACGCCAGTGGAGGCGTCGCGTCTCATCGGCAAGATTAAGGAGAAGCTGTCCCAACCCGATGATGGAGGCCTGAGGCAGGTCAGAGTGCTGCTTCAGGACTTTACTAATACGTACCGACGGCGGCACGTCGCCCCTCGAGATGGGCTGGGCCTGATGGAGGGCAAGAGGTTCCACTTTGATGGATAATGGGGAGTACGAATGATGGCGATGAGTAGGTAGTATACCAACGACACTCGACACACCGGGGGAGAAATTCAAACGGCCCGAGGATATGGAAAGTCAACAGAGAGGATATCCGTGTCCGAGTGCTTACTTCTAGATACCAAAAGAGAGCGACCCAACTTATCGGATTGATTGGGGCTTTGAGTGAACACTGTTCAATGGAGATATTGAAGAGCAGTCGGGACGCCACATTAGTGAGCTGACCACAGCAGGAGGTCTTGTACCCATTTAGCCTGGCCAAGCATGTGAGTCACAAAACAAGTTGTTGATTTTAGGCTCGAAGGGCATTTTTCAGGAGTGATTTTTTGGGGCGGGCTGGGAAAGGATGGGCTAGAAGTCGGGCAGATTGCAGGATGATGAAGTGCGTGCCCATGTGCTCTTGTCAAGTACATCTGAGCAGAGCAGTGCGGCCAGCTCTGGGGATTTCTGAAGAAGAAGTAAATAGATGAGCTGCTGAGATCTGGTTCAAGATTGAGCGAAGCCAGGCCCAGCAAGTTCAAACCTTGGAACAAATTTATCGAGCCAATACCTCGTTTCAAATTACCCGCTGGTGTTATTTGCACGGCAATAATTGGACCATGCCTTACATCATCATGTTGCTGCAACATATGTTGGCTAGACTAGGAAGATGGTACGTGGCTTGCATTCTACCTGGTGACCTTTTTCGCTGGCTAAGCCCCCTCTGGCAGGCAGGAAAGGAGGAGGAGGGCGTCGGAGAGCACTGCTCGTTGGTCACGCATACGAAGACACCAATTTACCCGTCTTAAACCAAGCCCTTCGACATACCCCGCCTTTTAGAAGGGTGCCAAGTCATGCTGTTGTCAAGTATCCTACCGTGGGCGGGTTTGGTGTTTTTTTCTCCGTTGTTGTAGCACTGTAGTCATTGTTGTAGTAGTAATAGTAGTAGCAGCAGCAGCAGCAGCAGCAGCAGCAGTAGTATTTAAGCAGTGCAGTACAGTGCAATGCGGTGGCTTCCCCCTCCTCCCACCCATAAAAACATAGAGATGAGACAAACGCACTGCAGCGGTTGAGTGAGAGGTGCGATGATGTAAACTGTTTAAGAAAGAAAAGAAGAAGAAAAACAAACAACGAATTTATCAATGTTGAGTTGAGTTGACGATATCCACTTTACATGAGACTTACAGCGCTCTATGACGGCTACAAACTACCAAGGACAAGAAAACCGAGTACGACTTTCATTCTTTTGTTCCAGAATAACTTTGATGCAGAACGATTTCAAAAGCGCTGCATCACCGTCTTGTCCCCATTTCTGAACTGCAGCAGAGCTGGACTGTGCGCTGCACTGCGTCTCATCGTGTTTCATTTCTCCCTCACCCACCGCAGCGCAACCAAGTCTGCTCTTCATCACCATTGTCGTCATCGTTATCGTCATCATCATCATCACCATCAATTTACAATCCAATCCACACATACACACACAGAAAGGATGACCCTCCTTACAAACCCCCTCACCACCCTCCTCGCCCTGTCCCTGCTGTACCTCGTCAGGCACGCCGCCAGCGTCTACCGGAACTACATCGCAGCCAAGCGAACCGGCCTGCCCGTCTGGGTGCACCCCTTTGGCATCACCTCGCCGATCTGGATCCTCTTCAGCGGCTTTTTTCTCAGGGTGTTTGGGAGGTATGGGTGGGTGCACCGCATCGACAGCGGCTGGAACCAGCGGCAGAAGCTGAAGCCTTATGAGGAGCTTGGGTCCAAGGCGTTCTGGATCGTCACGCCGGATTATAAAGAGCTTTTTGGTGAGTGAGCACTGTCACTTTTGCTCGTGAGCAGAGCCTTGTCTGTCTTCTTCTTCTAGAAACGGAACGTTGTAGAGATGATGTGGTTGGATGTGCAAGTGGTGACCTTGTTCCTTCCTCTACAATGTCATATCCCTTCCCCGCCTTCCTATTTCTCTTTCTCTTCATTTTTTTCTCTGTTTTCTTCTTTACTTCCAATATCATAGGACTCACTCACCCTTCCCTCTCTATCTCTACATCTTAGTCGCCGACCCTCTGGCCTGTGAAGACATCTTGAAGCGCTGCCGCGCCGAGTTCAAAAAAAATCCAAAGCAGTACACACTCCTCGACATCTACGGCCGCAGCGTCGTCACCGCCAACGACAAGACATGGGAGCGCCACCGCCGCATCACAGCCCCGCCCTTCAACGAGAGGGTGTCCGAGACGGTATGGGACGAGTCAGCGCGCCAGGCTGATGCTGCCCGCCGCACATGGATGCACAAGTCTCAGGCTGAAGGCAAAGGAGGCGACGTGAGGACGACGCAGGAGGATACCACGCGTATCGCCTTTAACGTGCTGAGCACGGCTGGGTTCGGCATCAGCTTTGGCTTCGACGATACCAGCGGACAGGGGTCGTCTGGTGCTGCTGCTGCTGCTGCTGCTGCTGCTGCTGCTGACGAGGATGAAAAGGCAAACGACAGTAACAACGCGCACCACATGCGCTACCGTCAAGCACTCTTCACACTTCTCAACAACATGGGCCCCTTCATCGCCTGGATCCTCCTGCGGCGCATGGGCTGGCCCGAGTCTGCCATGTGGGGCGGGATCAAGGCCGTCGGCGTTGCCAAGCACGAGTACGGCACCTACCTGCATCAGATGATCCGGGACGAACGCGAGGAGATCCAGAGGAGCGAGCGATCGTCGTCGTCGGCTGGTGTGGAAGGAAACGGGGGTGAGAAGAGGGCGGCGACGCTTATGAGCTCGCTGATCAGGGCGTCTGACCAAGGAGCTGCTGCTGATGATGACAGCATCAACAAGTCTGGGGCAGCGAAGAAGAATGGTGCTGGGCCTGCGCTGACCGATGAAGAGGTCGCTGGGAACCTCTTCATCTTCAACATCGCTGGTCATGACACCACCGCCAACGCCATAAACTTTGCCATCACGCTGCTGGCTATCGACCCGGAGTGGCAGGAATGGCTGGCGGAGGAGATTGATGCAGTTGTCAAGGACGACCAGTCATCGCTCAAGTACGCGGTGGTGTTTCCCAAACTTCACAGGTGTCTTGCGACCATGGTGAGTTTCCCTCATTGAATCTCTTTTTCGTTCACTTCTAGCTAAGCCCAGACCCCACCCGACCAGTACGAGGTATTACGAATGTATGGACCAGTACCCGTCACGCCGCGCTGGACAGCCCACGACTTCCACACCCTCACCATCGACGGCAAAGAATACACCATTCCTCCCGACACCAGCGTAAAGATCGACCTCGTATCTCTACACCACGACAAGAAGACCTGGGGTGATGACGCCGACGAGTTCCGCCCCGACCGCTGGATCCCGAGCACCTCCTCGTCATCGTTAACCCAGGCAGCCTCCTCCTCCACCACCAGGTCGAGCATCGGGACGTACGACTGGCAATCCGAGTCCCTCATCTCTACCGCCGCAGGCACCTTCTTGCCTTGGACCGGCGGGCCCCGGGTGTGTCCTGGCAAGAAATTCTCCCAGGTCGAATTCACGAGCGTTCTCTTGCGGCTGTTCCAGGGCGGTGCGCGGGTTCGCATTGCTGAGGAGGAGGGTGAGTCGTCTGCACAGGCTCGAGCCAGGGCTCGTCGGATTGCTGGGGACCCGGATCACTCGATTACGCTTAGGATGAAGGGGAGTAAGGAGATTGGTCTGAAGTGGTATGTGAAAGAGAATTGACATGGAGACATACAATGAAAATGGCTTGGAAGTGGGATCAAGACTGTCAATTAGTTGGTAGGTAGGTCTTTGACCTGTGTATGACCAGATATTTTGCACACTTCAAAGAATGTCATATACGCCCTCTACGACCGTCACTCACTTCTTGGATGAAGGTAAGTACCGAAGGAATTTGATGCGCTTCTCGTGAATGAAATGGGCTCAGTGTGGATGTGACGGATGAATATCTTCTTTCTCACTTTAGCTAGACATGATCGTTGCTACTATGATATTCTCGACTCTCTCTCGTCTACGCTTGAATCCACTTTTTTTGTTCTCTTTTTTTTTCTTTCTTATTTTCGCTCTTTGATTTTTCTTTGCGCAAGGAGATCTATCAGAGATCTTATGGCTCAACGAGGCAGTTGAACTCAAGAATCCTCTCTCTATTCTAGTAGCTCCTGCCGAACTGGACCCAGGACTCGGCGAGCTTCCCGCACGTAGGGTTCAGGCACTTGGTCTCGCCCTTGACCAGTCCCTCGGGCTGCTCAAAGGGAATGCACAGGCTCTTCATGCCCATGCGCTCGTTGCCGTGCTCGTCCTTGCTCTTGGTCGTTTCCTTGATCTTCTCCTCGCAGTCGGGTGCCAGACAGAAGGGGATGAGGACGACATTCTTGGCATCCAGAGCAGGGACCACCTTCTCCCACTCGGTGACCTGGATCCGGTGGGCCTTGTAGGCAGCGTCGGCCTTGTTGTACAGGTCTTGTTGGATAGTCTCAAGCAGCTCCGGAACCTTGGTCGCCATCTCCGAGATGGGGATCGTACCCTTCTCGCCCGTGTCACGGCGTGCGTAGCTGATGACGTCCTTCTCCATGTCCTTGGGGCTGTACAAACTCTTGAGTCAGCTCATCTGTAGTAGCCAGATTATAGTTTTGGAGAAAAAAAAGCCAGCTTACCCAAACTCGACCCGCAGCGGGACGCCCTTGAGCTCCCAGTCGTTGAACTTCCATGGAGGCGTGTAGCCATCACGGGTGTCGACATCGCAGCGAACGCCAGCCTTCTTGAGATCGACCGCCAGCTGCTCCACCTTCTCTCCATGCTTCTGCTTCACCTCTTCGGTCGTCTTTGCGGTGATGCCGAGCGGGATGATGATAACCTGAAGCTTCGCAATCCGAGGAGGGAGGACAAGGCCCTTGTCGTCACCGTGGATCATGACCATGACACCAATCACTCGGGTGGACAGACCCCACGAGTTCTGCCAAACGTTGATGTGCTTGCCCTTCTCAGAAGGATCCTCTACCGTGATGTCGAACCTGCTTCCGAGTTAATGTTTTATTCTTAGTACAGCAAAGAGGGGAGATCGTGGCGACTGACATCTTACTAAAGTTTTGTCCCAGGCAGTGGGACGTCGCACCCTGGATGCCACGACCGTTGGACGGGATGTAGCCCTCGACTGTAGTCGTGTAGTAACCGCCAGCAAACTTCTCGTTCTCCGTCTTTCTGCCGCGAACGACCGGGACAGCCAGCAGCTGCTCGTAGACGCCGGCGTACAGCTCGAGAATCTCCAGAACCTCCTGGCCAGCCAGCTCCTCGGTCAGATGTGCCGTGTGGCCCTCCTGCCACATGAACTCTCTCGCACGGAGGAAAGGGGTGGTCTGCTTTGCCTCCCATCGCACGACAGAGTTCCACTGGTTGAGACGGAAGGGCAGATCTCGGTGGCTGCGAATCCATTTGGCGTAGTAGGGGTACATGACGGCCTCAGAGGTTGGACGGACGGCCACAGGAACCTAATGGCATGTATGTGTAAGCTGGTTGGTCTCTCTGAGGAAGGGCTGGAGCAGAATATCGTGCAAACCTCAAGATCCTTGTCACCCCTAGAGACTGTCAGCGGGTTGGACAACCTAAATGACGAGAACTGTTGTGACTCACGCTTTCGTAACCCAGGCCAACTCAGGGGCGAAACCCTCGACGTGATCTGTATGGCAGCGGCATGAGCATTCATGACGCATTTACACCAACACCAACACAGACCATGATTTCCAAAGGTGGTAGGACCGCTCACCTTTCTCCTTCTCGAGGGATTTCGAGGAGAGGAACATGGGGAAGCTGGTCTCCTCCACACCCATTGCCTCGATCCTCTCCTGGAACCACTTGCGAATGACGTTCCAGATGTACATGCTTGCAGGACGCATGATGAAGAAGCCAGAAATCTTGATGTTTCAAGTCAGTCTTGAGGCAGAGTTGGTGGTGGTGGAGGGCATTCACGGCTTACCTCGTTGTAGTACTCGATCATCTCGGCCTTCAGGACGACCTCCTGATACCACGTAGGGAAGTCGACGTCCTTCTTCGCCGTCATGCCGATAATGTCATCAGTCTTCTTGCCCTGGCCAACGGCGAGAGTCGCTTGTTTGGCGGCTTTCGCAGCCTTGTCGGCGGCCATCTTGGCAGCTTTCTCGGCCTTCTTGATCGCCGACTTTGACTGTTCAGGAGGAGGGGCGTCCGCCATCTTGAATGTGCCTTTTGCTCAAGGTAAATCCTGTGAAGGGAGTAGAGGGTGAGAGAGAGATGAAACTAATTGGGGGTCTGCAGTAGAAGGGAAAGAAAAATCGTGGCAACAAGTACTTGTGACACACACACACGGCACGCGAGACAAGGAGAAGTTATCAGAAACAACGTTGCGGATGTGACTGATACGCTTTTTGGGCAGTGATAAATTTGGGCCTACTAAGGGTAATTGTATGGTGGATTTCCGGTCGAGTGCCCCTCATCAAAAAGCTTTGGAGGGGCAGGTCGGGCAGGTAGGTGGGGTTCTGCCAGTACACTCGCTAGCCAGCTGCAGCCAATTACAGCTGCAGGCACGCGCTTCTGGGGAGGGCCCTCCCCTGGCCTGAAAAGTTGGTAATCGCGACTCAAGCTCACGTCCCACCAGCAGCTTTGCCCCGTCTTGTCCTGCGAACGTGCACAGCGTGTTCAGTCCTTTCACACCCGACTCCTGACAAGGCACCCAGCCAACCCACATAGACGACATTCCATATCGTCTCCGTTCCCCTCCGATCAGAACCTAACCAGTCGACATGGCGTCTATGTTCGAGCAGCCGCGGGAGGGTACGCTGTTCCTGGGTGGACAGAAGATTTCTGGAGCAGACATCCGTGACCAGAATGGTAAGCAGAGCAGCTTTCCACACACTCGCCAAGACCTTAAGCAAGGCAATATCTCTAACGGCCCATTACAGTGGTTGCCACGCAAGCTATAGCAAATGTTGTCAAGAGCTCGTTCGGCCCCAGCGGCCTCGACAAGATGATGGTGGACGACATAGGAGACGTGACGGTGACCAACGACGGCGCGACGATCCTCAGCCTTCTCGATGTCGAGCACCCTGCCGGCAAAATTCTGGTCGACCTCGCTCAACAACAGGACAAGGAGGTCGGTGACGGCACTACCTCGGTGGTGCTCATCGCCGCCGAGCTCCTGCGGAGGGCGAACGAGCTGATGAAGAACCGGATACACCCCACGACGATCATCACAGGCTACCGCCTGGCCCTGCGCGAGGCGATCAAGTACATGAACGAGAACGTCAGCATCAAGGTCGAGAAACTCGGGCGGGAGTCGCTCCTCAACATCGCCAAGACCTCCATGTCGTCCAAGATCATCGGCGCCGACTCCGATTTCTTCGCCAATATGGTGGTTGATGCGATCCAGGCCGTCAAGACGACCAACAACAGGAACGAGACCAAGTACCCTGTCAAGGCAGTGAACATCCTCAAGGCACACGGCAAGAGCTCATTGGAGTCTCTACTGGTCAAGGGATACGCTTTGAACTGCACCGTCGCCTCGCAGGCGATGAAGACGCATGTCAAGGATGCCAAGATCGCCGTGCTGGATATGAACCTGCAGAAGGAGCGCATGAAGCTGGGCGTGCAGATTACGGTGGACGACCCCCAGCAGCTAGAGCAGATCCGCGCAAGGGAGTCCGGCATGGTCATAGAGCGGGTGGAGATGATCCTGAAGGCGGGCGCCAACGTTGTCCTGACTACCAAGGGCATTGACGACCTCTGCCTCAAACTGTTCATCGAGAAGGGTGCCATGGCTGTCCGGAGGTGCAAGAAGGAGGACCTGCGGCGGATAGCCAAGGCGACCGGGGCAACGCTGCTGAGCACCCTGTCGGACCTGAACGGCGATGAGCGGTTCGACCCCTCGTACCTCGGCCATGCTGAGGAGGTCGTGCAGGAACGCATCTCGGACGACGAGTGCATCTTGGTCAAGGGGACCAAGACTCACTCCTCGGCATCACTGATCCTGCGGGGTCCCCACGAGTTCACCCTGGACGAGATGGAGCGGTCCATCCACGATTCCCTGATGGCTGTCAAGCGCACCCTGGAGAGCGGGAGCATCGTGCCAGGTGGCGGTGCTGTTGAGACGGCCCTGCACATCTACTTGGAAGAGTTTGCCGGCACCGTCGGCTCTAGGGAGCAGCTGGCCATCGGCGAGTTTGCACAGTCTCTCATGGTCATCCCCAAGACACTCGCAGTGAACGCTGCCAAGGACGCGTCCGAACTGGTTGCCCAGCTGCGATCGCGCCACGCCCTGTCACAACGGATGGCCGAGGGAGACGCCAGCGAGGACGAGAAGACAATCGCCAAGAAGAAGGGCTACAAGAACTACGGACTGGACCTGATGAAGGGCAAGGTCGTGGACGAGATCAAGGCCGGCGTGCTGGAGCCGAGCATGAGCAAGGTGCGACAGCTGAAGAGCGCGGTGGAGGCATGCATAGCAATATTGCGAATCGACACGCTCGTAAAACTGGATCCGGAGCAGAGGGGGGAGGAGGATGATGGACACGGTCACTGAGAAGGGGGCCAGGGCCCAACAAAAGGCTGCTGAGGGATGAAGTGTGTGTCTTGTGGAGCCATCCATAGAGTCAATAGACGTCGGACGTGGAGATTGAAGAAAGAGACAGAGACAAAAAGAACATGTACATGATCCGAGATACCGAGATGCCAAAGTTGCCAATCAGTCCTCCTCACCTGAGGGGGCTTGTGACTGCTAGCAAGGACCCTGCAGATCAGCTTCTCCACCGCCCTGCACCATGTTCCTCTGAACTGCCTCTCCTGAGGGGGTCGAGCGCCGGCGGGAGGCTCTGTCAGACCGCCGTAACCAACAGGCCGGCAACCAGCGGCTTAAGTGGACTCCCCGTGTCGGCGCCGCCCCTCCATCGCAGAACCCGGGAGCGCCAAACGCCCTTTTAGATCTTGGGGATGGGGCGGGATTGACGTAGAGTTTACGTTTCAAAAACGCAAAAGAAGGGCGGGCGGACAAATAGCTTGGTCGGTTCCTTGAAAGCCAGCAGTGGTCATTCGGGCTTCTCTGGCTAGTTTCAAGACTTGGAAGAGAAACGGTCGGTGTAGGTTTGGCCAACACACAACGAAGGGGGTGAATTGGTCATGGGGGGGAGGGGGCAAAGATACGCACAGCGGTCTTAGCGACGGGCGGGCATGGCAAGTGCAGGGATGATGATTACAGTCTAGAGCTTCTTTGTAGTCGTGGCTGTGGATCCGGTTTTCCTGTTGCGCCGGAAGGAACACACACGTGGGGATATAAGTATAAAGAACCGACGAGTGAACCTCGTAGCTTTGTGTGTTTGTGTCTGCGTTGCGGGCGGGTGTACCAAGACCTTCCTCACTCGTTTTCTGTCCTCTGTTCCCTTTCACGATAGCTTCTTCCTCAGCATCGTACCGGCCTCGACTTGATGGCCTATCGTGAACCCCCTTCACCTACTCAGATTATACAATCGACTTAAGCTGACTGTCTGTCTGTCTTGGACTGGCGTAAGACATCCGATCAGGGTGTGAGACTGTTTGTTCACTACTATTTGTTCATACTTGAGGGGCCAGTTTTTACTACTCCTGACAAAGCTTTGGCCTCTGTCCTTTGCTTCTCTTCTTTTTTCTTCCTCTTTCTTCTTCCTCTTCTCGTTTCAGTGACCGTGCGCATAATCATCCGTAGCCATGGGCTCCCATACTCACGATCTCCCGCCGGCAAACTCACCAGACCTCGGGCTGGCAGAATCCACCAAAGCCGAGCTTCTTCACGTATGGGGGCTTCACCATCCCATGTGGGGAGGACCTCTCAATTATGAAGATTATCTGAAGAGGGAGGAATTTCTGATGACTGTGCCCCTGGCCAAGAATGGGGGTGTCACCCATTGGATCCTGACGGACCGAAATGGCGTCCCAGACAACAGGCCCATTTATGCCAGCTGCGAGACGCTGCGCAAGCGTGCCCTCGCCAGTCGGCTCGGCCCTGACGGAGAGGTGACCGTGCAAGAGGGCATCGCCCACAACGTGGGGTCTGTCTTCACCAACCCCACATACCGGGGCAAGGGCTACGCCTCGAGGATGATGAGCGAGCTAGGAGAGAAGCTGAAGGAGTGGTCTGTAGCACGCAGGGAGCCCAAGGCCGACGAGAAGGAGTCGGTCGTCACACGCTCGCTCTTCTCGGTCCTCTACTCGGACATTGGCAAGGCCTTCTACGCAAACCACGGCTGGGCAGCATTTGAGAGCTCTCACCTCAGCTTCAAGCCTGCCACTGCCGCCGCCTCCTCGGCCTCTACACCTGGTAGTGCATCATCCTCACCGAGCAAGGTCAAGGTGCTCGGCTACCACGACCTCGCCCTCTTGTGCCGCGACGATGAAGGGATTGTGCGCACAGAGATGGAGCGCCGCGCGAAACAGCTGCCGTCAACAGGCGGCAAGAAGCAGGTGTGCGCGGCGCTGGTGCCAGATCTGGACCAGTTCCTGTGGCACATGATGCGTGAAGACTTCATCACGAAGCAGATGTTTGGCAAGACGCCCGAGGTCCGTGGCGGCTTGTATGGCGAGCCTGGGCGGAGGATCTGGGCTGTCTGGACGCGGGGGTATTATGGCAACCTGGAGAAGATCGACAACAACACGTTCCACATCCTGCGCTTCGTGATCGAGGACGAGGACAGCGCATCCGAGGACTACGTCGTGGAGGGTCTCAGGGAGATCATCTCGCTGGCCCAGCGCGAGGCCTTGGAGTGGCGATCCTTTGATATCCAGATGTGGAACCCCTCGGCGCTGCTGCTGAAGGCGGCCGCCAAGAGCGGGCTCGAGTACACGCTCGTGGACAGGGAGCAGAGCAGCATTGCCAGCCTGATGTGGTATGGCGATGAGGAGACGGCTGCCGTGGACTGGGTTGCGAATGAGAAGTTTGCGTGGGGTTGAGATGGAAAAGGAGGGTTGGTTCGAGACGGTATTGTCATCCCCGAAAGCATTAGCGATATTCATCCATTACTGTCTGTGTTTTTCTCTCTTTCTTCTTTCTTTTCCTTTTTCCTTGTTCTGGTTTCCCATCTTGCACATTGGTTCATGTTCAGATCTGGAGCGTATTGGTACGCAAAAAAGAATACGTGCATGGTGAAAATGCGGGGGCCAAAAGTTGAGAGAGAGGAGGAGAAAAGGGAAGGAAGGAAAATAGGCGTGCTGTGGTGCTTCTTTCCGCTTCGGTAACCACCAAGCCACATACATAGACTTGCCTTTTGCTTGGCCATCTTTCAACTCCTCGTTCTTCCTTTTCTTCTTCACATTCCTTGGACTCTTTCGACCACCCTGTCATCCTGTATATTGCAATCCTCGTCTCTTATTACACGTTATAGCTCAGAAATCCACCAAATATCTTTTCAACTACCGCCTCTCCGTCTCCTCGCATTCCAACCAGCTCTGCAGAATCACCACGTCGCATCATCTCCCAGCACCGCTGTCTACGCTGTCTACCTGCATACTCAGACACACCACAATGGCCGAGTACGAGTACCACAGCCCCCAGAAGCTGATGACACCTGAGGAGTCATGCATGGACACATGGGACGGGGCCGTCATGAACGAGGTCATGCAATATGCCTACGAGAACAACCTTGTGATAGACCATCGCCTGAGCTCCTTCTCTATCGCCCATCTCTTCGGACCCCTGATCCAGGAGACTATCCCAGATGCAGGAGAGGACGGCTTCACTGATCACAGTCACCTTGCTGAGCTGGAGATCCCAACGCCTTCGCTGTGGGAGAAGCCGTCCACCACGAACGACGCGCTGAGGCTCATCCACAATGTTCGACGCTCCCTCACGGATGAAGAGGTGGAAAAGCTCACTCAGGAAGTGTGCGACTCGGTCAAGGTCGCGGGCCTGAAACTCGAGCTACCTATCCTCAAGACCGACAACGAATGGGACATGAAAGAGTTCGAGAAAGAGAATGCAGCCCGTCGCGCTGCCGTCTTGGACTCCATCAAGAACCACAGATTGCCACTTCATCCTCAGAACTTGGAGGATGGCGAAGGCATGGAGCTGTCAGCGAAGGTCCGAGCGCGGTGCGATGACCTCGTGAGGACGATTGAGGGGGAGAGGCTGGCAGTCACCCAAGACAGCGCCAGATATCTCATCAACCAACGCAGACATGAATTCACAAGTGAGGACCGGATGAGGTTCCTGATCGAGGAGGTCAGCTATGAAAAGGCAAGTTCCGCTATTTGTGAAAGCTTAATTGTTTCGTTGTGAGCCTAACGTCCTATTTACAGAATCCGCGCATGGAGAAGAAGCTCACCCCACCTGTGAGCCCCAAGCTTAGGAACAACTTCCTCACATCAGATTTCGATCCCGGCCCTCTTCCCATACCACCAGACTCGAGTTCACTGCTTAGCGACAATTTCCATGCCATCGAGGAGGCTATGCTTGGGGAGCATCAGGACAGATGGAGCGACAACACCTCTCCTATTCGCGAGTTTCTGCAGGACAAGTTCACCGTGACCGACCAGGAGGCGGAGGCGCTTCTGGATTACCCTCGACAGAACCTCGACGAGTTCAAAATCGAGATGCCCCTGTTGATGGATGAGGCTCCAGAGCTACCAGGTCCTTCGGGCCCAGGCGCTTTCAAAGACTTTGTCGAGGGAGCAATGGACCTAGACCGTGGGTCTGAAACGGCATGGCTTCAGAGCTTCTCAGACGATTCCCTACAAGAGCAGTTGCAAAAAGCTGCAGGCAAGATTGAAAAGGCCATTGAACAAGAAGAGCTGAACGAGGTGGACGCGACCGCCCGTGTTCGAGTTCCCATCATGGACTTCTCGCGCCCTGACCCAGAATGGGCAAGACTTCATAACGATGCGAGAGGCATCTTCCAATGGATGCAGGGTGGTATGGAACATCTTTTCGAGATTCGCCGCTGGCCCGTGCACAAAACTGCTGAGAGCAAGCTGAGATGGAACCCGTTGAATTCTCATAAAGCCAATTTTGCGTTGTTTGAGGAGACTGTGGACGCTGGTGATCCTCTCGTTCAGGCTTTGCTTCAACTTCCCGAAACAAGCGAAGTTTCCACGAGCCTAGACTTCGTCCAACAGCGAAACCTGCCCATGGCTTTCAAGGACCAGGATATATATGAGGAAATCGAGGTTGAGGCCAAGAGCAAGAGCGCCCCCGAGGACAACCTGATGGACTTCGTAAGGAAGAGGTCCATAAACCTCAACGACAGAGGAGAAACATTCAAGAAGCCTCGAACTTTTGCAGTGCCTTCGTCGCAGCAGATGTCTAAGAACGATGGCCCGTCCCTGTTGGCAGGAGACTCTCCAGGGGCCTCTACGAGGCTTCTGGAGAATTATATGGAAATCCATGCGCCAGAGAAGAAGCCATGGACATACAGTAAGTATTTCAGCCCTCAGAAATCCGGAGCTGAAGTTGGTGCAACACCAAAGATAGTGTCCAAGAAAGTCCCAAGACCCAATGGCGATAGGGGTGACCAATCGGACAGTTCCGCGAACAAACCAGCAACGAAGCAAAACACACCCTGTCCATCGCTCCAGCTCCCAGGAACTCCATTGGCGGCCTTTATCTCTGTCAAGATTCCTGCACGTCTGCTCTGGGCGATCGAAGGACTCATTCCGGACCTGACTCTGATCGAGAGGGATTATGATGGCCACAATACCTCTGTCTGGCGGCAGGGTTCCGTTGCTCGAGCCGAAGTTGTCCCTGATCTTGCCAACGATGCCGATGTCTCCATATCCCCAAGCACAGGTCTCATCATTACGTCCATGATCCGGGTCCGCCAGAAATCCAAACCAGGAACCACCAAGAGCATGGTCCAAATACGAGTCGAAAAAGCCTCAGTACGATATGAGCAGCTCATTGTTCTCATAGGAGGCGAAGGAGGCGGTGATGATACACTCACTGAGCTCTCGACATCCGATATGGTCGCTATCCATGAGCTTCAGGGATTCTCGAGCGGCCTCGACTGCAGCGTCCAGATACATTATGTTGGTGGAGGAGACAAGACATTGGCAACCTGGGTGGCTTCTTGCATCAGCCGGTATGGTCTGGCCGACCCAGCTGTGTTGACAGGCCTGCTTGACGCCGAGACGCTCTGGGAGCTCTTTCTGCGGAGGGCAGGCTTCAATGTCTTCGCGGCCCAAGTTGTCGTGGGCCAGCTGAAGCTCCTGAGTCCCGGGGCAAACAGAGGAGATCTGACTCAGTATGGCTTAGGTGCCTTCGTGACGATGACCAGGGCCGAGAGAATGCACCGATTTGGGCAATTGGTCGGCACAAGAGTCTTGGAGCGCGTCAGCAGAGCCATTGACGAGTCGTGGAACCTGTGGGGAGGGGGGGTGGCAATGAGCGATAGTGGATGAGACCTGGACGAACACAGTGACATGTCCTATCAGATGCATGGCGGGATCTCACAGCACATATACATCTCGCTCTGCCTGTACACCGTACTCTGAGCAAGGGTGGTTTGACAGCTGCTATAAGCTCTGACAAATAAGGATCGATCGAATATAGCAAATGGAGAGGTTTTACCCCCTATGGCTTTACCTGTCTGTCCGCCTCGTCCAGTCCAAGCGTCACTCGCTTGCTATTTTAATGTCGCCAATCGACCTCTCTGATCTCTATGCATCGGCACCTCGTTGACTCTGGAGGCGGCTTTGTAGACCGATGGTCCTGGCCGGAAGATTTCGGGGATCAAACAATCATAACCAAATCTTCCAAAGTATATCTCCGCACTGTGAGATTAGGAGAATCGAACTATAGCGGGGCCGAAGTGGAAGCCGTTCCGATCTTCCAAAGTCTCAGGCTCGACTGCTGCGCTCTCTTGTCTTTCGACAAACTGCCAGCCGTCGGCGAGACTAAGCTATTGTCATCTCCCGAGCCACCAAGGCTTGCACCTGGCGGGCTCGAGTCTCCTTCCTCTCCAGGCATGTTCCAGCATCCCGAAGCAGTCGCCACCACGGAACCGCTATGATGAAGACCAACGCTTCCCACGGCCGGCGCCATGGGTCCTGACCCAGGTCCCTCCTGCGGGACAGGCCTGCCATCTGCAGTAGAGAAATCCCACGAGGGCCACTGGCAGCTCTCGGTATTGCCCACGCCCTCCCATACCTTGACGGCGCCGTCCCTAGTACCGGCCCAGACCTCGAAGCCGCCGACATTGTCCAGACCCGGGAACACGTCGCAGCTCAGGCGCTGATGGGTGCAAGCGTCGCGGCCAGCGAGGACGCCGAGAAGCTTGCCGGTGATGCGGACATCGTAAACGAGCACGCCTGTCGACTGCCGCTCGCAGGCCAGGAGGTAGCGTCCGCACGGCGACCAGGCCGTCTGGAGGATCCCGGCGCCGCCTATGGCCCCGGTAGTGGCGGCCTCCTTGATGCTCCAAGTCGCGGTACACTCGCGCCCGCGGTGCATGTCGTACAGCCCAAGCCATCGCGTCCAGGTGCCGGCGGCGAGCAGGCCCGTGGGGGCGCCGTCCGAGGTGGTCTGGGCGGCCAGGGCGGATGTGGTGCCGCGCATGCCGACGCCATTGCCCTTGCGGATATGACGCCTAGAGGGGATGGTGGGGAGGCGGACCGTGGGGCCCTCACCGCTGCGGGTGATGTCGAACTCGGCTAGGAGGTCCCTGGTGCCGACATAGAAATGCGTCCCCGGGTGCGGCCATGAGAGAGAGTGGATGGGCAGGTAGGCCTCGGTCGTTGGGGACATGAGTCGGTAGGAGCCGAAAGGGGCATCGCACCCAGTCCCGGTCCTGGACTGTGGGGCGTCATTGTTGTCGTCGTTGTCGCCAGGCGAGAGTGCCTGATAGAGCTGGAGTGGGTGGTCACGGCAGGCGACTAGGAGCTGGTCTGTATTTGGAAAGCGTATGTCGTAGTAAGGGGCTGGCGAGACGACATTGGTTGGCTCGGCGAGTCGGAGCGTCTTGTGAGGCCTCAGGACGAGGGGCTCATCTCTGGGCTCTAGCAGGTCTGTCGGGATGACGAAGCTCGAGATCTGGAGGTCATATGAAGAGGTTATGATGGTCGTCCCATCGCGGGTCCTTTTATGGCTTGTTTAGTTCTCGAGCTAGATTGGGCTGGGGTAGGGCTGGACCTTACCACTGGGCGCTCTTGTAGAAGGAAGTTCCCAAGGCAAAGGTCTCGGGTGGCTCACATGAGCTGATGGAAGAAGTGGAAGCTGAACTGGAGATGCTCAAGGAGGTGTCTTCTATAGAGACAGATCCGTCTATGCTAGAGTCGGTATCTTCAACATCAACATCGCCTCCTTCGTCAACCCCACCGTAATGTTCGGTCAGAGCCAAGAGGCTGAGTTCTGGTCTCTCGCCTGGCCCCATCGTCCAATATGTTTCTGGGAGGTGAATGACTGTCGTGCCGTGTCAGAATCCGTCTGAAATTCTATTCAGCAGTCCGATGTGGCCATTTTATGTTCAATCTCGGAAAGCAGGATGCTTTCCGTGTCGATTTTGTTTTGGTTGGTATGGTAATGGTAAGCCCACGATGTTGGCGGAAAATTGAGACAGCAAGTTAATGTGGACAGAATCATGAAACGGGGGTTTTCAATGTGACAGCTAGCGAGCCGGAATCAATCAATCCAACACAGGAAAACCTGCTAGTATAGAAGATTGACCTGAAATAATCTGTTGATGACAAGTTTCTCCGGTATGAAGTCGGAAATTTCATCTTTGATGGACTGCCTCGAATAGCCTCAACTCACCTCCAAGTTTAGATAGAATAAGACTTGCTCGCTACCTGCTTAGTACTCGCCGTGGTAGGGGCGATGGCTGCCAGTGCTAGAAGCAGGGGCAGGACACAGCTTGAGTGGGTTGAAGCTTAACTTCCCTGTCCCCGGCCCTGCAGGGTGTTGTCATCGCCTAGAAGGCACGGTAGGGAAGCTTAGCTGGCATTTCGGGCCCACGCAACCGTAGTACACTGTATGTACTCGGAAAAGTATGTGTTAAATAGTACGTACTTGAGTACTGAGGTAGGACCCCGTTCCCATCACCACCAGGAATGACATGCCTGCACCTGCACCTTGCATAGCTAGCTACATTCCAAGTACAGCTGCCACCTCACCTGCCACCATCCATTGTATGCCTCCCCCATCGTGACTTATTTGTCCCAAGGCAACTGACCTCTTCCTTCCTTTTCTTCTCCATACTGTGAACTGTGCTGTTCAGTACAAATAGCATCTCCTTTTCTCTTGTGCTGCATGAAGGGCATCAAGATCACGCCTATCCGTCTGTCCTCATTTTCTCAGAAGTCGCCTTATGATTATCCGTCATCGAGCTGGGTCTTGGCTTCTTTGTGCCTGTCCCTAGCGTGCCGAGGCGCCATCCGCTTTAGGTGGTTCTAGTCTCGTCCCTGCAGCGTCTCCAACGTCGACTGTGACGTCCGAACTCTCGACTTGACCGAACAACACATCTTTCGTCTTCTCCCCTTCCTCTACTTCTTCTCCCATATCCTCCTGTCGCCTTTGTGTTCCACACCACGATCCGTTTGTTCTGCTTCTTGTCAGCCACAACGAAGTCTTGCACGCCTTTCCCGACAATTAGACTACTGCATGCACCTGTCCGCCGCCGCCTTCCACCAGACCCAACGGCTGCTTGCCTAAGCGGGCGTCGCGCCCCGAGCCTTCGTCACGATGGACATCTTGGAGGACAAGTGCAGCGACCTGCGCGATCCAGGCTTTGTGAATCTCGTTGTCTCAGTGTATGTAGCTACCACCAAGGCATCTCTCGAGTCGCGGCGTCTTCTAATGGGGGAAACAGGATCATCGTTATTGGGATGCTCATCTCCTACATGCCCCAACACTACCGAATCATCTCCCGCGGAACCTCTGAGGGCATTTCTCCATATTTCGTCCTGCTCGGTACGACCTCGGCCACCGCTGGGTTCACCAACATCCTCACCCTTCCCAAGAGTATACAGGACGCCGGTTGCTGTCAAGAGCTGGAGACCTTCGAGTGCGTGGCCGGGGTGCTTGGCATTGTACAGCTAGGCGTGCAGTGGGCTTGCTTCGCCTTCATGTCAGTACTCCCCAAGGCTGTCTAAAGACAGCTTCGTTTGCAGGACCAGGCCGTGTGGTGCTAACTCCCTGCGCAGCTTCATCTTGTTCCTGGTCTTCTTCCGCTATGCGACCGCCAACATCGCCGAGGAGGAGCTCGAGGATGCCGAGGAGGAGCCTAGGTGGCAAACCGCGGTCATGGTCGCTACTGTCGTCCTCGTCCACATCCTGCTCACCGTCATCATCAGTGCGGTCATCGTGCTCATCTACCCCTCTCACCTGAACAGCTGGGCCATCTTCAACGGTGTGCTGGCTGCCGGGCTGGCCGCCGTCCAGTATATCCCACAGATCGCCATGACCTACCACCTTAAGCACGTCGGCAGCCTGAGCATACCCATGATGTGCATCCAGACTCCCGGCGGCCTGCTGTTCGCGGCGAGCCTAGCGGTTAGGCTAGGCTGGGCCGGTTGGAGCACTTGGGGTATCTTCCTGCTCACGGCCATCATGCAGGGCATTTTGCTGTTCATGGCGCTGTATTACGTGTTCGTGTCAAACGGATCAACGGACGACCCTACGAGACCCCCGATGCCCCGCTCGCTGTCTCGCGTCTACGCTAACGGCCTGGATGAGAACACGCCCACGAGGTACACCGGCCATCCCGAGCACTATGCCACATCGCAGGACCAGCTCGGCGACATCCTCGACCGGCAGGACAGCGACGCCGCAGCTGAGACGCAGCCACTGCTCAGACCTGGAGGGATCGGCAATTCTTCTTCGATCCACCGGTATGATGGCCATTGAGGACTCGAAGCTGAAAAAATTGTCTGCCTTTTTCCTTCCTCCCATTCTTGTTTCTTTCTTGCTGCTGTGGAGCTGTCACCGCGACCGTGAAAGTCACCGAAATATACATACCAACACACACATAGAGAGAGAAAGATTTCACGATCTGAAACTTACTATCGGGCGGCAAGAGACCATACAAGCTGTGATAAATTCAAGTTAGCTGGAGACAGAAAACAAGCAGACGCAGTCTGCTCACACGAGCGAAATGACTCCCCGTGATAACACAGATTGTGGGATGTGGAGGACCCATTACTCGTTTCATATGTTGTCTAGATTGGCGTGCTCGGGCTCTCGGGCTACAACAGGTCTGACTTCTGAGAAAAACATACACATCATAGGCATTGTGGGCGGACTAGACCCTAAGCACTGGGGTTTGTTTTGATGTACAGTATCTGACTACGAGGATGTCATCCGCTAAGGTTGTGTGGGAAGCATTCTTACACCGATCATGCTCGCGCTCTTAGATATCGTATCTTGTTGCAAGGTTGACGGTCTCTGTTGGGACTTGGTCGTAGAAAGACATCGATAACACAGCTTTGAATAGCAAATACAAGAAAGAAGAAGAAGAAGAAAAAGAAAAGAAATTCAGAAATTGTGGCCATTTTATTGGACGAATTCATATGCGTTGGTTGCTCGAGACCGAGGCGGCCAATCGGCTTACATGGATTCATGGCAGACAATGCCACAGCCTCTCTGACGACACCAAGGATGAGGGACAGCAAAACGGAATGCCGGCCTTGACTCTTAGACTTGATCACCAAAGACTACGAGACCGTTTGATATAGCCCTACAAGGCGATAAGGTTGAGATCCCATCCAGCGTACTCAGTCGAGAAGATAGCAGCACCATTTCCGCCAAGCAGTTAGTTAGTCTGCTTGTCCTTTTGCCATTCAGAATGATCAACCGGCAGTGACAGATAGACAATTAATTCATGACTGTACCTAGATTGAGAGACTTATACCTCTTTTCTGGTGACACATCAGCCCTAGCTTATCCCTGGATCCTTCTCATGAGTGACTAAACCCCCTCCTGGCCATAGAGCACATCTGATGAACTCTAAGGATACTTAAGTACTCGCTAGGAAGTGTCCATTGAGATAGCCCCAGTGAGCGGCCCACTAGTTGCAGCACTTTAGCTTATCTCCTTCTCCTTATCCGCCGCCGCATGTGTCATTATTAGTCTCCCTCCTAACTCCTCCCCTCTCATCCATTATTCATTATCCTCCTCCTCGGCTGCTGCTGCTGCTACTGCTGTAGTATTTAGGTCTCTGTACTTCACTTCAACAAGATTCAGATGCGTCCAGTCGACGCCGAAATAAGATTGCAAACGGGCGGGCTTTCTTAGACCTCATATCAGCCAAGACAAGACCCTTCCATCTCTGTTCCACCATGGCTTTTGGCAAGTACAGCGCTGTGCCGCCTCCTCCGGACCTCTCGTCGCCTCCTCGGCCTCCTCCTCCCACCACCACCCTATCGCAACCGCCTCCGTCGCAGGCACAGAACATCCCTCAGCACACCCACTCCGCCTCTGGTACGATCGACATCGAGGCATGGACCATCTCAGCCCTTCAGTCGCTCAGTGTCTCTCCCGAGTCGCGCGGCATAGGTGGGACGCCCCTCGCCATCCCACTCGATGACCACCACCGGGATTCTAATGCGCCCGCGGCTGCACGTGTCACCATCGCCATCAACGAGGCACACGCGGGTGCGTGCATTCTCCCTCCACGCAGACCTCCCTCGCGTCGCGACTCGATGAAGCGCAGGGAGGCGTTGCTCAAGGGAAAGGAGGGGAGCCGGCAGAGACGTCGCTGGGATATGGGTTAGACCTTCCTTTGTGCACCCCTTTCTTCTGCGACTTTCTCTGTATAAACTGTCTTGATACTTATTCAAACTTGCTCTCTCCCCTTCCGCCCTACAGCGCGCCTGACCGATGTCCCGAACGTCGAGCCACCGACACCCAGCGATTGGGAGCCCAGACCCCTCTACCCAGTCCACCACATCCCCTATCACGTCGCACAATACTGGGACCGTGGGCTGCGGCAACAGGTCGAGGAGAAGAGCGCAGCCTCGCGGAAGAAGAAGGCGGCTGCTGCCGGCGCTGCGGGGAGGGGCAGGGTACCACAGGACCTGCGTGCCACGGTCAAGAAGAGCCCTGGCGTAAAGGGGTGGTTACGCTCACTTGAGGAGCCCGTGAGGCAATTCCTCGCTGCGAGCCGGGCCGGCGAGGGTGAGGAGGAGGCGGCGGCAGAGGCCGAGGGATCCGAGAGTGATTTCTCGGATGACGAGATTGTGTTTGTGGGGCGAAAGGGCGTGGCGCGCGAGGCTGGGTGGAAGAAGGCGCACCGCGAGGTGCATGATCGGCCTGTCGACCGCGGGATGATCTTTGACTCCTCCTCGTCGGGAGAGGATGACGAGAGTGGTGCTTTCAAGTATGATCCTCCCACGTGCTCACCTACCTACGTACCTTGTAGCAGGACTAATAGGCTCGTTACAGGCGCTGGCTCACGCATTCTATATCTGACTATTACGGCCTGGAGTCCCGATCCGTGACGATGGCCAGTCCGGCCAGGAAATGTGTCTATATTGGCATCCGGGAGGCCGATCTGAGGAAGAAGGGGTCTCAGCTACATTCTGAGCTGCCTCGACCTCTGTGGGAGCACTTCTGAATGGGTCCTCTGAGGGAGGTTATCGTCCTCTAGACTTGCATACACTTATACAGTAGATGGTAGACATGCTCGACTCGGGTCAGTGTGCCTACATAAGCACTTCGCATTATTATAGAGCATATAAGCCTGTGTAGAATCCCGTGGTTTGAGGCAGGATTGAGTAAATCCATACTTTAAACCCAATGACGGTTTTTGGAAATTCGTTCTGGTCAAGCTTATGTAATTGGATGCCAGTATGGTATGATGAAGGAAAGTGCTATGTACTATGTAATCTTCATCTGGCAAGAGCAATGGGGGGTGTTTCCTTCCCCTGTAGCGGCCCACTTCTCGGTACTTTAACTTTTCCACAACAAACGTCAAGGGGGCCTTTTTCTCCGATGCGAGAAACACACCCAAACATGCAGATTGGTTCATGACAAGAAACACCTGCGATCGGGCCGCACGATGATCACCCATCAGATCTGCTCTGTCCTCAGCCCGGTGCTGGGCGCGCTGGGAGTAGCTCTCATGACGACGACAACCACAGAAATATTTTACCAACCTCACTTGCAAAGATCGAAATAGGAGGGCTTGTCCCTTGTCACGACCCTTGTCGATATGTTCTGGTCTTTCTTTTTCTCTTCAGTGTTTCCTTTCTTCAAGGCGGTGGGCATCGAATGAACAGCATGCACTCACTCAAGCACACACACACACACACACACACACACACACACACCAATGCTCCTGACTCAACACACGCAGCACATATTAGCTGGTCCAAAAAGGCAGTTTCCTTGCTGCGCAGTACTCAAGGACCAGGATCGCGGAATATAGTCCAGGGATCAATAGGGGCATTTAGTCCGCAAGCAGGGCATTCATTCCGGACGGCAGATGGGATAACATCCGCCGTCTCCTCTCGACCCATTCTTGCGAGCGGCCCAGGCGTCCCTGGATCTCTTCTGGATGAGCAATCCTTTGGCTGTCAGCACACCTCAATGTTGCACGCAATTAACTGTGGTAGCAATGCTGTGGGACCTCGTGGGAGATCTTGGCACGTACCATAGTAATCATGACAACGTCTTCATGCGATCCCCGGCTCGCTGTTATACCCACCTCCGGTCCTGAGTCCCATTCTCCTTGCCTAGTGGGGCACGACGCGATGACCACCTTCGCCTTGCCCGTGCAGGCGATGCACTGGTATTTCATTGCGGTGCTCCCCGCGACACCCTGGCGCGGACGCGTCGAGGGAGAGAGAGAGAACGACAGAGAAAAAGAGACGGCATGGTTGAGATACCCTCTTTCAGTCCAGAGCTATCCCTACAAAGAGGGAAGGACGCAAGCCCAGCCGTCTATCGTCCCTTGCGATGGCCAACAGATCGAGCCACGCCAGCAACGCCAGCACCGTCAGCACCCAGCCGGAGCAGCGCCACCGTGATATCCTTGCCGCCTCTGCACGCGGCAATGAGGACAAGGTCCGCTCCGTCCTGAAGGACGGGTCGCCATGGGGCTCGACCAAGGACCGCGCCGCCCTGCGCAAGGCCCTGCAGAAGGCCTCGGCCCGCGACAACCTCGAGATCATCCGCCTCCTGCTTAGATATGGCGCCGAAGTTGATCCGTCTACTGACGATGAGTTCCCTGCCCTGTTCCGCGCGGCACAGAGCGGCCAGACTGCCGTGCTGCTGGAGCTCCTGGCGCAGGGCCCTGACCTGGAGGCGAGGGACCGCAACGGGCAGACCCCGCTCCTCGTGGCCAGCGGGAGGGGCCACAGGGACATCGTCGCGATTCTCCTTGCCCGCGGCGCCTATGTCGACGCCAGGGACCGGGACGGCAGGACGCCGCTGCTGGCCCTGGCCGCCGAAAAGTCGAGCGCCGCGACCTGGGCCTCCGGCACCATGGACTGCGTCCAGCTGCTCCTGGGCCACGGCGCCAACCTCGAGCTCAGGGACCAGATCGGGCGCACACCGCTCCTGTGGGCTGCCACCAACGGCTTCTACAACCTGGCCGATATGCTGCTCGGCAGCGGCGCCGACGTCTCGGCCCAGAACAACCGCGGCCGCACCGCGCTGCACCTGGCCGTCGACAGTAGCGATCCGGCCCGCACAGACGACATCATGAGGCTCCTGCTCGCCTACAACGCAGACGCCCGCGCCGTGAGCGACGGCGGCTGGACCCCGCTACACAACGCCGCCCAGAAGGGCCTGGCCTCCGTTGTCGAGCTGCTGCTCGAGGCCGGCGCCGCTGTCAACGCCACCTTGTCCAACGGCATGACCGCCCTGCACTGGGCCGCCTTCAACGGCTTCGAGGACGTGGTGCACGCCATCCTCGCCCGGAGCGATGCCGATTTGAGCCTCAAGGACGGCTTCGCCCGCGCCCCCTGGCTCTGCGCCGCCGAGAAGGGCCACTACCAGCTTGTCGAGCTGCTGTCGCCCGTCCGAAACAGCGACAGGCTTCCCCGCGTAGTCCAGGACGCTTGCAGGGCCTTCAACGCCACTGTGGTCGAGTTCAAGCAATTTGGAGAGAAGCAGCGCATCTTCAAGCACCCCGTCCATGACGTCCTGTACGGCTGGAACCAGAAGAGCAACAAGCCCAAGGTTCCGGCCTGGACCAACAGCGCCAGAGGCGAGAACGACTTTCGTTGGATTCATCTCCCGACCAACAACATCACCTGGGTGGAGACCCTGCTCACCAAGTGGTTTACCGAGTCTGGCTGTCGGGATCTCGAGAGCTACAAGGCGCTGGCCAAGTGTTTTGAGCAGGAGCACCGCGGCCCGCTACCGCACGCCAACTTCATGCGACCGTTCTGTCAGCGCATCTCGTCGCTGCACCCGAGCGATGAATCATCAGGATCTGACCATGATATGTTGGACATTAGGCCCTCTCCGGTCCGGCGGAGCTCAAGCAACTTGTCCCAGATGACCCTCTCCCCCAAGATGCCAGGCGGGGACGGCAAGATAGTGCTCTTTGTACGTACCTGCACCATGATGATGCCATAGCATACGATGACAAAACTGCTAATGTCCATCATATTTAGATGCCGTATCTGCACTACGAGACAGACGAAGGGCGGCAGAAGATGACAGACGCAGTGAAGCTCGTGGGCGCAGCAGACCACGCCACAACGTCAAGCACCTCGCCCAATATGCTGCTCCTGCAGGCCTACCTACCAGGGACGCCGCAGATCCACCCGCGACGGACCCTAGATCAATTCTTCTACCATGGCATGGACACCAGCGCCCGTGACAGAGACCAGGTGGTCTACCGGTACTGCGAGAGCACCGGCCAACAGCGCAAGGTGTTCATGGTCGACCAGCTATGGCTGTTTGTACTCGGGAAAGGTAAATTATTCTGCATCATAATTACTATGGGCCTCGATCCAAGAGTATGGGCATCCCAGGCTAACAAGAGCCCCCCACATCCTCTAGATCTTGTTGTGACATGTTTCCCGGGCCGCTGGGAGCACCACGTCAAAGACCCCTTGAACGTGCTGGATGGTATCGTGGAGGAGATGAATGCGAAGACCCGACCACCGATACGGTCAGTCTACGATCTTGCCATCTTGATCTCGAGCCGTTGCTCTGGAAGTAAGTGAACCTTTATTTTGTGCTTTGAGGTGGTCCTCTATGGCCACCAACAGCAGACATCGTCATTAACAACCCGCCGGGCAGTGTTTTCGCGTCACCGGTCAGACGATCAGAACTACCAGTTTCTCGACATGTTTGAGAGCTCGGTGGGCAGCGCCACTGAGGAGCTGACGCAGCTGTTCCACCGATTCGAACAGGCATCAACACAGTCTACACAGTGGCTGCGGCCCAAGCGCCGGTCCAAGCTTCGTGACAGCCTGCGCAAGCACAAGACGAACGAGCACGAATCGTTCGACCCCCTGCTGGACATCAGGACGGAGACGTCACTGTTGACCGAGGTCAGGGACATACGCGACGAGCTCAACATCCTGACGATGGTTCTCAATTCGCAGCTGTTCACTCTCGGAGACCTGCGGAGCTGCCTGATCGACGAGCTCAGCGCGGGCCACAGCTCGAGCCGCAAGGTCAGCAACTTCGTTCTGGACATTCGCAAGCGCACGCTGGACCAAGAACGGCGGCTCAAGGTGCACAAGCGGGACATCGACGCCATGGACGAGCAGGCAGACCGGCTGTACAAGAGTCTGACAGACCTGCTGGACCTCAAACAAAAGCACTCCAACGCGCTGGAGGCGCGCTTCTCGAGCGAGCAGGCGCTGTCCGCCGCTAAAGAGGGCCAGACGGTCATGGTCTTCACCATCGTGACCATCATCTTCATGCCCATGTCTTTTATTGCCGCCTACTTTGGTATCAGTATTGACACCTGGAGCGACGGCCTCTCGCCCACGTATGTCGCCACCTGGACCTTTGGTGGAGGTCTGGCCATCTCGATGGTGTTCATCCTCATGGCCTTTACCGTCGTCGACATCACCAAGGCTGCCGAGACCTTTTACGCCTTTACAAAGAGGCACTACAATAATAGTGGTAATAGAAGGTGGGGGAAGAATGGCTCGCAGGTTCCTGTGCCGCCGCCCACAGCAGCCCGTGCCCTCGACATGCGGCCTTCGTACGAGCGCTCTATGCCCCTAGCCGGCAGGAGTAACGAGACAGTCGTGTGGCGCGGCGAGGCGGATGACGGTGGCGGTGGCGAGGGCAAGATGTACAGGCAATACACGAAAGCGTCGGGCGTCAGCGCGCTGTCGAGGACGCTGTCGCATGTGTCCAGCCCGGGCAGGAAGGAGTATCTTGCTGAGGACGACCTGGAGACGGGGGCCGGGGGAGGGGGAGGAACCAAGGGGGCGTATCTGCGGCCGTGATGAGAGAGGAAGGGCGGTGCTATAGATCTGGTGCAGTGTGTGTGATCTACAATTGATACCCATATAAACGGAATAGATTGAGTATAAGGAGAAGGACTATATGAAGGCAATAACTCAACTTTAAATAAAAATAAAATCAGCGCGCTGTTTTCAAGACCTGCCTCGTCTAGGATAAAGAAAACTTCATGCGCTGAAGTTACGTAATTGGTAGCGTCAAACTACGAAGTGGGTATATGAGATGAGGCATTTTGCAGGTTGATATCGATCACCATCCTCCGTGGCCTAATTGGCTAAGGCGTTCGACTGTTAATCGAGAGATTCCTGGTTCGATCCCAGGCGGGGGAGAATCTCTTCTTTTTCTTTCCATTTTTGTTTTTCCTTGCTATCCAAGTTCCTAGAAATTGTATCTATCTTGTCGAAGGCCCTGTTGCTAAAGGCTCATTTGTCAGAGTTGGATTGGCTAAAAAAGTTGCTCCTTAGCGTATCGGTTTTCAGAATTAGAGTAACTAGCAGCGGGAAAGCAAGACTCAGTAATGAGCAACTTACAAGAAGAGAAGCATTGATACGTCTATGCGCATACGGAGAAGATACACAGGCTGGGCACTTTGAGAAAGAAATGTTCAATCAATGTGTAAAACTTTTGCAATACACAAACATCCGACTTTGGAGCTGAACTATTATGCGAGATAAGTCAAAGGGGGGGGTTTCCGCCCATCCGTAGTTTCCGCCCACCCTGGTCAGCCACACCACATATATACACATATTGTAGAAGGCACTCTAGGGGCTGTACAAATGGTAGAAGGGAAGATGATTCTTCAATTAATCTATCTCAAGGCACGCTTGCCAATTGCCTTCTATATAGAAGGCAATTAGCACTAGTCCCAACTGAGCTAGCGTACCTGGCGACTCACTGCCTTTCCATTGAATGGCCCAGGCCAGTGAGTCAGGGTGGCCACCCAGGCCTCATTCACCTAAGGCCCCTATGGCCACTGCCACAAGTGCCGGCCACGGAAAAACGTTCCTGCTGTCCTCAGCAGCTATCTAGGGGTCACGTGTCCACGTGTCAGTCTCGCGCTTCTTCGGAGGCCAGGAGAGGTCTCAGGGCCCTGTTTTCCATCCTTTTCAGGCTCAGGGAGGCCTCCAGACGCGTTGTCAGACGCGTCAATGTTGACAGCCGGGGAGGCTGTGCCCTTGGCAGGCCGACCTCGCTTCCTCCGTGCTGGCACGGCTTCTCCATCCTCATTGCCGTCAGGCAACAGTTTCTTGGAAGGCCGGCCGCGCTTTCTCTTCACGGGGTCAGCTGGGCTGTCTTTCACGAGGATTTCTGTAGCCTTGTCGGGGTGTGCGCGTTCGTATTCCTCGATGAGGCCAGGGCACTTAAGGCTTCTCAAATCCTTCCAGCGATCGTGCCGCGAGGACCATCCCTTCCATCGCACCAGATATCGCACTGTATTCTTGCCACCTCGTCGCTCGATCTTCTTGTCTACGATGCAATCGACTTCGTAGTAGTCCTCATCAGGTCCAATTGAGTCATCGCTGTCTTCGTTGTGCTCGATCGGGCCAGGCTCAGGTAGCTGGCGGTTGAAGGGGTCGTCGGTAGGCTTGTACCGACTCAGGTACTGAATGCTGACCACTGGGTGTACTTGAACGTCAGCATCACGGTCACCAGTTTTGAAGTCAAGTTCATAAGCCAAAGGTGACACTTTTCTGATGATCGTAAAAGGGCCTTCGCGAAGAGCCTGTGTCTTGTTGGCCTGGCGCAGCAGTGGCTTGTATGCCTTGCCAAGTTTTAGCCAGACTTTGTCGCTCTTCTCGTATTCTTCGTGTCGGTGTTTGGCATCGTACGTGCGTTTGTTGTCTGCTGCGACGATATCCATAGCCAGTTGCGCGTCTTTTCGCAGGTGTTCACGCATAAAGCGTATCTCGGACAGTTGTTTGGTGATGTTGACTAATCGGTCGGACGGTGACTGGATCTTGAATCCGAACAGAAACTCGTGAGGGCTCGCGTCAATGGAGCGTTGGTGTGAGTTGTTCAGATTCCACTGCAAAGAGGGAATTAGGTCTATCCAAACCTCGTCAGGGTGTTCAGCAGCGTGGTATCTGATAGCCAGCTCGACATCCTGATTCTTTCGTTCAGCTGCTCCATCAGCCTGAGGGTGGTGTGCTGTAGTCATCTGTAGACGCGTGCCAAAGGCCTTCCATAGGCCCGTCCAGTAGTCTGAGGTGAACTTGGCGTCGCGGTCAGAGATAATCGCTCGAGGGCATGCCCAGTCGCTCAACAGCAGCTGTCTGCCCAGGACAGCTCCCCATTGCTTGGCTGAGTAGGTTGAGTGGCCTGGAATCAGTAGAGTCCTCTTGGAGGTCTTGCAAGTGACGGGCATCAGCGAGTTGTAGGCTTTGGAGCCTTTTACCTGCCACGGGGTGCCTGTTGATTCGACTGAGGGCAATCCAAGGATGAAGTCGAGGGAGATCGTATGCATAGGTTCAGAGGGGGCCTGAATCGGTTGGAGTAAACCTGCTGGCTTCTGGTTTTGCTTCTTCTGAGCGCCACACTCGTGGCAGTGATCGACATACTGTGAGACAAGCAGTCGCTTCTTCCTGAAGTGAAGACCATCCAACTCAGCCATCATGCGGTCTCTGCCAAAGTAGTGCTTATCGTCGTGTGCGTCGCGTAGAAGTTCCTGCACCAGAGGTCGTGGAACGACAAGGCGTTCTTTTCCATCATTGTCGTAGTTGTACAACAGTTGGTCCTTCAGGCGGAATGGGTGGCCGGGCTTAGAAGCAGAGACAATGTTCTCATTGTTTACCAAGGTAGGAGGCTTCTTTCCGGCTGAACCGACCTTTGTCAGGTCTGTGATGATGTTCCTATAGACTGTATCCTCCTTGTATCCTCGCCAGAAGCGCTGTCGCATATCCTCAGATATTTGTGCTTCCGACAAGACAAGGAAGACTGTGGGTAGATCATCAACTACTGTGTCGAGAGTGGCTGGTTCGTCGCTCCATCGCGCCTCCGCATCTCCTGTTGCAGACAGCCTTGACAAGGCATCAGGGACATAGTTGAGCTTCCCAGCCAGGTGGTGAATGTCGAACTGGTACTGGCTGAGGTAGATGGAGGCGTTGACAAGACGTCGGTTAGCACGGTCTGTAGACGAGGTGTCAAGGCGCGTTTGGGTAACGATGCTACGCGTGGCGTCGTGATCTGTGAGGACAACTACAGGCTGCGCTTGGTTTGATTGAATCAGCTTGCGCAGGCGTTTCGTTGCTCAGATCAGACACGCAACCTCTTGCTCAGAGGGACCGTAGTTCATTTCAGCTTTCGTCAAGCAGCGGCTGAGGAACATTACTGGTTTGATAGCGTGCGAGGGGATCGGCTTGCCAGGTTGCCAGATATAGTCTTCCTTCAACTGAAAGATCATTACGCCAAATCCTCGTTGCAAGCATCCATCTACTTGGATAAACAGCTTCTGCAATGGTTCCATATGGTACAAGCGCATCTTTCTGCAGATAGTGTTCTGTAGGTCCTCGAAAGCTATCTTTTCAGCGTCTGTTGGCTCGTAGTATGTGCGACGTGTATAAGCTTGACGCTGCGACTTCTTCCCAGGTGTGATTTTTCCAAGCTTACGGCCTTCAGCCAGCAGCGCTGTCTTTCGCAGTTGAAGCGGTTCCACGAGCTGCGCGTAGTACGGGATCATCGTTCGTAGGAAACCGGTTGCGCCAAGGTAGGTTTCGAGGTCCTTGAGGTTTCTAGGGAAGGTCATCTTCCGAAAGGCCTCAGTGCGTTCCTTCGTGGTAGACAGGCCAAGCGCGTCGACATAGAAGCCAAGAAGTTCGACTGAGGGGAAACCGATGTGACTCTTTGTGGGAGAAATAGAGATTCCCTTCCTGTCGAAGATGTTCAGGGCGACGTCGAGGTGCTTCAGGTGGTCCTCAAACGAATCTGAGAAGATCACGATGTCGTCGATAAATGCCTTGACGAAGTGCCTGTGGTCACGAAGTAGCCTGTCCATGTATCTTTGAGCGTGAGCGGGCGAGTTGCGGTAGCCCATCAGGGCTACTGTTGGTCGCTCAAGGCCACGGTGCGTGACCATGGTCTGACGGTCTCGGTATTCTGGGTGGACAGGGAACTGGTAGAAGAAAGCTGTGGCGTCGATGACTGTGATGTATTGTTTACCGCGTATAGCTTCAATTACGTCTGACTGAAGAGGAAGGGGGTAGTTGTCAGGTACTGCCCACTTGTTAAGGGCTCTGAGGTCCGCGACGATGCGGCCCTTTTCCTTCCCGTGTACCGTACGCCAGACCACGAAGATTGGCAATGCGAACGGGCAGACGTCGTCAGCGAATTCGAGGCGGCCAGCTTCGTGCATATCCTCGTGTACCTGGTCGATGAACTTCTCATCTTTGCGAGAAACAGGGTAACGGGGGCGATTCAGCTTCGCGTGCTGCCATCCCTCCATCAAGGGAATCTTCATCATCTGGTCCTCTGGCATGTCAAGAGGGCCTTTGTTTTCCCATACAGCCGGGTACTTCTCGACAATCTTCTTGAACTGTCGAGCTTTGACGGGGTCCTGCGAACAGACGCGAACGCCGTTGTCGAGGACCATAGCTGGAGCTTCGTCTGGGGCCTTGATCCCCAGAGATCCCTTGATGATGGTCGAAGGTTTCCGTGTGTCGAGGTCGTGGTCGTCGGACGGTAGAGCCTCGGTATTCGCGGAAAGGTTGATACCATAGGCCATTCCCATATCGCCTAGGGACTGACAAACAGCGTCGCTGTAAGGCGTGGAGGATAGGCCTTTTTCGTACAGGAAGTCGCTAATCGGGCGTGTCTCCGTTTCTGCACCCTTGGCTGTCGCGATGATCTCTGGTGTGAGGTCGAACTCTCCGTTCACTGCCACCTGACCAACAGGAATCCTCAATGAAGACGCGAATTGCACGTCGTGTGCACCTATCGCGTGGGTGTCGGCTGGCTGGTAGGTCGACGCCAGTCCTCCCAAGGCAGCTGC